GTAAAAATTTCAAGTCAATCGGCCAACTCGTTCCAGAGTTACCGAAAGACAGACAGACGGACGGACGGACATGACAATTACATAAGCCTTGGTTCGGGCTAAAAACAAATGTCGACGTCACGAATTATGGCGAATTTGCCTGAGAGCGACAAACGTCTACGTCACGAATTAAGATAAGGTTTTCTGTGGCAACATATGTCATCGTCACGGGTTATGAACCGGATTTTTGAGATGACATATGCCTTTGTCACGAATTATGGACAAGTCGCCAAAGCGACATATGCCACTTTCACAGATTAAATGGTTAAGAGTGATATGCTCGTTAAGGTTTGGGGTGAAATGTATGCATACCGATAGATATTTCGCTATTTTTCTATCTATTTCTAAACCTGGATTGAGGAACTGATGTACCTATTTAACCAGCAGCCCGAACGAAATCGGAGTCAAGGAAGAGTGTGACAATTCGTATGAAATATCGTTTTAATATTTCCTCCGACAGGATAGACTAATTTCAACCAAGCCCATAATTCTTTGGCATCCAAGCTGTAGCTCCTCTTGTAATGTACATACGAACGAACGTTCTACCAGATTCAAGTCAAGTCGTCGACTCACACAGAAGGAGAAGGAACCAAGCTCTTCAATTTCAACTCACCTCTTAAGATGCCCCATTCTTGGTCTTTATTCATGGTCCCTCAGCTGCATTTATATACATATTGGTGCCCAGGAGGGGTATGCATATGAATTGAAGTGATAAAAAATATTCTGTATATTTGAGTCCCGTCAGAACTGATAAAGTAGAGTTGAAATTGGAAGACATTAATTACTATGTTCGTGTAATGCATGTCTATATCCAAGCTGCATGTATTTATACACAAACTTGTTTACTAGGTCAAACATGGTAATTTAATTCTGGCAATGAATTTCATTCATTTTTGGACTTTGGGAGAAACGACTTATTAGGTTCTGAACAAGTTTCTCTTTAGTTATCCAACTCGAAATGAAGTAAAAGCAGTGAAGTTGTGAATCCGAATCGTTTTCTTGTTACTTTTGGCTAATTTCCATTAGGATTTTGGAGAGTGGCCAAAGAAATTCGCTCTCCAAGCAAAGCAAGCACATAGCTGAGTAAGGCGTCCAATGGAGAAAGTCAAAATTGCCGTCTACTTACATTCAATCCCACTATTATCATAGTATTGCAAATGAGTGGGTCTGTACTGCATGCATATGTATGCAGTAGTAGAAGGCGGCCGTATTATGGTGCTGCTGAGGTTATGAATATTGCATTTATTCTGGTTCTGGTTGCTGTTAAATGTATGGTGTTAAATGTTTTGTTCTCCTCGTACATACGTACTTAGCACTATTGCATATATGCTCTTGACACATTATTTATAAACTTTCTCTTCCTGTTTAACCAACTCAAATGTGATAACGAGAAATACTTAAATCTCGTCAATAAATATAACTTATCTCCACAATAACGAACAAAGGATTTCCCTATTCTGGGTTCCACCTTCTTCTTCAGGAGTCAAGACCGAATGTGTGCCTGGAGAAAGACGAGAAACAATGACTTTCTCTTCTGGTCATTTATTTATGTTAGAGTTTAACGCCTTTAATAACACATAATTTGAGCAATACAAGTCAAATGGCCTGCATGTGTCGTTAACTTGCTAGAATTATTGGGCAGTGCTGTGATTGTGACTTTAGAGAATTCTTAATTAAAATACGATGCCAAAATTGCTCCTCAATAGTTTAGGGACAAATATGTATGTAAATGTTCAATGTAATGTTTCTACGTCTTCATTGTATTGGAAATTAGATGTTAGAATAATGCTATCATTTCTAAGTTATCTGTTTCCCACAAATCTTGCGTTTCTTCATGAGAAAGTAAAGATATTATTTGCAACGAGAATGATGTGCTTAATTTATTTTATGAGATTATCTGGCCAAGTAAGCTAAGGAAATTGGTTAGTAGTGTTCCCCCCAGATTTGCAATGCATTTTCTGTTGCTAAATAAGCAGACTATAGTGTCAATAGTAGTACAAAATAAATACCAGTTCAATTATATGTATTGGTCCTGCTGAGTAGTATTTTAAGCACTAAAGAATTTTGAACCTTCTTTTAATTAGGATTATTAACTCCAAAGCTTGCGGCGGTGGAGCATGTAAATGCATCATCACGTGAAAACTTTAATTATCTAAAGATAAGACAGGCTGAGGAGAGTGGATATTTTTTAAATTAGAATTTTAATCCCGACATATCAGAAATTATGTTGTATGAGGTTGAATTAGAAGTGTACATTTTAAGCAGTTTATATTTATTTAGCGTTCGGAATGATGAGTGTCGAGTTGGCATGTCGCAATGTTGGTGGGGTCGGAGGTGATGCGGACGATGATGCAAATGGGCTCAGGCGCTGAAGATGCCAGGAAAGTGGCAAATGGCAAGAAGGAAGTAGCACAAGTTGAACTATTGATCCGTTCATCCATCCATCCACATCCGCAGTTTTTGAGCTTTCAGTTTTAACTCCCTTTTCCCACTTGTCTCTCACTTGGTGGGTGGTTGCTTGGGTGGAGGAGAAAAAGATAGATGAGCTGCAGAATAGAAATGCCCAACTTTTTATATCCTCCTCAAATGGGAATAAAAACTTGAAATTGGTCACAATCCGGCCTCTTTACCTAACTGTATTATCAAATATAAAAGTCACGCTGGGCTTCTGGCACTTTACATATTCACCCCGCATTGCTGCTCCTTTGTCACTCGTCCTATTGTCTGCGGCCTCTGGTTGTTGAGTTGAGCGCTTATCTTATTACTCTCCCACTCGGAGGGATCTCCCAACCTCTCCCATCGCATCTGTGGTGGTAAACGAATCCGAATCTGGGCAGGTTTTATGTTTCAAGTTGGTTATTGTTGCATCGTATTTCAAATCTCTATACACACATATCTGCTCGATCTCCCATAAGTTGAGGTCTCAAGGAGTCTTATATTTTTGGGCTTGACCTAAATCAGGAGGAGGAGAAAGTTTAGGGCGACATTTTATTTTGCATGGTAGACAACTTAAGCCGAATGTTTCACTCTGGCAACAAATTACTCTCCCATTGGTACACATTGTTGGAGGGTTTTTCTGTTGGGAATCCCCCGGTTTGTTGATTTTAAAGACAAGTTTAGAGTTTATACACACTGCACACGCATTCCCAAGCTCACCCCCTTCCGCTGGAACACACTTCTCAATTTGTATTCGTTTAGGAAGAAGAATTTCACGGACTTAAGCACGTGAGAATGCTTTTGAGCAGCCTTAATTTCTTTCCCTTCCCCACCACCCCCTCCGAAATGAAATTGGTTCATGAAAAGGCGGAAGGAGAGGAAAATAAGGTACATACATACAGCACAGGAAGAAAAGGAGTCGCAAAAGACGGAGGGAACGAATGCGAGCAGCTTTGTATGCATCATCATCGGATAAATAAAAGGAACTGAGAAAGTTTTCACACGTTCCAAGCGGAGCAGGATGTTGTAATTCTTTCAGATGAAAGCAGCAGCAGAGTGGGAACTGAGCCAGAGAGAGAAAGAGAGTGAGAGGAGTGTTTGAATTTGAATGTTTTTTACACAGGATGAAAAGGAAGATGAGAGCTGACGCAGAAAATTTCCACTAAACGCTTACTTTATTGTTATGATAAGAAGACACAAGCATAGTTTAGAGTAGATAGCTCTCTGCGTATCAGATGGTGGTCCCTTCTCAGTCGCCACCCAGCAAGGAGGAAGTCTAACTAATAATGCAATACCCAATGGCATGTTCTGATATGTGAAGAAAGGAGAAAGTGGTGTAAAGTGTGTAAAAGCGGTGAATTCTGCTAATGTGAGCTCAACAAATTCGGTGATAGTCCCCAAATAATAATAATAATAAGGTCTCGTCTCGCCTTGCACTTTCTCGATTCTCACAACCAAGTCTCACTCCGTCTGCACCTCTCAGGAAGATACAAAAGAGTCCATTCTTCTACTCATTTCTCTATTTTTCTCCTCATACATATATTGCAAAAAGCTTTAGTGTTTTGCACAAAATGTTGCTTGCAAAAAATTCATTTCCTGGTTAAGTGGAAATCGTAAATCACTTGTGAAATTTTTACGTGACTATTGTTTTGGAATGTAGAAACCTATACACATATGTGTGCCAGCCAGTCAGTCAGGCACTTGGGTATGTTGTGCCGTGGCGTAGATAGTTTTAGTATTTAATGGGAACAAAAGTAGCTGGAATAGTTGGAGTTGAATTCCATTTATTATTAATTAGACTGTTCTGATGTCATTAGTAAAATAAAGGCTGTTAGCAGGCTGCACTTGAATTGAATCCTATTCTGAAGTGGTGTCTGGTTCAGTTGTCACACGCAACTGAAAACAACATTGCAGTTGATGTGTTGTAAATTTGAAGCCATACCATGATGCGGGCATTGTGATTGTACAATGTACATAGTCTTCTCGCCTACTATACGTGCATAATACATATTAGTTGCATAGCTGAACTAGGACTCGTATAGAAGTGAGAAGTAGCGTAGGAGGAGGAAGAAGCTGTGATTTCCTAATTACATTTCGCTCCTCAGAGTAGTTGGCTTCCTTGGCTTTCTCTCTAATGATTTCCTTACTTTGGTCAAACTGAAGGGATTCAATCCTGATAATAGAATGGCCTATAATACCGATCCGGAGGGTTCAGTCTCCTCCGCCGCTCATTACCTTCTCGAATGCACAAACTTGCCATGGTACTAGTAATCTAATAAGTTGGGACTCTGTGTCGGATAGTGAGAATCTATCTTGTGCTAAATAATAGTTACTCCAACAGCCTTACCGAGGGTGTAAATACATTTATTTCGCTATACGAACGCATGGAAATCGATAAATGCCTAGTACCAAATAGAATGTATGTACATAATTCGAGTATTATAAAGACAATATGTACACAAATATTTACAAGTTTTATCCCAATTTTTTTTTGTAACAATTGGGTTTGTATTTTTTAATTTCAGTTCCGCCGAAATCAATGGAGATTACAAACCATGGCCCCGACGCCACGATCACGTTGAAGGAGAAAGAACAGACGGAATTGGAATGCGTTGTGCGAGAAGCTAGACCCGCGGCTTCAGTCATCTGGTATCGAAATGATGTCGTTCTCAGAACTGGTAAGTGGATATTTGATATTTCAAGTCAATACTTTTTAAGCACTAAGAATCTAAGCTCACTCACTTATGTCTGACAACTTTTGGTCAATATGTAAGTAAGCACGACAAACCTTACATAACACTCCCGAACGAATACGGAGTAAGCATGTATTTGTAATTCGGTTCTGTGTTAACGGGGATTTTGCATTTATTTTTGGAGCTACGTATGAAATGTATAAAATGAAGGAGGGTTCTTCCATTATCCAGTAAATTGGCCACTTGCAGGGAAAAGCTCTCATCATTGTTGAGGGGAATGTAGGAACCCAGTTTAAAAGCATTTGTTCTTTATGGGTCTGGTGGAGAGTGCAATCTGGGCGATGATGGTAGACAGAATTGTTGGTGGAGAGGGAGGGCTAATTGCTCATAATGAGGCGAATGTGAAGGTAGACACTTTTCTCCGTGTTCCAGGCGCACTTAATTCCCTTCCGGCTATTACCGCTTGCTTCTCCCATGTTCATTTCATACATATGTGAGCTTAGCCGTCCACCACTTTATTCTGATGCTCCTCGTATTCCGGTCCAGCCAGCTACAGACATGTTGCTGCATTTTAACAGTTTCTGGAGAAAACTTTTCATTTTCTTCACGATTAGGTATTTTTACAACGTACTTGAATCCCGCACTGTTGCATTGGGCTGCAGTTCTAGGTTAATTCGAATTTGAGCCAGTAGTAGTTCGCGCCTGTCTGTCTGTCTACCCGATCTTTTTTAACCTTCGTGTTCGCAGAGTATGTAAGTGCTTTCTCCAGTACTTTAGGTGCAAAATGTTGTGCTGAGATCAGGTGAAATTTCGACGGGCTTGTTGTACATATGTACAACACCGGCTCAACTTTATCCTACACTTGTCGGAAATGTTGCTCATCTGCATCTGATATGATCTAGCAATCAACAAATTTTAAATGATGGATCCGCTGTGTTTTAGACGAGAAATAGCATGCCTGCCAAAAACGTTGTTTGCTGCTCACTCTTTGTTGAAATGGGCTGAATAGTTGCATTGATATGGGACTTGACAACTGCGTATATCGAGACAACTGATATCCTGACTTGGGTCTTATTAGCAATACTTTCACTTTAGTAGCAAAATTCTATACATGAGGTACATGCACACATTGGTGTGGTAGAAAGTGATGATATGGCGACGGAAGTATGTATGTCACACCCACCGGAACAGATAAGAAAGAACGTGAAAACTCTGTTGTAAACGCTTTTCCTGGGTCACTTTTGACGATTCTTGCTACTACATGTATCGTTATTATAAGATTAATATGGGAACGGCAGATTTGTTGATCATTAGAAATTCCTACCATCCACACCAGCCATCTTTGAAATTGTTTGGCGGTATTTTTTCATAACTCACATGAAAAAATGTATCCCTTAAACGGTTTCCCTGCATGTTTTGTTTGTCTTTGGAAATTTATTAAATTAGGAATTCACCTGCCCCTCTGAGAGTACTCGGTCAATTCCCCTTGGATGACCATGCATAATATGTAAAGTCGTTCGTTCCATTGAAATGTGCATTTTATTCCTTTTCAGGATTTATTTGCGTGTAGCCAGGTTAACTTATTTTGACACAACAATCGTACTTTCATGCATGTACGTGTATTTCTATTTCTGTCCATTTTTATGCTAGATAAAACAAGTTGTAGGAGAAAATCACTGGGAATTCTCTTGCACCAGCAAAGGGTTGACTTTACTTTTGCTCGATCTGCCATGCACGGCGTAGGAGGAGGACTAGGTAAAAATCCTGTCAGTGGATTGACAGAAGGTAATAACAACTTTCTTTTGGGAGCACAGAACCGAAGGGTTGTTTGTGTAGACGTGATGAGTAAACCGTAGCCAATAAAGTAAGATCCTCCTGGAACGGACGGACAGACATATTCAAATGAGAGCATTCACCGTGAAAGTCTACTAAATTTAATGAGATGAGCTTTTCCTCCACCCATGATGCCATATCCCCGTCTTCCACCAGCGACTGGCTCGTGGACCTCCTAGCATCTCTTTTTCCGATCATCAGCATTGAGATTGAACTATTTGGTTGATTGAACGGGCGTCCCAAATTTCATTTTCTGAATTTAACCTCGAGGACTGGTTGCTTTGTTATCCTAATGCTATCAAAATTAGATAGGCCCTTCTCAATTCAAATCAAGAAAAGCAAGTGGCTTAAGATTTTCCTGATTCACGTCTTCCCAATCGTCAAGTCGTCTCAATTCAATCCTTTATTACATGTCGACGACCATCCACGGTTCAGCTGTGTAGGTTGGTACGTAGCAGTTTAGCTACTTCGGGAGTTGGAGGAAAGACGAAGAAGATTGGATTTATCTGAAAGCAGGAGCAGGATGTACGCATGCAGATACATATAAATCTCTACAATCTAGTTTAATCCAATTTTAGTTACCTAGATATATGTGCACATGTACATGCGAGACGCCGGGCTTAATTTAAATTAGCACAGCATATCGTAGAAATTCGACTTGTTGTTGTGTGCTTGCATCAATCCATCTACTTTGGTTTAATTAGATTCCATTGATTAAATTCAAAAAGATTGATGAATTTAATTAGTCCATTCATAAATACTTAAATCGATTCTTTAATGTACAAAATAAATGCACAATTTTGTAAAATTTTCGTACTTTGTAGCTTATATTAGAAATTGAATTAGTCAATTAGAAAGTTTCAGGAGCTCAAAATTATCCAATTTTGCCAAAAGGTGCCGGCAGGTGCATCCCTTGAAGTTGTTAGTTAAATTGTTATGATAAATGTTCCAATTCATCCGGTGCACTCCGTTGTTGAAAAGTAAATATGCAGATAATATGGGAGGATATATAGAAAGTGGGAGAATCTTCTTTAATATGCCAAGATATGCATGCCACCAGCAGCACATGGTTGAATAACTCTTAAAAACATAGAAAATTGACTTTTCTCCATTACCACAAATAAAAGTTGGAGCTGGTAATCCTACTATGCGTTTGGGATATGTGAAATGGACAAAAGAATGATTTTGTCTCAGAATTCGGTGAATTCCGGTCATAATTCAAGGTTTTTGCTGAATATTAAATGGTCTCTTGGACATTTATGGGTCTGAATTTCCCTTCTGTGAACCCAACCTTCGACTTGGACTCATCTTCGACGTTCACCCGAGAGCCTTATACACACGAGAGTTGCTGAAATGGAGGTCAAACAAGTTTCCTTTCCTAGTTCATTCACATATAGCGGGCTGGATTTGGATGGAAGATCCTATCTGATCTCCCGAAATTTATTTATACTCATTGCAAAATTGGAGAAAGTGTATATGCGGCATACTACCGACTAGGGTTGCCGGGGAAGCATCACATCCCGTACATAAAGTGAAACATTGACCCATTTTGTGTGTCAAGTCGGAGTGGAATAGGATATAAAAATCACACCGGATCGGAAGATATTTTTCCGATTTATCTTCCTGCGTTTGAGGAGTTCATTGGTTCAAAATGTTCTATAATATGCCAGAGAGTGATGGGACTTTCACTCGCCAACATGCTGCCTCCTCCACCTCTGCCCAATTCCTAACTCAAACCAAATGAACTATCAATCTACTTAATAGAACCGTATATTCTCCCCAAATTGTCAAGCATTTCGCGTGTGTTCTCACTTTCCCAATGTATTTTATTTTATTGAGATGACCTATGAAGTGAATTATGATTGGCGTATTAATTCAATGTGTAATAAGACCATTGGGTTCCAGCAAGGTAAACATGGCAGCTTTAGTATTAAGTATCAAGAAGAAGATACGTATGAAAAATAGTGATGACCTGATGGTTATTATTGCCAATTGGAAACCGTTTGCCCCATTTTAATAGCAATTTCCAGTCACAGTTTATTACAGACTAGAAGATTTGTTGCATTGTTATTTTCATAAGGTTTTCGCTCTTTGAAAGGTTGACACCATCTGTACTTGTGCAGTCGTTTAAACTATGCTTAATTTGTTTCAGAAACTCGAGAAGATACGACGGAATTGGTTGACGTTGTTGTGTCTGGGACAACAATTCAGAAGAACACGACCAGGTCTAAAATTAAATTTCTTCCATCCTCTGAAGATGACAAGGCTCGTTATGTTTGTGAGGCGAGACATCCAGCATTGGTTCGACCACAACAAATCTCTGTGCATCTCAGCGTTCAATGTAAGATTTTTATTTAAGAATAACATTTTCCAAGAAAAAATGAATTGTAACTACTTTGATTTTAATAGATCCTCCTGGCGCCCCACGTATTGATGGATACAATGAAGGTGAAATCATTAGAGAAAACCAGTCTGTATCGTTGACGTGTATATCTAGAGGTGGAAACCCAAGTCCAGGTACAGAATTACAAAAAATAATAATAAGCTACATATAAGCTAACTATCTTTAATCAGTTAATACTGAATATATAACGATGCATACAAAAATGATTTACATAAATAGATTGTTTACAAGTAACATAAAGTAGAATAAGGTGGATATCTAGAAAAGTAGTTTTTATAAATCATAAGTAATTTTGTGAAAATTATTATTAACAGAAAATGTTTGATTATTACCTGAATAGAATTGATTTGGTACAAGAACGATGTCCGAATTGACTCGACCTATGCAACGTCCTATCGGGAATCTCGAAATGAACTCACGTTCATGGCAAACACAAGAGACAATCTGGCCAACTTTCGATGTGAAGCGACCAACTTGATGAGCTCAATCCCCAAAGTTGCTGACGTTGTTTTAACAGTTCAATGTAAGTCAGATTTGAAGTTTTAAATGCCATAGCGAGCGTTATGCGAATAAGCAAAAGTCCACAAGAACGTTCATACTTCTGATGTGCTTTGATTTTGCTTATATGCATTTACTTGTTTTTGATTGGTACAAACAAAGCACTCTGTCTTGATTGATAGCTCTCTTTCTGCTCAGTTTCGCTTGTTTCATGTTGTGTTTCGTGATAAAGTTGCAGATTTAACTATTTGTGCCAACAGAAAGGCAAGGAAATGGATAAATGCTAGAGTTGCTGATTTTTTAGGTTGTTTCATCTTTGATCCTTCTTCAACGCGAGACGTTTCATTTTTCACACGTCCAAGCCAACGTAAAGTAGAAATGATATATTGTGGCCGAGAATATGTAACAGACAGGGCGAGATGAGCATAAAATATGACCAACAAGCTCACATTGAGACATGGTGTTGATTTTTTGGCTGTATTCTTTCTCTGTAACAATTCATCAGGAATTCAGAAAGCAAATGAATGAATCTCTAGAATTTGATGTTGCTGAATCTATATTTCTCAAATTGATATTATTGATGTTTGTTCAATTTGTGTGAACACGAGGAACAGAGTGAATCAGCCAACCCATCACTCAACAGCCAAAGTGAGGAATTGGGTTGGATGGATTGTAGATCAAGATATTTCTGCTGCTGGAATGAAGATCCTTTTGTTTCTGGGACCAGGCATTAAGTCCAAGTGTAAACAAGAACGTAGTCTGCTGTGCGATGCCTCGTTGTTTTCTAGATGAAGATTGATTTCCCACTCTTGCTTTCTTTTTTCTTGCGGATGTGAGTGAGTGACGGCTATTTGGTTGGCGTCGACTAATACAACGCATAATGTTGACTATGACTAAATACTTAAGAGGCTCTTGGCAATCATTATTATTTTTCGTACTTGATGTATTAATTGAATTAAACGTTTTTTCTCCAAACACTTTAAAGATTTTTCAGTGGTTTTAAAGAATTCCAATACTTCCTGCTAGTTCAGACTCTAGAATTACTGCATATTCCCAGACTACTTGCAACAAATCCTGATAGAATATATACGTATTTATGCAAAATGTGCCAAATTTTAATTACGAGGAAGTCATTCTTTTAATTGCAATGGGATTAGTGGAATCAGTTAACAATAGTTTTCCGCATTGTCAGCGATTGTCAAAATATTTTTTTTATTGTTTGTTGCATATTCTGTCCCAGCTCGTTCTCTTCTCTGTAACGTGTAAGGAGTTCAATTTAAACAATACGGAGAATTTTCTTATAAGTTCAGATGTTGTTGACACGACGCCAATGCGCCCTATTTTTTCTCATGTTTCTTCTTGGCTGCCCTGTTTCGGTGTTCTTCCTCGAGCAAGGTGATACTAATGTGCTCAGTCGCCCTGCATAATGACATGCCGTGGCAAGAGAATAACTCAACTCGAATCCGGCCAGCTTTCAACAACCCCCAGCCAGCCGGATCCGGCTTATGCTTACTTTCTTTCTTTCTTTCTTTTCTAGAGAAGCAGTGGCAGACAGATTTTAATATCTTGATCCATTTGGCCATCAACTTGTACATATTAAAAATTATTCCTGTCTCTCCTTCCTTCGTATTTCCTCTGACAGCTCTTTTGTCTTGTGTCTCCACTCTCTAATGAGTTCTGCATGAGCTGGTCTAAGCTCTCTCTCTCTCTCGTTCGTTCTCCACTTTTTCTCTGCTGCACAAACCTCACTGTGAATGAATGAATGCTACTGTTTTCGGGGTTGCTGTAATTTGCAACCGTTGTCTTTTTGAAATGAGATGGTGGCTTGGTGAAAGGCAATTTTGCTCGCAAATGATTTTTATGAATTCTATTTTTATATAACCTTTGGTTGACTTGTACTTTTTTAGACGAGCTGATGCATATATTACTTTCAGTCATTGGTATTAAATTGTTTCTATTTTCATAAAGTATTTGTTGTTACACATGGATCATTCTTAGGCTTGAGTGATATCTTAAGCTATTGTGGATCATAAAATCACTTACGAAATCCAGTGAAGATGATTTCAGAGCAGATAAAACTGGTCAGCTTATCCTTTACCGTACGAACGACTACTTTGGAAGAGGTCATAAATGTTTTTAAAATGGTGCAGTTAATGAGGTATATTACTAGTCAAGTTTTAGAGGAGTGAAATTTATCTCGGAAGTCCCACTGTGCTTTCTTTTTCACTCCGATGAGCCGGAGCATCTTGGGCTGAACCACAGAGCACCTACATGCGTACGTACCTCCATGGAATGAATCCCTTGTCGAGGATGATCATCGTCCTCGTTTCCTCTTAAAATGTCCACTACCCACCATAGCCTGCAGTGCTGGTTGTACTCTTTCGAAATGGGGTACTTACGGGTCGTTAAAGCCAGTGACTTGGAACAACTAGGGCTACTTTTGTCTTGTTCTTATAAAGGGAAATAAACCTGATAGTGAGGATGGCGGCGTTGTACAGAGCAATAAGATTAGATAGACACGAGGAAAGTGTGGTGTCGTCGTCGTCATTGAGGTTTGGCTTGTGTTGTTGTTGCACTTTCTCCTCGTCATCATCCGCTGGTTGAATCGCTAGTGCAAATCGTTATTGTTTTCCCTTAAACATATCCTCACTTTTACCTTTTACTCCTGCTAAGTATTGCCAGTTAACTGCTTCCACCACGAGTCTCATTTTACATGCCAGTCAACCATTACGGAAAAGTGGTGTGTTCACTGTTTACTTATCGTTTTACGTTCGATTCGCCCATTTTTGGGTGAATGCTGGCCTAGCACTTGACATGTGTTGATAACTTACGCATTTGGAAGATATCGTGTTATAATTCTGCATAAAATCATAATTCTACAATGATAAATAATTCATAATTGCTGCGAACATATGACGTTCGGTTGGTCAAGCCAAGACTTACAAAGAAAATGAAGTTATTCAAGTATATTGGGAAATGAGACACTCTGACTTGCTGTAACAGCCTATATACTCTTGAAGCTAATTGGAAATATAGATTGGATGCAGTTTCATGCCATTGGAAACGGCATGAAATTGTTGGTGCTAGAGGCGAGACAAATAATAGGATGAGATGACAATGACAGTGAACCGGAGGGGACTACAAGGAGACAATTCATTTATTTTGCTGACAATAAGTGTGAACGAAGCAGGGCTCATGTTGACCTTCCATATACACATATCGTGCAATAAAATATATTGGAAGAGGGTGCCGCCTTGTGACTAATCAATCAAGATGTGCCGTTGACTAGAAATGATTGGGCGATCACATTCAGTTCTTTTTTCCATAGCTCGCTGCGATACTTGTGTCGTAGAAGAAGGAAAACTGATAATTAGAAATCGCTTGCTTAGTATATGGACGTGATCAAGCTTACTAAATATAATGCTTTTCCTTTCATCGTTTGTAAAAGTAAATACAAACCACGTTATGCATATGCATAAATTAAAAATATGAGCATTTTCCAATTTATTATGCTGTACTTGCAGTTCCACCCAGAGAAGTGAAAATCACGGGAGTAAACGAAGGGAAAATTGGCGACATGATTACTCTCAACTGCGCGTCAACAAATTCAAATCCGAAAGCAGACATAGCTTGGTTCAAAGGAGGAGTGAGTTTGGACAATCCCTTCACAACAAGCTCAGTGTCCCCAGATGGAGGCTGGACCACGCAGTCCAATGTCACCTTTAAAGTGGAACCTGGTGAAGGGAGCTTCGTGGTGACCTGTCAAGCCATAAATAAAGGTCTCGGGGAATCCAAAGTGGCGTCGCATACTATCAACGTGATCCGTGCTCCGGGTCATCCAGTCATTTATAAGACGAGTCTCAATTTTAGCGAAGGTTAGAAAAATGATTATTACAATTATTACCATAAAGTATTGTACAATTTTATTCATCAATTATTCTGACAAGTTGCGTACAATCTCTTTTTCTATTCCACAGGTCACCTCCATAAAATTATTTGCACTTCTGTTGGGGGTCACCCAGTTCCCAATTTACAATGGTATCGTGAGGATAAGAAGGTAACGGAATTAATTATTTGCTTACAGAGTAATTTGGGAACGCATTCTAATTTATTGCGGTGGTTCATCTCAATGGATTTTAAATCTTTGTAGATTGAGTCCACAAATGAAAAGGAAGGAAATACAGCCAAAGCAGAGTTGTCGTTAGTGGCAAATGCTTCAGATAACGGAGTTACTTACAGATGTGAAGCAAAGAACAAGGCATTGCAAACGGCGTACTCTGAGTCCGTAACGTTTCACGTACTATGTAAGTACTTATTTATATGACTGTTAATAGAATAATTTTTGACTGTTTACATTTACTATTTATTGTTCGAAGTGGAGCTTGTTTTTTACTTACCTCAATTTTTTATCAGTTCCCCCAAGGACGGTTTCTATCAACGTAAAACCAAAGAAATTGAAGGAAGGGGAGCGAGCGTACTTAACCTGCGAGTCCTCGTCCTCCAACCCTCCAGCAAAAGTTGTGTGGCAACGAAATGGAATCCATATCCCTGCTCACACCAACTCCACCAAGGACGGAGTCTACGGTGGCAAGAAAACGGTCACTACTTTGGAACTTAACTTAACTTCTGAACTGGACAATGTCGCTTATACATGTCAAGCAACGAATAGTGCTATCAAGAAGAGCGTCCATGATGGCGTCACTCTTCAAGTTCTATGTAAGCAGGACTTTCTTAAAAGCACTTTTTCTATTTGTATCGACAGCGTTTATAATTTCTCGTGTCTCTCTTGTTGGCAGCGTACATTTATATTTTTGAATCTTAAATATTTTACTAGATATATAAACGATATAGATTAGGACTTATTTACTACAGTCAATATCTCGAAACCTTTTCCTGAGGTTGATTTAGTGCATAGTTTGTACTGCAGGGGGAAGCTTTCCATATTGTTGGGGGAAATCTAATATCATTGGGTACTTGAAATTGATCGAGATGGGGAAGAAAGTGGAGATAGAGCTACTGGATGACCTTTACTCTGACTTGGTAGCAGATTGACTAGTAGTGTGTTCAACAGGGGGTTGATTTCTCTGCTGCCGCTGATGATGAGATACGATAGGATATTGCTTTCCTTGAGTTTCATCCACTTGGATTTGGAAAGATGTGATCTGACAGGCAGGCAGACAGAAAGAAGGAGAGAAAGATTGAAGAAAAGGTCTGGGATTGAAATTGATAGAACGGGGAGAAATGTACATATGTACATTTATTTACTTTCCCACAACACATTCATTGAACAAACGCATAGAAATAGAATTGTTGTTGGGGTTGTTGGTGATCCATACACGAGGAGATTTCCTCCCCTTCTCCTCCTCCTCCCGTTTTTTGGTATGTTGTATGGTTCGTGATAATAAGTGCTCTTTTTCTTCTCAACAATGCAGACAAACCAAAGTTCATAGACAGCCCTGGGGAGAAAGTTAGCGTGGTTGAAGGTGAAGCAGCCGTGGTGATGGTAAAAGCAAAAGCCAATCCTGATCAGATAAAGTACAAGTGGTCCAGGTGAGTGTAATTGCAACAATATATGTCAAACTGTGTATCCACCAACATATTCCAGTGTTATGATACTTTCTCTTCTTGTTTCATATATTTTTTAGTTTTGCTAAACTGAAAGTTCCTTTTTACCTGTTGTGAGACGGGTTTTGCGTGTGCATTGTATTGAACTGCTTTTCACTAGCATATTTTTTGTCTAATGTTACAGAAATAACACCCCTCTCAAAATTAAACCAAAGAAGCTATTCTTTGATGGGCCCGTGTTGAATTGGACGTCAGTAGGACGCAAGGACAAGGGGAAATATGAATGCGAAGCGAGCAATTCCGAAGGTTCTACATTGTACACCGTAGAACTTGATGTCCAATGTAAGTTTATTTGACTTTACTCGAGTGAGTGGGTGGATAGAATGTTGATGTCGCACGGAATCACAAAAAATTGACGTTCGTAGAGATTTGAAGGATTCCTAACGCAAATAAATGTATATACGACGTTATTTCCCTTTGTAGATAAGCCTACCGTTGAACCATCCTCTGAATACGTGATGGTAGGCGAAGGAGAAAGTGCGCACCTTGACTGCACATCAGGTAACAATACATTTATAGTGTCGCAATATGCTACATATTGGCATTTTTTGTGGTATTTTTTCACCAATGAATAATACCGAGAATTTGAAATCAAGAGAATAAATGTATGTTAAATAAGCGTACCCTAATGCGAATTTGATGTCGAAAATAGATGCGAATCCACTGGATGAGTCGATGGTGAAATGGACGCATGAGAGGGAGGGCAAAATGTCAGAATTGGAGTCAAGAATAAGTCGTTCTTTTCAGGACACAAAGTAAGGAGTTTTCTTAAAAGAGAGTTCTAAATAGTCTCTCCACTTTAGTCTTAAATACTTAGGTCAGTGTGTTTTTACTTAATTATTTATTGTATCCCACAGGTCTTACCTCACAATTTACCAAGTCACGTTGAACGACTCGGGGCTGTATACTTGCACCGTTAATAATAAAATCGGCGAACCTGCCAACGCATCCATTTATTTAATTGTCAAACGTAAGGAAAATTTATATTCAGTTTGTACAGTTTTGAATCTGCGTCAAAGTTTGTTTCCAATGTTCGAAATTACAATTTGATGGATGTGATGTTTGTCCGTGGCTTTGTGTGCTGGAGTAAAAGACGATGAGGGAATGGGAGCAAATGTGAGACAAAATGGATGTCTAGAGAGATGCCCGTTCGGAGAAGGGAGAAGAGAACGATGATATGTGACCATAGAATGTCTACTTGAAGTTCCAGCTATGTAGAAACTTGCAAGTATGTAGACATTTGGTGCAGAATTGCTGTGGGTTACAGTGACATTCTGGCAGGAGCGGAGGAGGAGTGATGTTGAAGAGATAAGATGTTGAAGGATGACGGAGTAGAATAATATATGGCAAGTTCCCTTGTGGTTTTTTGATTGTCACTATTGAATTGTAGGTCCACCCGACATTGATTTATCTCCACAAATCGCCAAGGCGGCTTCGAATAAGGGAGAAACTGGAAAATTAATATGCCGAGCCCGAGGAAATCCTAACGTGACCTTCTCTTGGTCTAGGTATGTATTCACACCTCGTTTTCTTGTCAGTGGTACCCCATACATCCACAGTCCCAGATAATTAATTGTACCATACTATATAATAATAACTAATGGAATGCGAAGTTTTCGCACTGAATACTGTCACCAGTCGAATCATCATATTCCCCCAGTGTACCAAGTACTTTTTGATTGGGCGATACTGATTTCGATTTTTGTCTCAAATCTAGGGAGGGGGCCTTGATAGCTACTAATGACTCCAAGTACTCCATCCAATATAGCCGGGTAAGACATCCAATATCTGCTTTAACCAATGTGCTTTCTCAATATAAACCCTCGCTGCGTGTTCTCCCTCTCCCAACATATATGACTATCTGACACTTTTCTTGCCCTCCCATTATTCCCACCGATGATGACGCACCGTCCTCCTCTCACTACTATGCATTATTGAATGAAGGATTCCGTTTCATTCTTTACCTCACATCTCAGGACAAAGTGGTGGTGGTTTCCTCTTCTTCCTTTGATGTCCATTCTTAGAACTTAACGGAATAACTAAAATTGAGATGCTGGAGATACATTGTCCCCTCGTTTAGATTGCTATACTAATGCAGTATGATTTAAGCCGTTGTGGTAAGGAAGGTGCTACCCTCTTATCGCTGCTCTTCACCAGAGGAGAAAAAATTCCGGGTTTTGAGTTTTTTCCTAGTTTCAACCTTCTCTCTCGCTTTGCAAAATACATTGCTCGCTATCTCGAAACTTCGCATCGACCTTGTGGGGGGAGAGGGGGAAATCGGGCAAAAAGAGCTTATTAATTGAGAAAGATAATTTTTTTTAATTTTTCTACGTTGGTCCCAAATTTTTTCGTCCACGGAGAGTACCTCTGCGTAGATTTTAATAAACACATTGAAGCTTATGCAACTTTAAAATCTACGCAGAGGTACTCTCCGTGGACGAAAAAATTTGGGACCAACGTAGAAAAATTCAAAAAAAATATCTTTATCAATTAATAAGCTCTTTTTGCCCGATTTCCCCCTCTCCCCCCCCCACAAGGTCGATGCGAAGTTTGGAGATAGGCGAACAATGTATTTTGCAAAGCGAGAGAGAAGGTTGAGACTGGGAAAAAACTCAGCCCCAAATTCTCCTCCTTCTCGTCACACTCCCCGTTAAGGGCTTTTCGATCCTTGTAAGATTTTGCTTTGCTGTGATGACTAATTTGACAAGTATTGAATTATCATATTTCTAAAAATAATTCAAAAATCGTTCTGTCTTTATTATTTATACATTGAGCTGAAGGGCAATGATTTATTTAACAGATTGACATGATGACTTGGGAATCAGTTTTGTCCGTGAAGAACGTTCTGCCTCCAGATTATGGTTTGTACGAATGCATGGCACACAATTCGCTTGGTGATGAAACTCACCAAGTGCGACTCGAAGTGAGATCAGTCCCGGAACCACCAAACGGTCTCAAAGTTGTAAACTTTACCCAAGACTCGGTTACCTTGTCTTGGAGTCCTGGCTTCGATGGTGGGCACGACCAGTCGTTCAAAGTAAGCACTCTCATTTTCCACTGTTGATGAAGATATATGTATGGATCATAATCAATGAATCATAAATGAACAAAAGCATGGAACCGTGTTGGCTCTCTAAATCAAGACATTAAAAAAACTCTAATAAGACCAGTCTTTGAATTTAAAAAATTAACAGGTGAAGTGGTGGAAAGTTGGAGGTTTCGGCGGTGTTCGCACGGATGAAGTTTTCCCAAAAAATGCCACCGTTTACACAATCAACGGTTTATCACCAGTGACAGAGTTTGGCTTCAGTGTGGCTGGAAAAAATTTGCTTGGTGAAGGAAACTACACGACAGATATTGTCCGGCAAGAAACCTCAAGTATGATTATGTTAATTCTGTTCACATACGGAAATACTGCCATGCTGTACTTTATGAATAATTGCTTCATGTGAAATTTTAAAAATATATATGCAATTGCTGTCCCTTCTGGTACTGTATTTTCTATCCGTATCTTTTAATTTTATTTCATTTTATGAAATGAAATATTGAAATGGTGGTGGTATTTCTCAACAATAATTTTATCTATCATGGTGTATGGTAACTCAACTACTATTGGTGTCTTCCGGTCTAACTCTGGCTTGGTTTCTTTTCTAAATTGCTGTTTATGTCGGTGCTGGGCTCGAAGTTGGACCAAATCCTTACGCTACTCCAGAAGGCGAATTTCCATCAAATCCTTTCTCTCGCCTGGTTATAAGTGTTTTCATTATTGTGGGCGCAACAATGTTATTCATCAACATTTTCCTCATTGCCTGCTTCCTAAAAAGACGCTCCAAGAAACGATTAAGCTCAGGTGAGACACTTTGACTCATTGTTTGAAATTTTTTCCAGTCCTGCAACGATTCCAATTCTCTCAAATGCTGGATGGAAAACCGGATGCCTCAAAAATTATAATTATATCAGTCTCAATTATCGGGACAGTTCTTTTGTTGTTGAACATTTTGGTCGTCTCGTTCTTCATTTACAAGAAAAATTACAATGTGAAAGAAAAAGAAGACGGTAAAACTAATTTACTTTGGTTGATTTACTAATTTATTCCGTAATGCCAGCACTTGTTTGTTTGTTAGCACATCAAACCACTTCAGACTAAAACTTAGAGAAAGCTGATTTAAATTTTCAGTTTGAAACAAACGAATCATTTAAAACCCAAATTGTCATTCACAATCGATCACATTTTTTATGTTTATAATCGACGACGAGAAGCATTATTTTTTTAATGGTGGCTGTTTCAAGTTGTCTGAAATGAGTAAACTGGGACGGTGTTGTCCTTTGGAATTCATTGTATCAAAGTAATTTGATGGGTTTCGTTTCAGTCGTTGTTGTTGATTTGATGTATCGATGATAGAAAAGTGTTGAAACCGAAATGGGATTTTGTTTGGATTCCCTGTTTTTTGAAGCCGTGTGTATTTGGCGTTGGGATTTAAAGAGAAATGATTAAATACTGATTGTGTTTTTGGGTTGTTTGTTGTAACAGCTAGTGAACAAGGGAGCAGTAAATCAGCAATTGAGATGTATGGTCCCCCCAGTTCCTATAATGAAACTGTCAACGGGGAAACTCTCTCTTCTATCTCGGAGAAAAGCGGAACCTATTCCCACCCAGAAAATCACGACGACGATCATCACTATATCGTAAGTTTGCCCAATTCCTCTTTATTCGACCAAATGCTTTGTTTCACCCAATCCCTGAAGATTGTTGGTTGACACTAATTCTCTTGATATTTGTCGACAAAAAATTTATAGTCAGTAGAACAATAATTCCGGAATTTGTACAACTTTTTTCATATGTAACCACAAGATATTTTGCACATAAACGTATATGTACGCAGTTCAAGTAGAGCATAGGTTTTGCAGCTATTCAAAATGGCCATTCTGAACCTCATCAAACAAACGGTTTCTCATGAAGCAAAGGTTTCGGACAGAGAGAGAGATGTAAATGTTTGAATATTTTATTTGATCCGCACAGGAGGACGGTGGGAAGGGCCCTGGAGCCAGCACTTACTTGGTAGAACAAATCAATCATCATCATTCGTCAGGGTTTCCTTATCGTGACATTGGAGGCGTCTCGTACTCTACACTACCACGAAAAATCCATCACGGAGCTCCTATTGAGCCAGTGAGCGGTCATCCGGTCCACCACGAAGATGATGGCTACGTGGATGCTCTGCGTAGAAATGCGTACAACAATCAAGGCGTTGGTATGTCTAAAAATCTTACTTTCATTTGCATGCAATTTTTCAATACTTTTCTTTTCTTTCTCGATTTCCTTATTATTGAGCTTACTCAGAACCTGTTAATTGATTTATTGCGTGTAATGATTGATATCTTGGTTTGAAGGCAAATTTAGGTTTCCGAAACAAACAATTTTCTTTTATCTGACAATATGTATACGGATACATGCATATATATCCAGAATTCCAGACACTGAGACAACGTACATACATACATACGAGTAACGAGGGGATGCAATTTTATAGCTCCCATTTTATCAGATATTTTCAAAGTTTTCTAATTTCATTTGTGACAATTAGACGTTAATACCAAATGTGGTTTGTTTTTGCAATTTGCTTTCTCCAAAGAATGGCGTTTCTATTTCCTTCCGAATATAGCAAAGCCACCAGAATTATCGAATGACTTTAGTTTTCCAAAGTGAACAAGGAAAAACAGTCATTCTATGTCGTTTTCCAATAGAATTTCATTCTCCCACACCCCACACACCTGCCTGAACCTCGTTTTCTTCGGCTCTCTTACTTTTCTTTTCGTCAGTTTCGGCCTGCAATTGTTATTACTTTTGGTCCTTCTGTTCAGGAGAGTAAATGCTCATACTTTTTTCTATTTTTTAATTTAGGTGATAAAACGTTATTGTACGGTCGAACCACACCTCGAGTCGCAAGCCGTCCACCAAATGTTCCACCGATCCCAGAGTTATACAATATCCCACCTGAAGCACGCTATATTCCATTTCCTCCGCCCGGCTTTGGAGGCAGTCCCGTCGGCAACGGCAGTGTGCGACACTCATCTTCTCACAACATGCTCAACTCAGCCATCAGCCCCACCAACACCTCGAGCTTCCAGGCAAACGGCCGTCTTATCACTGCTAATGGTCCCCTTTCTCCTGGAAGGGGCTCCATACTGACCACATTTGCCCCAAACCCAAGTCCTATGATGGAACATGAGGGTCATCTCGTCTGATTTTTTAATTTAGTCTGCTCTAAATCAATCCATGTCCACCTCCACCGCACCTGTTCTCGATCCCTTCCTCTCTCTCTCTAGCTCTCTACCTCTGTATATCTACACCACCAAGTACCACTAAATCAGCAGCTCTGTGACTACTCTGAAGCTGATTCAAAACCACCGAGAAAAATAAATCGTCACTTACATGCACCCGATGTATTATATTGCTTACTCTTGTCGTGCTGCTAGCACTAGAGAAAGTTATTTAGTCAGGAGAGGATCAGCGGACGCGACTCCAAAGTTATCTCAATAATTCACGTCTTATCTTGCTAAAGTGGCGGTGCAAGTCATTTTTATAAAGTATAATATATATATCCATATACTTTGGACTATTTGTAGTAATTTTTCTAGTGAAGATAATCATTACATTAACTCTGATAAATATAAGGGGAAATATTGTAATATATAAAAAAAACGTATAGTTAGCGTATGGTGGTTTCTCATAAATTTACTTTATTAAAGATATAAAAGTAATAATAATAATAACAACTCTCCGACCGAGACAACTCCTCCCATCCCAAAATACTTGTTATTATTCAATACGATACGTTTACAGCGTCGGGAACGAAAACCGAAACCCAAAGATCTCTTGCGTCATTTCCCTTCTGACGCTGAAAATTTACGATATATAATTTGTTTCTATTGATTTCCTGAATCTATACGTATTTAGCATTATTATTCTCAAAACAGTTTAATGTGATTATTATTGTTATTTTCTGAATCTTTTAGTAAAATCTAAATTTGTATATATTTAATTTTTGGCATTTATTTATTGAACAATGTATTATTAAATATGTATGGTGTTCTATGAGCTTATACACGATTGGTTTATATTATTTACTCTTGTTCAACTTTTGAATTGCAAATTGACTTATTATACTTAATACATTTGTTAGTCTGTATCTTCTGGTTTTACTTATGTATTCTTAAAAACCTAAGTTACCGGTGATAAAAAAGACCATGTCACTGCATATTGCAGGGAGTTGGTTGATGTTACCACTAAATAGATTATATAATCTTATGTGCTTATTTTTTCTGACAAGTACCGTAAAATGACAATAATATATTTGAATTCAAAGAAATTTTACATACAATTATAAGTCGCCTTAAGTTTACTTGGGTATTAAACGACATCGAATTTTGCGTGAACCATATTACTTGTTAGTAATTATAATAAAATGAATTAATTATTTCAAGTTTAAAGATTGGGTAAGAGGTTTATGTATTACCGAGAAACGAATTTTTACGGGTAGGATTTGGATTAATTAATCACTTTACATAATTGGCTGAAAATATTTATTACAAAAAGAAGGCTGAATGACCTTGATCTGCATTCACAATCACATAAAAATATATGTACAAGTACAGTAAACTTCAATGGACTAGTATTACAGATGTACCGTAGGTGTGTGCATAATTTGGGTAAATGGTCAAAGATTAATAAATATTTTTATTCTCAACTGAAAATGGCTAGAAAATTCCCAAACATGTGTAAATTGTAAATTCTATTATTGTTGATATTATTAAATGGTAAATGTTGTTGTCGAAGTTGAGTCACTTAAGTTATTTGTGGTAACTACAAATATTCCACAAATAGATTAATGTAGTAATAATTGACATAGTTCTTTAGAAATGCACCAATATTTCTTGTTTCAGTCACATTTTTTCAAAGTTTAATTTAATCTACAATTGAATATAGATACATACATATGCATAATACGTAGATCTTATGATTTGTAACGTGCTATTGAATATTTGGTAAAGTCAGTGATGCTAAAAGCTTACATGTTAGGGTTACGAAATATTATATGTACTTGCTGAATGCATGACATAGTTTAAAAGAGTATTTATATATTATTATTATTTACTATTATGTGTACATTATTGTTACATGTTAAATGTGACAATAGTTAAAGCACATCTTCCGAGTTACATTATAGTACTTAAGCTAATGACTATAGAATTATATTATTATATAAATTCTCCAGTTATCCCGCAGTACGGTTAAATTTATTGTTAGCTTAAGAAATAAGGCTAGAATGATAGTTTTTGCCAAACGACAGAAATCTGAACGTTAGGAACTACAAATTTTCTTACAAATTGAAGAAGCTGGAAAATGTTACATCAGAAAAATTAATCGTGTAGCAAGTAATTAATGAACTAAAGACTATATGGTGAATGATCTATAATTAAAATTGTATTATCATAAATTGTCTGTAGTAGTCGTTTGAATTAGAGCTGCAAAGAATTCCATCTCATGTGCCTTAATTTTTAAAAGTTTCAATAAATTAGTGAACTGACTGCGTGAAAAATAAATAAAAAATGTGTGCAATGTCGTTTATTTATTTATATGCATTCTGTAATATCACGATTGATTGCCTTTTGGCACCTTAGGAACACTAGCATTGTAATAGGAAATTGATTATTAAAGTAAAGCCACATTGCTGTAATACCATACTGAAACAATTAACTAATACGCTTGTCGCAAAATGGGTGTATCGGCCAGTGCAATAAGATTAACAACATCGTTTGCATTTCCGTTCACCAAAACTACAACTGCACGCTCCTCAATTTTTTATAGCTACCGGCAGCAGCTAACAAAAACTCCTAAATTAAAAGTTAACCCTTTTGTCAAATATAGCAACTTACTGCCGAAAACAGTAGTCAGCTACCCAACAGAATTGGAGGTACTGAAACCGTTGAGTCAAATCTACCTTAACCAGACCAAAGTTTCAGGTTGCTTTATCACAATATCCATGAATTTGCAAAGTAGCCCAAATGAATAATTCTTCAAACCGCATGCAATTTCTAGGTCTTACCATTTCACCAAAAAATGATGGATTATCAACTGTTAATTTGAATGTTACGAGTAAAAAGGACACGATCTTGCTAAAAATTGTGTACACACGAGGCAATATTCCTCAACAGCACAAGATTAACGTGTATGGTATCGGAGAGGACAAGCCACTTTTAGCGGTGATGAATCTGGAATCTTCATTTCAGCACAAAGGATGCGTAATTAAAATTATATAATAAAATTACTAAAATTATTCGCCAACTGTTGACGGTGTAAAATAAATTTTGTAGATTTTGTGTGTAAAATCCCCTCCAGAGCATGTTATTGGTTATGTGTACGAATTACCAGGCATAAGTTCCGTTGCCATTATTCAAAATGAGAAGCAGGAAACCATTTTGCAGATTTTAATGAATGGTGAATTTGGATGGTCGAATTCGGCAAAGGTTAATTGCACATTTTATTAGCTTTATGAGTATAATTTAATTCTTTCATAAATTGTAGATCTTGAGTGCAAAAGGAGACAGGAAGTTGGGGCGCATGTACAAGAGGAAAGAAGGCCCCACAACGACCAGAAACGCACTGCACACGGTTATCCATTTACCAACAGATTTGCCTGTGCCTACTAAGCTAATACTGATTGGGACGTGTCTGAATTTGGTACGTTTTCGAACACATACCGAATAGTAATTAAGTAATTTAATTAAGCATTCAATGTTTAGATGGGTCGATCTCAAATTTGAAATACTATTGCTGCCCCAAAATTAAAAGTTTTGCAATACGATAACAAGATGAACGATGTAAACATGCTTTCATTATGAGAATTACGAATCATTGAAATGAAATTAATGCAATAATATGTGCTTGTGACTTAATAGTGATAAACACAATTTCTAAAATTTTCACAATAGGAAATCAAAGACTTTATTTTTTAATAACGGAGGAAGGAAGCAAACACAAGTCATACATACAAGGCCACAAATTTGAAGGATAATAGAATGTAATGAGATTTATAGGTAATATAGCATATTGTAGTATACACTACTTTGAATCAATATTGGAGAGTGACATTTTTTGCAATGCTCGCAATGACGTGCATTCCATACTCGCCTAAACCTTTAGGCCCAAGGTAGTTATACACGATTTTACCAAATTCTCGGTTATCCTTTGCGGGACAGTTAGCCTGAAATGAACACAAAGTTAGACAATCAGTAAACGAAAAGTTAATCAAGAATATAATTTTTATAAAATTGAAAATCCTATTACGTTTTTCACATTAGTTCCAACCCCTTGACAAATGCAAGCCTTGCGATCGAAATCGCAGTAACCTCCTTCAGCGGCATGACCACAGATGCAATCAACAGTGCAAACGTTACGAAAGTCATCAGTTGGCTCTTTGCAGTGGTTGGATTTTTCCATCCCCCCAGCTGAAATGTTAATTAAATTTATTTGTCCTTCTTTTTAACCGAATCTGATGCGAAAAGAGAGGAATGAACTTACTTGGAGAGTAGCCCGAACAATAGCAATTGAAATCCCCGTTGTGAACATCACCGCACTTGCCACCTTTAAAGTTCCAATTGTGATTAATTATTACATGATTTATTAAATATTGTACTATTTAGGTGCTTAAAAATCTTACCAGTTGACCCGTGATTGTTAATGCAGTCAATCTGTAAGAACAATTTAATTAACAACTCGAGTTACGTGTTTTGCTCTTATTTGCGTATTGACCCAGGCCAAGATTATTTGACACTTTATCAATCTATAAGGTTACGACAAATGCCCGAGTTACAAATGAATTTTCATTTTTAAATTGTCGTGGGTTACAGTTTATTTTTTTAATATTTTGGCTGGAGAATTGGTTTTTCGTCCATGGGAGAAAAACCAATTTTAAAATAATTTCAAAAATGAATATTTTATTTATAACTCGACCATTTGTCGCAACCGTTAAGGGTAACTAGGCAATAAATGTCAAGCAATCGTGGACCCAGGCAGTATAAAATTTAGTTGTTATAGCTAGCATAAGAATATATTTGTTAAAAATTCTTACGGAGCAAGGAAAAAAAACCTTCGTTTTTGGATCGATCGCGCACAAGAAATTCTCATATGCAGCATTCACTAAAAAATAAATAAAAAATTCAATGGACGTACTACATGAATTTGCTGGATCAAAGTTATTGCACATACCTGCCATGATGCAAAGGGCCACTACAAGAACAAATGAGAAAAGACCTCTCATTTTGCAATCCGTTGATTTAGACAATTTCTTCTGTAGAGAAAATATGATTCAGTAAGAGAATGAAACGGTTTGAACAAGAATGGAATTTTTTTCGAAATTTTCTTCAGTTTTATAGTGACCCGACGAGGAAGAACCCAATGCCATGTTGACCCAGTAATCGTTGATCATGTGTATGTTTGTGAGTACTTGGAGGATGGATGCAATAAAAGTCCCTCTATTCATAAAACATACATTCACTTGTAAAATCTTGTTGCATGAACTGATAGCGAAAAAAACCTACATTGTGCAGTGTTCATATAGCCCGAGTCAGGGACAGAGTCCGCTTCTAAATTTTTGCCCAATGACCCGTACCGATTAATATTCGCAATCGTCAAAAATGTTTCTATAATCCGGCAAAATTTGCAAAATTTCAGATTCTTTAACCAATTTCAAAAACCATACTGGGTCCTCCTGAGAAAAAAATCTTAAAATTTAGTTCATATTTATTAAGCTAATGCTTAATTCTTAATGCGATAACGAGAGTTCTCATAAGACGGACGGACGGACATAAAGGTTCCACAAGCCCTGACTCGGGCTAATACGGATGCATTACGCATCCGTCAGGAAGGCGAAGGTCAAGGACGACATTTTGGAGGCGACATTCATGTACACAAAGAGTAGGCACATATGCACATACATGCTTGCACAGATTGTATTATTCCAGTAAAAAGGGGACACACCGCCGGATGTGATCCCTCAAACTCGTATAATGACTTTATTGTTTTAGGTGACTTTTGGTCCCAATCTGTAAATGAGTTTTTCTCAAAGTCCTTTTGTATTTTCGCTCTTGGAGGTCAAGGTTAAATGTAGATGCAGATGTGCTAGTACATAAAAGACATGAGTTTGTATTACAAAATAGACCAAATAATATGGTGCATGCTACATATCAGTGATCGCTATCATAATTTTCAGTGATGTTTGGGTACATGCCTACTTAAGTACTTTCATATATTTATAGAGTGCAAATTCGCTGTATATCCAGACTAGCACTTAAAAATAACAACCAGGTGATATCAGACTTATTTTAATACAAAAGTCCAATCTAATCAATCATTTCATGCTCATCAAACCAATCAATTATGAACCATCTGACAATTGGTCGATTATGCACTATGGATTGCAAATGTACATAATATTCTTAATTGTACGTGTTTATCTTATCAAATTGGACCAGCCCATGTAATGAGAACGTGTGTACCGCATTAATACCGAAAAATGCAAAATGTTTCTCTACTAACTGATGAGAAAGATAAGTCTGAATATATAAAACTGCAAAAGTGGTGAGAGAATCGCTTGCATTGCTGCTCTCCTCCAAAATGAAAGTCCTCCTTCTTCTGTGTTTTGTGGCATTTGCCCACAGCAGACAAATTAGCTTCACTAATCGGTGCTCTCAAGATGTGTGGGTGTCACCTCTGACGAACGCACAGGGTCCTCCACATCCCGATGGAATACGACGACTAGCGAACGGTGCCACACACGTCTACCAAATCTCAGATGCAGGTTGGGGTGGTCGATTCTGGCCAAAGACCGGATGTGACGCCAACGGTCAAAACTGCGAAGTTGGTCAGTGTCAATTTAAAATATGTCCCTTGTATGTAGAATAATCCTACCATTAAACTACTTGTGTACTAAATTACGCTTGAATCCTATAGGACAATCCGTCGACCCGTGTTTACCAACTGGGTTAGTAAACGATATAATTATCTGCTAAATGCAATGTTTCACATGTAGTTTCATTACTTAATATAAGGCACTAGTAATAATACTTCTGTAATGCTTCCAGTTGTGATCCACCTGCAGAGACCAAAGTAGAATTTTTCTTTCCCCCAATCACAAATACCGATGATGTCTGGTACGATGTTTCTCTTGTGGACGGGTACAGTCTTCCAGCACAAATCATTCCTGATCAAAATGTACGAAGTCTCATTAGGCTCAGCTACAATAAGTAGTTTTTGCTGTTATTGCAGATCTTAAATTATTATTATTCTAGGGGGGTGCCTGTGTTCCAACGCATTGCGCTGTATCCTTAGACGCTTGTCCACAAAACGATCTAGAAGTCGGAGATCTTAGGGTGATAAAGAACGGAAGAACTGTCGCATGTCTTGCCCCATGCAAGGTATCGTCTTTTGATGAATAAACTAATTTGTAATTACGTTTAAAATTAATCAAGTATAATTAATTGGAAGAAATGGAATTACCCTCCACCATTCGGACACGGTATATGATTTTATTGATTTTAGGTTAATGAAATTCTTGACTAAATTTAATTCTATTTTAACAGGGCGACCTGAAGACATTGAACCGGGATTGTGGCTTTGTTGCCCAACGCCACCGATAGATCCTCTGGCTTGTCGAGCTGGTCTTGTGGTTAGGACAGCATACGTGGACTTGGTAATTTACTTTTTGTGGTGCCTAATTTATTTCTGTGTTGATAATATGTGTAACTTCTCGTATATTTATTTCAGGTTCACCGGTAATTCACAATCACATATGCTTAAACAACTTTCAAATTTCTGATTGTGAGAATTTTAACATTATTCATTCTATCTCAATTTTTTCTAGAACATGTCCATCAGCATACAGCTACTCTTATGACGATGAGGCCGGGTTACACAACTGCCCAACCAACACCAACTTTGCTGTTACATTCTGCCCATAAATTCGAAATTAAAAAAATAATGTTGATTACAATTCGATTTTATTTTTAACTCAGTGTGTGTCCTTTAAGACGCTTCTTAACTCGATTTTAAATTTATTCCTTGATACAAATAATTCTTAATTTGACCACTGAACTTGTGCATAACTAAATGCAACACTTTAAAATTAAATTTTTATGGGTGGAATTAATTCGACTAAACTATTAGTGCCGCAGCGCTCATTAAAAATTATCTGAAAAAAAAATATTTGGTTTATTTCGACCTCGGAGATCGGCATTTTTTTAGTAAAATTAAAATTACGAAATCTGACAGCAATATAAAGTCACTGCATGGTACCACTATACTAAATACATACATATTATGTGAGTTTACGCGTTACGATCTTACTCGGATTTGTAATACGGTTTATAATATAGGAGAAATCATTTAAACTTTCAAATTATGCATTAATGTACACAACAACTTGTGCATGTACATACGTATCATTCATTGTTACTCTTCTTAGAGTGCGTTGAGGGTGGCTATATATCTACGATAATATGTAAGTTTAATACGATGGCACTAGTAATTTGGAACAAGTCGAATAATATTGGTTATGCCTGTCTGTATGCACTTCATGATGAACTAATGTCATGATTCGATGCAATCTCGCCACATAAATGCAGGTTTGGTAGCATACGTCACATCATAATGCAGGAGTAAATGTTGTGAGCCTAGCCTACTATTTGCCCATGTGAAATCAAGATGCACCTCACGGCAGAGAGAGAAGGATTTGCAGGTGACATCAACTAGTCACTCTCGCAACTTAGGATGCATCCTTAGTTAGCTAATGGTCTTAGTTCAAAATGTAAAGAAAATCACAGAGCTAAAGAGCCAAACATTAGTTTATTATTACAATTTGATGAAAATGTTTTCCCTTTTCACAAACGTCTCTTAATCGCCGTGGCGTGAGAGATTCATGCTGCACATGAAAAACTGCAATTTCACTCTTGATCTCGTTGGATCACATCAAGTTGGCATTGACCTCTGAGGACATGCTTGAGATAGTTTGATTTTACCACAGTGCATTGTCGCGCATCATTAAGTTATTGAAATAGTGTGAAATATTTATTTATAAAATGAAAACTTTAGGAAATAAGTTTACCGTCATTTTTATAATCTTGTTTTGTGGAAGTGGAGTTTTGTTGTCTCAAGAAGCTTCAGCAGAAGCACCAAATGGTACCAATAATGAAAAATATTCTGACATAATTCCCAAAGGAATTGATCCAATGGATACTTTCGCATACTGTAAGTTGTTTTTCCTTTGTACAAATTTTGTGAATGAAATTAATTGCAGTTATTTATTGAATATTATTTTTCGATCAGCTCTTCTAATTGAACATTTGAAGCGTCCTCCGTCACGAATTTCAACCGATGGGAAGCCAATTGAGCATGGATATTATGTGATTGATACGCACAGAAAAGCTGATGGCTCTCCAATTCACTTTGAAAGAAACGATTTCTCGGGAGGACTTACTGATCAGGTTTTGCCCCCACTTCAATCAAGCAAATCTGAATACAGTGCTGGGGGTGGTGGGGTCGCATCAACCTATCAACAGTCAACAGATCAAAATGTCGCCTCAAGTTTTCACGAAGAGATTAAATTAAGCAGTGGCAACACTAGGGATTTATCAAACATTTCTTTAACTTCAACAACTGAACCCCCACTTCCACATTTGGCACAAGATGTTCATCCTCCAAACGTCAACAGCACATCAGAATATCAGCAAAGCCACAATCAACAACAGACCCACGATCATGGAAGTGTATCAAGTCAAACAACGACAACATCCGCACCAGTAGATGCACCTAACCCTGTGGAATCATCGTACCAGAAGCACCCAAATTTTCCACAATTGCACACACTGAGTGAGCAATTGAAATTTTTAAGTGAATCTTTAAAGCAACTGCAACTATTATCACGACCAGGAGTAGGTGCATCCGAGCAGCAACAATCTCATCCTCACGTATCACAATCCATAATAAATCACCAAAATACAACATCACAAGAACCTCCAAACCTTCAACAGCAACAAGTTACACCCGCACATACGTCGAATTCAGATCTAGGTGTTTCTTCTACGGTGCCCACAATTGGATACCAAACCTCCCAAAGTAGTGAGCCACAAATGCGACTTCCAGAAGATCTTGGCACGCATATTATGACGCTGCATAAGACCAATGTCCCCTCGACAGATTCTCCACTGCCATCGCCCCAGGCAAGCCCAGGCCCAAATGAATTGGAACACGGAATTCCTACGAATCTTAACGAGGAAATGGATTTGTTGGAAGCATCGTTGAGAAATCAGGAGTATTCTCAGTCACAAGGGTCGCCAGGAAGCGCTCCAAATGTCCATGAAACTACAAATAGTCCACCTCCCAGCCACCTACAACAGAACTATCATAACCTTCATCATCATGCTAATCTGAAGCCCACTGTCGTAGACAAAGTAATTACAAATGGACTCATCTCTGCACACAACCTACCAGTGAAGTACCACCATTCGGTTTCGCATAAAATCCCAGGACAGCAAGTGCCTGTAAACAATCACCCTGGATTCGTTCCTAACAGTGCTCAACCCTACTACGACCACTCGCAGTATGATAATAACTCTCCAGTAATTTTTAAAAACCAGCACTTTAGTATTCAGGGCTCCCCTTTGGCACAGACGCATTACTTCAAAACAGGTTCTCATCATCAAGAGCAAACCAACTACGAAGGGAATTCGTATCAACAAGAACAACAAACTCCGATAACGACAAACAAGTACTTTCAACCTAACATAATTTCACGTCCACCTTTGCAAATAAATGCACATTCACACTTTCCAATAATTTCTCGGGACAACACCATCCAAAAAGCAGTAGAAATTCTCAACAACTACAGCGATGCTTTTCTGGAGAATATAATTCTGACCGAGCAACAGCAGCAGCATAAAAAAGTCAAGCAACAACCTACACCAAATAATTTCCACGTACCGGTTGTTACGAGTACATCACCACCCACAACGCCTGTAACCACACGCAGTCCAATACAAAATTCACAAATCAAAATTCAACCGTTTTCCGAATCTGGCGTTGACTATCCCCAAACGATTTCGGCAACAACTAGTATTCCTCTAATTCGGCAACCCAGCCCAACGCCACAACAAATCAACGTTCAACAACAGCAAACTTTTGAGCAATATTCTCCTAAAAATGTCCAAACAGATTCGCAGTTTTCCGAACAAAACACACGACCATATTCCGACAAAATACAGTTCAAACCCGCATACGCTCGCGTAATATTGCGAAATGGTCAACAGCAACATGGATTATCATCACAACTTTCGGAGAACATCGAGTCTTCTTCGAGTATAACGAATAAATATAGTTTTCCTAATTCACCACCGTCGCCGCCGAATCGTCCTCCTCTTCATCACTACCCCTCGGATGGAACAATTATTAAGTCCAACTCAATTCTTAAGCCACAGTTCTCAGCCCCAGATATGCTCTTCCAAAATACCAGACAAATTGAGCAAGTTTTAAAATCTGCAGTTTTGCCAACCCCCAAAGCTTCGAGCCAGAGTAGTGCGAAATATTCCACCATTTTCATACGCCCACAAGTAGGAGGAGGCAGTTCAAGTAGTGAATCATGGAAGACCGCATCATCTGAAGTCCAAAGTCGAATTCCATCCACCAACGCCGAACCTCTAAATCATGAAGGTTTTAAGAGTTTCGGAAAAATATTTTAATTTATACAACTCTTATGCATGCATGCATTGCATATACATATATTTGATATTTAAATCGTGTATTGTGTCGCAAATATTTAATGAGAAGAACAGCAGAGCTTATTTTGATATTGAAATATGAGAAATATTAAATGTGTTAATCTACTGGTGCATTAAAACATCATCATGACCATATCTGAATCACTTTGGCTATCCATAAATGCATAGTCGCTAGAATGGGAATCATTGTCATGATTTTCACAAACCATTAGGTTTCCGATATCATGGCAATGTTGTGACGTTGATCCATTCTCCTCCATCTCGGGTGGCACAGGTGGGGACATGATCGAAGCAAAGTACTCGGTCATGAGAAATTCGGGATTGGAGAATTGTCCAAACGATTCTGCTCCCAAAGGGTCAATTTTCCAGTGACCAGAAGTGTAAAAACCGTGACCTTGAGGTCCTGTAATTACCGAAGGCTTTTCCTGCTGGGGATCTTTGTCCTTTTGTACTGTGTTATCCAAAGCTGAAATTCTCATTCAATGCCATCATCTGATTAAATATTTTTTTAAGTAGTTGCATACATGCTACGAAGGTGTAAGCACTATGAAATGTGCATGGAACATGATTTGCTTACCTTTTGGATATTGCAACACATTTGATAATTTTTTTGTGATTGGGTTCTCCAAATTATTTCCTCCATTTCTCGAATATGTTAATTTTTCTTCCCAATTCTGCTTTGGAAAATATTTTCCCAAATCTGGCAACGGTATGAGCACCAAATACACAAAGAGACCCTGCATTAGAAGATGCATATTTTGTATATTTTAACATTATGTCGGAGTGAAATTAAACCTTTGTTTTCCAAACTTACTACGCCAATAATTAAAAATATCGAGACGACGCTTATCCACATGAACTGATATGGCAGTATAAGCATGGTTATCTATTCTATGCAACTGACGGATTATAAATAAATATGCATGTTCTTATGCAGTTTTGTTGCAGTTTTGTTAATAATTAAAAGTGCCAAACTAATTTTCACATTGATTGATTCTTCGGCACGCCTTTTACTTCTAATAATAAAGTACTCAAGACTTGTTTTTATTATGATCTGGATCTGTAAATCCGACGCATTTCCCCAAATTTTTTGCTCAAACAGTGTGTTATACATATATAAATATCATTATAGATTGGCAAACAAGGTCTCCTCATCATTGTTGACAATAAGTATGAAATTTTGTTCGGAAACAAGGCGAGGATCACGTTTAGTGGAACATTATAGTAGTAAATTTACCTATGCCGGTATGTAACTCTTTAATATACATAAATATTTACGTTTGGGATTGAAATAAATCAAGCGAACCAAAATTTTAATTCAAGGATTAGCATAATAATGAAACACCAATAAATGGTCCATTCACTTCCTTGATATTTAGCTACTTAGTTCCGCCATTTGGTGGAATTAGTAATATGATTTTTTCAACAACCATGTCGTCTTTATTTGTTGTCATCCGTGCTTCAATGTCATTTACCTACGAGGTACATATGTATAAAGTACAAGTAATACTCATAATCGTGTAATTAAGATGCATCCGATTTCGAAACTAATAACAGTAACAGTAGTAAATCGTGATATAAACGTACTAAATACATATGCAGAAAATGTTACAATAAAGAGGCATCGCAAAATGCTGATTAACTCACTCAAAACAACATGCCACGACTTGTGGCCCACGAGTAAGATCTAAAAGTACAAATATGCTTACTTTCAGTCATATGCAATTTAAAGCATCACTTTTGGATGGGACTGACTAGTCTTAATATTGAACTTCTATAGAATGATGTAACGTCTACACATTCATAAACTCAATTTTTGTCAAATGTCATAATAATTTGCTGAACCGTTCGAATCAATTCATCATCAAGAAGTCCATCTTGATTAGAAATCACTTGACCTCCAATCATCAATTGCCCACTTCCAGAGTTTCCGATATTACTACTGCTGCTGCCACTACTACTACTTCCAGATCCACCTTGTTGTTGAGATGGTGGGCCATACACGGGTCGTGGAGATTCCGACTGGCTTCCGGTTCCTGATTCAAGTTCTGGTTGTGGTTCATTTGTCCTTGGCAATTTTGAACGAGTTGGTTGTCGGGGTTGCTGATTCGACATGGGGGATGTAGGAATATTTCTACCCATTACAGCAGCAATAGGCATGGAGCTTGGTCTACTGCCAGTGGGTGGACGTCTTCCAGCAGAAGTTGGACCTGCGGCAGATGAAGGTCGTCTTCCAGTAGATGGTGGGGTAGATTGTGGTCTACGATCTTCGCCTTCTTCCGTAGTCCCAACCTCCTCCACAGGTTCAACAGGACCTTCACTTTCAGGTTCTTCCGGTGCAGTTTCTTCATTCTCATCAGTCTCTCCTGGACCCCCACTTGACCATCCTCCGCCAGATGATGGACTAGAGGACCAACCGCCACCTCCAATGGGCCAGTAATCATCTTCGTCAAAAGACGAGGGCCATCCAAAACTTGAGGAATACGGTGATCCCCAACCACCACCGGAAGGAGGTCCGCCCCAGCCGCCATGAGTAGTGTAGGTTATTGTTTTTGGTCTTGAAGACCAACCAGATCCGCTGCTGCTACTGCTTCCTGGTTTACTACTGCTTGGTTTATCAGACGAGGATGAAGACTGACCACGACCTCGCACAGGAGGAGACATTGACACATGAGCATCCTCATCAAATCCTTCTGCATCACCGGACTCTTCATCGAAGCTTGATGGTCTTTGACTAAAAGTGCTGGAAGGTCGTTTCCCGGCTTGGGAAGCACCCCCAGCGGACATGATTGCCATAGAACTGGAAGGACGGTTTCGACCTCCAGAGGTTGGTTTTGCTCGGCCTGCCTGAGAACGGAGCTGTTGATATCCTCCTTGGCTCATCATGACTGCTTTAGTAGAAGTTGGCGGTGGTCTCATTCCCCTCATAGTTTGTGGGGGACTCACCACTTCTACTTGAGAATTGGGATCTTCAGAGTCTACGTTCCCCCGAGTGGAGGTAAACATTTGATTCATGGCGTCATCATTCATGGGTCCAGCTGCAGCGGATGAGTCGTCTTCTTCTTGTTGAGTTAATTTGGTAAAAGTTTCTTCATCGACCTCCATTGACATTGGTTTTCCATACGTACCCTTTCCTCTTCCTCCTGATGGTGAGGAATGTCCATGCGAGAGTGAGCTCCAGCCCCCAGAGGAGGAAGAGAAGGGTTTGGAAAATATGGAAAATGGAGAAATAGAATGCGAAGAGCTTGGTGGTTTCGACACATATTTTATTATGGTCTTAGGGTGATGTCCATGTGAATGATGTGAATGGCCATGTCCGTGGGAAGGCTTAACGACTATGATATTAAAGATAAATTAACCTATTTACTTAATCAATCAAGAAAAAAATCTTTGGACTTACCATAAACAGTCCGAACAGGTGGAGGTCCAAATTTTGTTTCAAAATTGAACAAGTCCAGAATTCCAGGTGTGGCCTGGACAATTCCAAAAAGTGCCACGAGCACCACACCCACAAAACTCGGTATCAATCTCATTCTCGTACCACTCACAAACTGTTTATCTTCTTCTTCCCCTGCCCACACTGCTATTGTGCTCAAATGAACATAAAAACACGACTAAAATGTGGTGGACAGGAAGAAGATGCTTTTATATCGCGTAAAGATTTTTGAAGGGTTCATGCAATTATGCAATCAAACGCAGCAAATTATCGAGCGAGTGAGTAGTGAATCTTCTTTACAGTTTTGCAGGATATCTATAAAAAATCATGTAGCTTTGCCATTTGATTAATGTCATGGGGGTCGTTAGTGCTTACCACGGATGAATGCAATATTGTTATTATGTAACGAGTCTTCATCAGATGTTCACAACTTGATGTTATAATAACAGACTGCCACAGCTCATTTAAGGACAATTTAGTATATGAGGATGAGCCATTGGCTGTCCAAATTCATCCAACAGGAAACAGGAATCTCTTCTGATGTATGATTTCATAGCTCATCAAAGATATGCTCAATTGTCTTAAAAAATTGAACCTTAATGTGAATGTAACGATAATAATGAGATGCGTAAATGTGCGGAGAACAAGTTTTCAAATGGAAAACGGCACGACCAATATGCAATGCTCCCTGAACACACCTTTTGAAAATGTATGCATATGTAAATAAAAGAGACGGGGTTCCGTCTAAAGCCACCACCCACAACAAAAGTAGCATATTCGTCATTGTTCTCGTTGGCCTTTTTTCAAATGTAGGGAAACAAGCTGAAGAGGTGTCAAATTTGATGGGTCATCATTAAATTTTAATTTCAGACACTCACATTGATAAACAAGTGTCTAAAACATGAACGTTTAAAGTATACGTAATATTATGCGTAATTAATAAATATCATGTTACAATAGCACAAGTGAAGACATTTTACATAGTATAGATAGTTTGAACGTAAATATTTAATTGCATTTTGGCTGGCAGATAACGTGAAAAATCTGCAAGAAAATAAATGCATGTGTCATTTTCTTGATTAAAATATGTTTTTGGTGATTGATTCCTGTTGGTGGATATTGGTAATTAATAGATTATGTGTCATGAAATTTCGCTTTCGGTCAATTATTAAAATTTCATTGTATGATCAACAACGGGCTTCTTGTTTAAAATACCTACATGTTTGCATAAAAAAGCTTAAATATTTCTTGACACACTTATACTTAGGTAAGATAGCAGTAACATTGGTGAATCAATGCACAAATATATAATTATATGCATTTGTCAATAAGAATCGGTTTTAAGATAGATTTAGATGTAGGTGTAAAGTCTTCTAGAAGATCTTCATTTGAGATAGAATTACAAACCCCTCGAAACCCAATTTTTGTAAAACCGTACTGATATTCATTATTTACGTGCTACTCATAAATTTTACTTCACACCATATAATTTAATAAGTTGAAAAAAATGGTTTATTGCAGGCTCGACATGTCACCTAAATTATATATGCACGTACGTATATGCAGTATAAGCGATTGTTTGCATTTCCTACAATCTGTGTAAATGTATCAAAATTGAGTTTCCGGAATGACACGTTTCTTTAATAAAATTGGGTTTCACAAATTGCATAGATATTTGATGATTAATAGACGCTTGTAAATATGGATCATAAACTTTTTATAACCCTCGTACAATATTGTGCAACGAAGATATTTTGCGAGTACTATTACTAGAAAAGCTACACGTAGTGTTGGACCATGTAAAATTTTGCATACGGCGGTTGACATACTACATACATACGTAAATACATAGTTCGTTGTTGAAGACTTAGTAAACGTTAAAAAGTAAAATAGCAAAAATCGCAGAAATGAGATGATTCTACGGGTTATAAATACTATATTTAGAAATATGAAAGTAACAGCCATTCACCAGCCTCATTGAGCAAGACTAATACATAAAATACTAATAAAAGTGTGTAAATGTGCAAATTGGTATCATACGTATTCAATTATCATCTGTACAAAAAGCTACGTAAATATAATCAGACTCCCACACCTATCAAACACAGCACTCATTTTTGATGTAGAAAATTGAAAATGTATTTATAAATTAAAGAATAATTTAGTTGAATGATTGTATTATTATTACCTGTATAGGCTAAGTTTTATACCATTTTATGTGATTGATTATATTGATTGACACAAGTTTCATTGGGAATATAAATTATTTATGACACATGATAAAGGCAGTTAATAGAGAGAGCTTTTTTCTCACTTCAACAAGTGACAAATATGAAATATTTTGAATAATCAATTTAATTGTACAAAATATTTAATTATGAAATGCATCAAAGCTTTCTGAAGGTTTGATTATCATAATTTTTTGATTTTTCAAATAAAATTAACTTGCATCCCACGTGTGCATACAATTAAATAAATATGTTGTGATTTACGGAAGTCAATAATTCTCATATATGAAATTGATCACGAAATATTATTTTACTTGAGAGTTGTAGCCAAAATTATGAAGTCGTATAATCAAAAATGTTATGAATATATTTTTGTGTTGTAGTTAAATTCGCCCTATCAATAATAATATAAATACATTCATATATATTTATGTATATGCGAACATACACACAAATACGTATACATAGGTAGATGCAAATGAATGTAATATGTAAGTATATATAAAATAAGCATTTAAAATTGGTGTTATCGGTCAATATAACTAGCAATCAGATACTACTTCAGGTTTCAAGATCGGTCGATAACCCAAGTCTCAAACTGACGCCTGTGCAATTTAGGATTACAAATATGCACTCGTCACTAAAATCCAACAGAAAAAATACAATTTTACCAATCATCGAAACTGGTAAACGAAAAGGTGGCAGGGGACAATTTTTATTTGCATTACATTTGTTGTATGTATGATTTTCTGAATTTTAATTTGGTTGGTCACGCATACATATCATTGTCACTCAATTTTTTTCATTTATGCAAAATAGGTACACATTGCTTCTGTTAGTGTGGACAAATCATGAACATATTAACAGCTTATTGTTTCTCATTTAAGCAATAATAAGTATTTACACGGGTGTACATAATTAATACGCACATACCTTGATGTAAAATGGTGTGCACGATAATGTATATGCACATTTGCATACCTAATTAAATAAACCATTAAATGAAAAGATTGCGGAGCGCTGCCGTGCAAGTTAATGGCTCATCAATTCCAATATTGCTTGTAATAAATCTCCACTTGTTTAAAACTCTAGGAGAATCAGAATTGTCATCAATTTATAAGACAAAGATGATATAATGAAGGAATTTGAGAAGGTTTGGTTTCTTGTTTGACGTCAATATTTGCAGGAAGTGTTTTCAAATTTGTACACAAACATACACCTCACGATACCTACATATGTACATAAGTACTTGTGATTTAAATTTTCTGACCAAAATATCTTATAACCACTTTGTCAATTAACATATTACAAAATTAGTAATCTTTAGGCATATGCTACCTAAAGACAGTAATTTCTTAAAACATTTGACGAAGCTCGTGATTTTCAGGTGGGTTGATCTTTCTATTTTCATACACATTTCAAGTGGTACAGGATTTGGTGAAGTTATTGGAGTTTACACTTTGGGATAAGTTTAGTCAAATATTTATTAGATTATGTCGTTTTAAACTTCAAGTTGACTCGGACATTTAAGCAAAAAAAATGTTATTACTAATATCACAGTTAGGCGAATTATATAAATACAGCTTAAGCTCTCAAACCAATCATGATGTTCTCTCTGTCAATGAATGTGGCTCTTTGTGGTCACAAGCGAAGCACTGGGCATATCAATTTATAAATTTCAATTTCATGACTAATACGCATATATTGGTTCATATTTGGAGATATATTTACAACAAGGATAATATGGGCTAATGTTGAATATGTATTGTATGGACATCTCTTTGGAGGTGGATGGCAACGTGATCATCACATTGATGACAGATGCAGTGTGCAACAGCTCTCTTCCAATTATCCATTAGCGATAAAGAGCCGTAGAACTGACTAATAACAAATAAATAAGTATGTACAGTATCATATGGTGATTTTCTCTCGGTGGGTTGGAGTCAATTTATCTGGAAATTGTAAATCGGGAAAGCTTGGCAGGTTCCTATTGACGAGATTTTATAGCATTTTAAATTAATTCTCCTGATTACAATGAGTCACGACCATGGTATGCCAGACATGCCAGGAATGAAGGTAAATAAATACTGCCAATTTAGTAAAATTTATAATTCATTTGTCATCCAGCAATGATTTAATTTAAAAAATTTTCATAGATGTGGTTTCATTTCGGAAAAAATGAAGTCATTTTATTCGAATTTTGGAAAACGGAAAAAACTGGGATATTCATTCTTTCTCTGGTCATCATATTCATGATGGCGTTTGGCTACGAGGCCCTGAAATATTTTAGGGATAGAATGTATCAAATGCATGTGGAAAGAGCAAGATCTTCTCTGGGAGTCAGAGGTCCACCCTCAACAAGGTAATAATCCTATGTAAGGTAATAACAAGGTAATAATCGCACTTTTAATCTTAATTACAATGCATTCCAGGTCGAAAGTTTTGAGTGGATTTCACATAGCGCAAACAGTTTTGCACATGGTTCAATTTGTGCTCTCGTATTTTCTCATGCTGATTTATATGACTTACAATGTTTGGCTTGCATTGGCCGTAACGCTGGGGGCAGGGGCAGGTTATTTCTGCTTTGGGTGGTATAAAGCCTCCTTTTTAGACATTAATGAACATTGCCAGTAATAAGAAATTCATTTCGATGGAGCAGTCAGTGTAATTTTAAACTCATATATACTTATACATACTTATATATTTATAGAATTGTAGGCTCTGCGTCATTAGATAGGATAATTAAATACGGTACGACTGTGATGTGCCAGTTTGAATTATCAGCGAAATTAGTATGTACAGATTCAATTAGCTCAAGAAATATCAAGTCTAGTCTTAGACATTTGGAAGACTTTTAGGGATCGTTTACTATTTTGGTTAATTTCTTCATTGATGAAATATGTAATGTATTGGATAAGAATGCATGTACACACATTTTTACTTATGTGGATGGATGAATTTTAAAAGCAGAATATGTAACAACTCAATGCAGATATCTCCAGACTAGCTTTTGTGATGAAACGACTATTGTGTTCATATATTCAGTAATGATAAATTGTTTGTAAGAAGAACATTTTTGATATGTCTGATATAATTATGTATGTGTACGATAAATGCAATAAAACTCACCACAAATAAAGCGACACATATATTTGCAGAAATGAAACGCATTTTATTAACTATCTAAACACTTGCAGACAAATGGAATACAGAACGGACAATGAACTATGTATACTTCATAAATATATGTACCCACCAAGATACATATATTTACATATTTATATGCAATGCGACATTTATCAAGTAAAGTGATTACTCAATCGTCATCGTCAGAAACAAGAAAACATGGTTAAATTGATGTAGAATAACAAATACAAATCATAGCACGAGTTCAAAGTGCATTTAGACTTTAAATCCGTGATTCTGATACCATAAACTGGAGGAAGACCGACACAGGTGCTGCACATTACATATTATTATGTACTCACTTCTTTATAAACTTTATAACTGTCAATTTTATAGCTGTCCATGTTAGCAGCCCACACATTGCAGGAAAACGAAAGTTGTATTCAAGTATGTAACAATTTCGTTTTCAGGAACTGGTTTTGACTTGCTATCTTTTCAAATGCATCATTTGGACAGCTTAACAATCTGCATATTGTTGTTCATTAGGCATCAACATTTTTCAAAGTACATTTCAGTGAATATGGGTAATAATTTGTTTAAGAAATGGTTGTAACAAACACAATTTTTCTCAATGTTAAAATTTTATTGTTGTTATTATTTCCGGTCTGGGTTACTAATATTCCTCTCCAAATAGCTACCATGTCATGTTTAGAAAGCTGTTATTCATCACATGGTAATCAACTGTGGCCAATTTAGTGATGTCTTCGGTGCCTTGATAATTCAGGATGCATCTTTTATACAAGAAATTTGCAGCAATTATTATAAAATACCTAAACAGTACCATTTTATTTTTCTAAATTTCAGACAGTTGGCCATTGCATGTAAAATATTGTAATTTAACTTTTACAAACTAACTAATTTAAGATTTCTACCTGAACAACGCAAACACGGACATAAAATTTAATTAGTTACAATAGAATTCCAGGTAAAACATTTTTTAACGTTGGCATAATCACGTCCTGACTAGAAGCATATATGTATGTCGCTTAAACCAAGGAATTAACTAATTATCTAATATGGAAATAATAACCAATAGCGAATACATCTATGTACTAAAAACTATTTGGCAACATTGAACAATCCAAAGTGATTTTATAACAAATTACTTAACAAAACTCAACCGATATTCATATCATAACCTTAATTACCAAGCCCCATATGCATTATTTTTCATATTTGCGTTTGTATTGAATATTGACTGAATATGACGTATGACATTCTGGAAAGCGTCGTTATTGTTGTTTAAGGCTTGAGCGACTCCCTTCGTGAGCGTGGTAGCCACAGTGCCTACCTGATTGACCACCAATTGCCCCTTTGTTCCAACAATCCCCACAGCAGCTCGGCCACTGTTGGCAACTGTTCGAACAGCCTGACCCTTGAGCCCCACAAGTTGCCGAAGTGGAGAAATACTCCCTGAGGACCCAAACGTAGGAGCACCGTATACTGGCGCAAGGTCGGAAACTCCACCGCTGCTGCCCCCACCGATGAAACCTCCACCTTGCGACCCCACAGCGTCAGCCACATTTCCTACGGATTTGGTCACTGCGCTGGTGGCTGCTGCGACTCCACGAATACCGGCAGTCAGACCACTTGCTACACCGTTAATGACCGCAGATTTAAACCCTGCAGCTTTTGTAATTGGTCCCGTGATGGCATCAACAATCGAGTTGCCCCCATTGCTTCCTCCGAACCCAAAGGAACCAGGCGGTGGTCCATACGTGGAAGCTGGAAAGGTTGCTTGAGTTGCTGGTGGTGTGTCCGGATCAATTACTGTAGCATCAGGTACAGGGGGATTGGATTGGTCAGCGGATGTGCCCATACTGTTGGCAAAAGCAGATGCCGACGATACGCCGCCACTCGGTGCATAAGGTCCTCCGGAAGTGATGGGAATGTTAGTATAAGTAGATCCTCCAGCACCAGTAGTCCCAGGGGCGGTGACCATACTGCTTGGTGCTGCTCCACCCATTTGTGCTCTCATTTGTTGAGCTTGAGAAGTAAAATATTTGGATAAAGTTTGAAGGGCCATTTGAAGTTCGGCCGCTGGAGGAGTATCCTCAGAAGAAGACGCGGCTGCTGCTGCTGCCCCTGCCGCTGCTGCCGCACTGGACATTGCAGAGTTGGACATCTGATTCCGATTTCGATTTCTATTTCTGTTTCGGTTTAAACGATTACGATTACGATTTCTGTTTCTTTGTCCTGGGATTCGATTCCTGTTCCTGTTTCCGTTTCTAACTCGGTTTCTTCTAGGTCCAGTACCCTGTTTTCTTTGGGCCTCTATGCTATTACTGTTGGGATCGGAAAACATAAAGGCTTCCATTGCTGCTGATTGTTTGGCATTACTAAGAGACGTAGTGGCCTTGTTTGTGGGTAAGTCCACACCACGTGCTGGAACAACTGCATCTCTAGCAGAGCTATTGCCACCATCCTCAACGTCGTCCTCCTCATCGTAGTCATCTTCATCATCATCGTAGTCATCGTCATCTTCGTTAGGTTTTGTAGTGTCCGCATAACCTCCTGGTCCATCACTGTATCCACCAACTTCGGCACCACTGTTTTCCCCGGAATTTGCAGAGGCACCGGCTGAAGCCATTTCTGCGCTTGAGGGTAGTTGCATTCTGGTAATTTCCAACTCTGGCGATCCATTGTTACGCCCAAGACCCACGTTCAAGGGTGTAGCAGATCCATTGGCTCCTATTTGAAACTCCTTGAGGACAATGTAGCGAATTAGGTTTGAATGCTGTTGTGGGATTTGGAACTCGTTGGCAGGAATTATTCTGAATCTAGATCCACCTGAAGACGGTGGGCCATAAGATGATGAAGATCCAAATCCAGAGGAAGGTGCTCCATAAGAGGAAGACGATACAGGGGATGCAGATCCAAATCCAGAGGAAGAAGGCGGGCCATAATTTTGTGCTCCGTTACCTTGGTCTGGAACACCATAATTTTGTGCTGCGTTACCTTGGTCTGGAGCACCATAGTTTTGACCGGGTGGAGAAGCGTCATATCCATGCGCCCTAACTATATCATTCTGGCCTGAAATATAAATGTAATAAAGAATATAAATACTTTTTAACAAAAAGATCTCATGGGGCTGTTTATTTGTGCAGTTATGTGCATACCTGGAGTTCCGATTGGGATTCCAGGGGTATAATTCGGTGGTCCATACTGCTGACTATTTGCAAGTCCTACAAATATAATCGTCACACCCCAAAACACCACCATGATGATGACTGGAAAGCTATTGCCAGATATGTTTTTTCCTTTCTTCGAAATTCAAGTCTGATTTTCAATTACCAAAGTTCCCAATCACACCACCACGTTCACCTTCCACCCAAGGAAGATCTAGACTCGTCTTTCGAAGAAACTGAAATGAGGCGATTTGGGGAGGAAGTGATCGAGTTTTGTTGCCCTGTCACTGAATCAGTACACAACGTGATTCGATTAAATGATATCCAAAATGAGGATGCATTTCGCATTGTAGATTGTGCATACACACAGCAGACAGATTTCAGCATGCTCATAAATGCATACCAAGAACGAGTATGTACTTGTTTTTGGGGTGAAATCAAGACGCACTATTGCCTTAACGAACAGATGCCTCCCTTACTCGCACGTCATGTCACATCCATTACAACTTCTGCAAGTCTCAATTATCGATATCCATATCTAAATATAATTGTTTTATAAATGAATGAAAGAAATTAACATATATTTAACAAGGATTTCAAATCGTCTGTAAAAATGCTTCATTTTATTACTCAAAATCAGAGCAGAAATATTTAATTCAAAAATAATTTAATTCGTAATTTTCAAGTATTTTTCTTGACACAGTTTTCGATATTCTTTGTTTGTATTTTATTTTAGGAATAAACTAGGTCCTTTTTTGTACAAAATTGCGACACATCACACAAAATAAGTGCTTTTGTGATTTATCATCTAGGATAAGCCTTGCAAATCCTGCTGCATAAAGTGCATTTTGTGGTCCACATCCAACATCAAGGTTTAACAAAAAACCAGTTTAAACTCCATATTAAACAACAATTTTATAGCAATCCCGTGTCTACGTTATATACACCGACCTCAAACTTGAAATTTTGAGTGGTCAAATTTTACTTTTTTTCTGATGCAGATTTGATTTTTTGATACTTTGCCCGATATCAAATGAGATTCGTAACCTAAATGCAGTAACCGACTGACCGACTGTTCAACATTTTACTTTCAACAAAATACTTATTTTTTCAATAGTTATCAATAAAATGAAAGTAAAATGTTTTACATCAGTTTCACTTTTTATTTTAAAACGGAAAATATATCGTGTCAAGCAAGACTTGCATTAATTTGGATTTCCGACAATTTCAGAAGAATTAAAAGTATAAAACGCCACATTGCGTAATATTTCTGCATGCACCAATTCAATAACATGATTTATGAAAATAAAGAAAAGTTTTTAATTAATAACTCCCCATATGCAATTTTGACTGCAGTAAGTTATGCAAAAGTTAACTTTGCATAATGCACACATTTAAAAATGAAATTCCTGTTATTTTATTGTTTCCATTCAAACAAGCTCAGTGTCATTTTGCAGCACAAAAAAGGTGAACATCTTCAGAAAATTTGCAAATTGTTTCAACTATTAGTTCAACAATCACCAATTCATGCAGCTTATACGATTTATTAACAAACAATAAGCACTTGATGGCGGACTGTTATCAGCATTTATGAAATTTATAACAAGACGATGTCGCTGTTGTTTGAAGACGATGTTTGTTGTGCTGCCAAATAAAAATGTAGATTTAACGCTTCCTAAACTATAAACATATTGAAAATAAATGAATGAATGACTGTATGCATGCAATGCAGCCATAACATATCTCCCAAAAATTTAACATTGCCAAGCATTCCTTTGTATCTAACTGACAATATATTTTTTTTTATATACAATGGCAACCCATGTAACATGTTTCCTGTTCAACTACTTATAAAGAGGTGGAGAAGACTGAAGTGGTTAATTTTCATTTGATTTGTAGCAGTCATCATGGTCTGATGTGATGATCTTCACTGTTACAGCTTTCCTTGTGACAATTACATACGAGTGCATGATCACATATCGCTTTTTCAAAATGCAAATTTTACTAAATTAATTTAATAACTTGAGGAAATCGCATCATGTTTGACGATTGGTTGATTTTCTTCTTTCGTTGCATAACCTCTTACGTTTCCTTTCCTTCCTGATTATAAAAATTTCAAAGGCAGACAGACGACGAGCAAGTGAACGTAGCAAAGTTCCCCATTTGAAAGTAGTTATAGCCAAACTACTCGTAAATACAAGTGTTTCAAATTGCAAGTAATTTTAGAATTGTTTAAAAAGAACCACTCAGACTGCTTCGACCCCCTCGGCCTCCTCCGAAAAGAAGGCTGAACGGTCATCGTGGACTCGAATCGACCCTGAGGTCAACTTGAGCCCGTCTCACGCTCAGGGGAGGAAGCTTTCGTCTCATCCTCGTGGTTTGTTCCTTCGCCGAGTTGGCTAAGGGTTTGAGCATTCATACTAAAGAAATGATCCTTTGAAGTATGATCTCAATTTGGCCACTGCATCGCACCTTCATCCACTCAAATTACTCCCCTCGACACTGAATGTAACCAAGTTTGCAGAGATTTATCTTGAATCCGAAGCAATTTAACGCTATGGAGTCCTATTTCTTTTACTTGTATTTATATGCGTAAAAGCAGTTTGTGCATTAAAATAATAGAAAATTTGCGCTTGAATCGAAATATTTGGATATTTCTAAAAAATGTTAACATTTTGCATTGGAAAAGTTGGGCAATAGAATGAAGTGTTCTAAAGCGCAGGATTTAGTTTCTTATGTTCTGTTTAAACTATATTTTGTGATGTTTTTGTTTCCGATCATGCAGGAATCACTGATACATTGCATGAATACGTTATCAGTGATAACTTATGTACATACATCGAATTCGAAAGTATCGTTGATGATGATGTTATGATGATTGGGAAAATGCATACACAAGTAAATTCACAAAAAATGCACATATTTGATAATAAATCATAGAAATCTGTAGTTTTACTCGTATTCATTGTAAACTTCATATAAATATAACATACGAATAAAAAATTTCAGTCCTTGCATTCGGTTTTCTAACTTTAATCTTTTTGAATAAATCAAAAACGAAAAATTAAATCAATAAAAGTATTAATTGAATTAATGACGGTGTCGCTTTCCTCGTCCTTTCTTATGACGCCTTCCGTGTCTCTTACCCTTCTTATGTCCTTTGCCTTTCTTGGGAACATCGTAAACTTCGAATCTAATTGGAGGAAATTCTTTCACTTTCTCCAAAAATGTGATTGGGTTGTAGTGTCTGGAGAATTCTAAAGCAGAGTGAAAAAGATTTTGCCCCAAGATGACGAGCCTCTCTTTCACTTCATCTTTAAGCGTTGGACCCTCATGATGATGATCATGTTCAATATGTTCATGCTCATGTATGTGATCATGATGTTCTGGAACTTCGTCACCCCCATCGACCTCAATGTGTGCATGAGGGTCCCCCCAAAAACCTGTATCGAAGCCAAGATTCAGAGTGAAAGGTTTTTTCGGTTTTTCTGGGTGATGTTCTACATGGTGGTGGTGATGATGTTGATCGTCGTCAATTGGGGGTCCATACTCTGGAACTGGGTGAACATCATCATTTCCAGGACCGTATGAATCCAAGGGCGCTCCAGGTTGTTCTCCAGGAACTCCGTACTCTTGTTGCGTATGTGGTGGCGGCAGTGGTGGTGCAACGCCATAATTGGAAAATGGATGCTGTTGAATGGGAGCTACGACTTCGGGGACTCCGTACTGAGATTGTTGCTGATGATGATGATGCTGTTGTTGCTGGAGCATTGTCTGCATGAGGACCTCTTGTTGGACCAGTTGTCTTAAGCGTTGTTCCAAATCAGCAGCCAACTCGTTCAAACTATTTCCTCCCGCAGGAACCCCATATCCTGGATCTGGTAGGGTTTGCATAATTTGAATGGGCCCCTTCAATGCATACTTGACCCCATCCCCATAATCATCTCGAAGAGCAGGTTGTACTCCTCCGTAGGCTGCTCCGGGTTGTTTACCTGGGACCCCATAAGCCAATTGGGTCGAGTCCGTGATTGAAGCAGCCGTGGCCTGAGTATTGCCTTGCATATTTACTGTAGAGTACCCCCCGAAGACTTGTGGTTTCCTCATTTTGAATCGGTGTGGAATTGCAATTTCCACCTCTTGGGGCTTTTCAGAAGAAGGGATTACATCGTTTTCTAGTGAAAATGCACCATTTCTAACCGCTTGTGCGAGAGATCGCAGAGCTAATCCTCCTTTTGGAAACACTCCTTGTTGATTGTTGATTCCTCGGAACCTTTCGCGAAGCAAGGCACTAATTTGTGGGGTAGCGCCATATGCCTGAATTTGGCTCACGCTTGGGGTTCTTATGTTTGAACCTGAATAAGTTTAATAATAATTAATTTATGCATGGGATGCATTTTTGTATTGAATGCATATTACAAATGTATTTGACCCTCACCAGCTTCGCCCTCCACAACTTCGCCCTGGGTGAAAAAGTTGAGCTGTGGGATGGCTTTTTGGATTTTAATTCCCGTATTATCTGTTGCCACTTGAGGCACGTTGGAACTTTCAGCATGCAACGCATCTTTATACGGAGAGTAATACGCCCCTTTGGAAAACTGATTTTTAGCGTAAAAGTCCTTGTACTGTTGGGCTAACCCCCTTTGGTGTGGTCCGATGTAGGAACCGAACATTGGCATCCAGCCATCCATTGACTTGCGTTTATAACTGCGGGGAACGGGAACAAAGGATCTGGGGGCCTGTTGCACTGGAAAGCTTGCAATCGACACTGGTTGATGCTGCGTGGGTCTGACAGACTCATAGGCAAATGTCAAATCTGTGGCTTTTAAAATTTTATAGTCGACCGTTGATTTTGGAGTAGCAGTATTTATCTCTTGTTTATTCAACTCTTTCTCATTCACTACAGGACTCATTCTTGACTTTAGCCCTGTAAATGTATTTTACGAATCTATAAGTCATAATTAATGACCTGATGAATTAATGGAAACTTTGTCTCCTTACCTCCATCAGTATCTGGAATGCTAATAAATTCCGTCTTGCCATCGGGAGTTTGAACTTTATACTCTTTGGATATGGTCACAGATATTTTGTCTGGTTTGCCAGTGACTTCTGTTTGCATACTTGATCGTTTTACGGGGACTGTCAATTTCATCACAAAATTCAACAATTATAATTGATATGGTTAATTGTAACTGTTCTGAAAATGAATTCTGAATACCATGATCCTTGTCAATTTCCTGTTGAATGAATTTCTCCACATCCTCCAACTCCTTATTGTCCGCTCCTATCGTTTGAACAATAAGTACGGCTAAAAATACTACACTGACACTAAATGTCCTCATGTTTCTTTGTGTCAACACGTTTCAAAATTGTGTTGGTGTTTATTTAATAATAAATTTGTAATTTCATTTCAGCTCGATGATGCCTGTCAGACAAAAGAGGATGACGAAATGCGACTATCACTTGAAAGAACTTTAACGTCACACTGGTTTCAGGAAATGAAAGCTGGGTGCAAATATGTGTTGTTTATCTATAATATGCGGCACTTGGCTAATTTATGCCGTCGGTCAGTTATCACTTTGGTTTAGTATTGGTCAAATGAAAAGGCTCGTCCTTCTATGAATTTCCAATGTCATGATCATGTGAAAAGTTGCGATATGTTATAGTTTAGATTTCTCAAAAGTACTTTCCTACATGAGGTTATGAAACCAATTGAAAATAAGTAATAGAACATGAACGGGTGTAAAAGCAAGCAATGAATTTCTGGTAATATCATAATACGATAGGACGTAAGATGTGCATCTACGTGTGTATGTATTTGATAATGAATAAGGTAAAAGTAAAAGTGGATGGTCAGAGAGCAAAGTGGTCAACAATATACTTAAGAATCCGCAATGTGCTGTGCGTGTATTAGTTCATGTTAACTTTTAAAGCAGGAAAGATTAATCAGACGCGAGGACAAACCTTGATGTACATGTAACCCATAGACGTAACCCCTCGAGAACACAAAACACGACACATTCGCATAATATTACATGTAAAAATGTGCGTATTCATCCATATTGCAAGTGTAATTTTTTAAGCGAATGTGTGAAGACAAAATTATTTAACAAAAACAATTAAATGTATCAAAGTGAAAGTTATGAATTTGCATCATTATTACTTTATACACCGCAAACGCATACTGATGCATAATGAATGTGTGCATAAACCGGAAGTCTGAAAATTTTCGTATAAATTTTGTCATCAACTTAATGAAACCTAATCAAGATTTAGTATAATGCATGGTTTTACATGTGTCGAATTTTATTTGAATAAGTTTGAAAAATTTAGCTCTAGTTAATATACGTACATGCGCATTATTGGAAATGAAATGGTTCACTTGTTTTAGACACAAGCATATTCTTCTAATAATGTAGAACAGTGGGGGGATTCATAAGAAGTAAAAAACTGGTTTTCTGGGTGCTATTGGTTTTACTAATTTATGTTATTGAGAGATAGAGAAAGAGGTTTTATCGCACTAAATAGTGAATAAATACTACGTAACACGTTCAATAAGGAATAAAAAGTTATGTAAATCGTGGAAACAACATCGTTGAGCTATGTATTACCGAACTGCCAGTGATTGAATTGAAGCAAGTCAAGTTCAATGATTCATCTAAAATTTTGGAAAGTGAAATCGTCTTCCCTTTTCTAATAATGTGGTAGTCAGTCTTTGACGTTTACCCACCTATTCCTTTACAACGAGAAGTGCATGATCTCTACCCCCAAGAAAACACTTAAAGCATTATCAAGAGTAATTTGCTTAACAAAAGTCCCAAATGAATAGTTTCGTTCTTCTTGATTCCCTGAAATTCTACAATATTTGAACGAATTAGATTATTTGGATCAAGAATATAAGTGCATGCAAAAAATGGTACACTGAATGCTAATAGACAACACACAATCCTGCTTATCCTACTTACTTTTATCCAGTTTAATCTTATTAAGAATATACGAGTATAAATACATTATAATTTATTTTCACGTCTTTAACTAATAAGAGGATGCCGAAGGATGTAAATATGTGCATATAAATATTTATTCTCAAAGGAACAGTTGAAAGTAATAATGAAATGTTTTCCCTTAGCTTCGATTTCAAATACATAGTTCCTAAGATTGTATAAGCTTACTAGAAGTCACTGGATACATCTGCAGAACATCTGTACATAGAACATGAACTGATATTTAAACAATTACATAAGTATAAAAAATTGTATAACGTAAAATACTATTACCTTTACGGAATTTAAGAATTTTTGCAAGGGTGCGAATTTAAGATTTTAACTGTTACACGCGATTTTGAAAATGTACAGCAGTCGCCATCGTTCAAGTCATTCTTGAATTTACAATTTGCAGTGTACATTCAAAAATGACTTTGTTAGCGAGGATAGTTCAACAAGGTCCTTCTATATGGCGTTTAAAATAATTTGTGCTTCATTGCGTATCGCAATCCTTTCTTCGTAAATGTTTAACCGGTTTAGTTAGCAATCAGCATTTACTCTTTAACCATCTAGACGGATATCGAAACCCAAATCAAATCATTACTTTTCATCCTGTATGATCTTTGCTGCTTCTCCGTATTTAGATGACTTAAGGTATGAATTTCCTCACTGGCATTAGTTTACGTAGGAAGCGGCAAAAAACCAACCTGAATTGCTGGTTTTCGATTGCGTTCTTAAATTATTATGTATGTAATGTTATGCATAGTGTTGCATGTACATTGGATTTTGCTTGGACTCATTTTGTAATTCGTAATTGGTTCAATTTGTTACAGTTGTTCCTCAAAAAAACTCAACAATGTAACCGCATACATACATCAAATGCAATCAATAATCAATCGAAACCCGCCTCTTCAATTCATAAAGGATAATCTTCATGATTTGTAGCATAATAAGAACTGATCCAACTAAACTATACGTGCACGATTATATATTACCACGAATCTCTTTGAATCCATAATAAACTTTACGGAAAACTTTTTCAAAATCTATAAATTATTACTTACTACTTTCCAATTTTTTTACGTTTTACAAAAAATGTGCATTTTTGCATCATGCAGGATTTGCATATACGAATTATATAGATAATAAATAATTCGGATTATTCAGCAAAAGTTTACTGAGGAGGCACATGCGAATCATTCTCACTCGATTTGAGGATTATTAAGAGCTGCCAATAAATAAGAAGCCAAGCAGCTTTGCTACAACAGAGAAAAGAAGTTGTGCAGATGTCAATGTTGAAGACGATGTGTTCAGTTATCAGCGGCTTTGAAATGCTACTAACATAGGTAATAATCACACACGTATCATTTCATTATTATGCAAAATATGCTTGTTTAGTGTTTCATTGTGACTGTTAATCACATTACGATGTGATTAACAATCCTGCCAATGTCCTGCTGATTATATGAACTTTTGCTACTTGTCTGCCAATACTTATATGCTTGCCTTTTGCATAAATTGAGAGTGAAAAACATGACATATCTTCCAGGGTGGTAGCAGCTGCGTAATGGCACAAGTCAAGCGACTTTGTGTGTCACTCTCTTTTCCCCAAAATGACATCATCGCCTTGTAAGAGAGATCACAATAAGCAATAAAAGAGTACCAAGTTCATTCAACAACAATAACCTGAATTAATTTCGATGAAACAAAATGCAGTGTCTATGTCTTTGAGCAAGTCAATCAACTACATAAACATATTATGTAGGATGGAAGGATGAATGGATTTTATAATTTTTTCTCGTAAGGTGTGGCAAGTGGCAATGATTCCGATATTTTTGTAATAAACATTATCATCACAAATACTTAACGGTTTGCATACCTTTCACTCATCCTCAACTTCCACAAACTTTAAAGGAAAGATACCTACGAAATTTATAGAACAATCAATCTCATTTAATTAATTTGTGCCCCAAATTTTTATTATTTCAAAAACTAGGACATGATATTCTTACGAAAGACTCACATAAACGTTTTTGAATTTTTCTATCAACATGTTAAAATGACGCAATGGATAGTTCTACGAATTCATCAACAATTGTAAAATCGACGTTTCCTTGCTGTAGGTATGGATGTATATGTACGACAGCAGTTTATGAATATTTTTCGTCATTCGTAAGGTGCATATCTGAATTTTGAGCATGTATGCATATATTTATGAACAGGTAATACGAATACCATTCCTCAGCACAATCAAGTTAAAGCCAAGATGTGCACACGTTGAGTGATGCATGTAACCACGACTTGTGAGATAAGGTGACGAGGTGGGATATGTAATGCAACGCAGGAAAGGTGAAAGTGCAGTCTCATTGTCAGAGGTAGGCAGCCAGGTTAAAGCTATTAACACTTACAAATTAGTGGATTTTTCTTGTTTTTTGCTCCGATTTGATGAGTGTTTACTTATTCCACTAATTTTAATTACTGATGCATTGCTATGCTCTATACAATTCGATAATACAACATTTGACTTATGTGATACAGTTAATGTAACTCGAAGCACAAATATTTGTACTTGTAAACAACTCGGACAACAATCTAGAGACTTATTTACATCATATCAAAAGTTGTATATGCTTACATAAAAAAAGTGAAGTGTTTTGCACGCCTTTACATTTTGAATCATCATGTAAAAATGAATGTAAAAATGTGGAAAGGGGAGGAAAAAGGAGTGCTGCGGCCCTACATGTCAAATTTGCTGTAGCCTACGAACACTTTAAACTTTACATGAATATTTGTCGTGCAATTGGATATTTGTATTAATTTGTTTTTAAGTTCTTCCAGAAAATGTAAAACTGCAAATATATAAATAAATTAAAGTTCAGACTTACTATACCTGCGTCCATTCAACTAATGCATAAATAAATATGTGCTTAATAAGATGAGCAAAATTGTTTAATTAACACGAGTAACTTAAAATGTGCAGTTTGTTATGGGTTGAGAAAAGCTTTTAATGTTTTCATTCCCTTTCACAAACGAATCAACACATTGCCATTTAACTTTTGCATTTCTTGCCAAATTTCTCAATTTCATAAAACGATGTAATTAATTCATCACACAGTCTGACAGGAATCATTAACACCGAGTCACGAAATGAAACCTGAAATGAAAAGATGCAATATTCGAGGCATTAATTGCGAAAAAAATCAAATAATTTTTATGTTACATATTATTTCAAATTTCAGTATTTTGAATAGCAAATAAAAATACTTAATTGTAACTTATGTACGTAATAAAAGGATTATAGTATTTATTTGTGCACCTGAGGATGTGTAAGCTATAAAAATGCATCTCCCCAATCATGTGATTCGTTTAGCACAATTGGAAATTACTTATGTATCGATTGATTTAATGATTGCAAGTTGACTGAGCATGTGGTGAAAACTGGAATGAAAATTCCAACCCTTTCCGAATCATCCAAGTTTTTTAATTGTTGCTTTGATGAGTAAGTTCGGCTTATCGTTTGAAGCACCCAGCACTTAATTAAGTATGCAGTATTGCATGTGCATATGAATGGATTAAAGAAAGCAAGTTGTTGCTAAACGGCAATTTATTCAAGTGCTTATACTTGAATGTAAGAAACTGAATCCACTCATTTTTTGCAAGTATGTATTGTTCAAGCTGAAAAACAGTACATGTACTGACGCTTGCCCGACACCTTTAATAAAAATCTAATCAATCAATTCAACTTCTACTGACTATTTAAGGATATGAAATCTTGTGATTCGTCGTAACGTATAAATAATTTTTCAATTTTTTACAGTTAAAAAATTCGTCCCATAAATGATACATACATACAATAATTATCTAGATATGTACAGAGCATTAAGTCTTTTTTCATGCAACTAATCCATTTAATCCTTTAAAATATATGCAAAATTTGGGAGTTTCCAGTGATTGGTACCCTCGAATTTAGGAGTCCTGCCTGGTCCAATAAGTAATCGTTGTCTCGTAACTGCAAAATAGTGATGGGGTGCTGATAATGGGCTGCGAATAATCGCAATTATAATCATGCAAAAACGCGAAAGGTTGGTCGCCAACTATTTATTTTTTCATCATTTCTCAGATTCTTATTAGCATTTTTTGAACATTATTGTTGAACTTCCTATATATGGTTTCGTTTTTTTCTTTTAAAATAATTTACTTTTATGATTGAACGTGCCGTTTTCTAATTGCCGTTACAGTATGATTCTGCCTTCAAAATTAGACAAACCATCAGTGATTACATGCCCAATAATTAATTGATCAACTGATTATATGGTAATATTCCAATTACCAATTTTGAATGAGTAGGTTTTTAAATTGGACATATTCTAGCATGCTGACCACACATCAATCAAATGGGATTTACTTCATTCATTGGGAGTGCTTTCATTTGATTGAATTTTCAATTAATTTCACGTCAACATTTTATATGTGCCTCGTGTACATAGGTTGATGACGGGTTAGGCAATACCTAAAATTCATAAAATTTGCATGCGATTTTCCAGGTACTTCATTCGGCGATGGCAGACAACAGATTTCATGTCAGATTTATATAGCAAGGTGAATTATGAGGCATACATTTTAAAAAATCAGAACGTTTACATTGTTTACAAAATTTTTTAATTTTTTATATTGCATTTTCCAAACATCTTGAGTCAGTCATTAATTATTTTCAGCAAAACATTATAGGAACTGCACCATTATTCGTATTGTGCATTTAGCTTTCGTATAATACAAAAATTAAAGAGTAGTAAAGTATGTAACAAAATATTTTTCTATAGGAAAAAAAACAAGAAGTAGTGGTTATATTTTGAATTGGGTCGTTGTCATTGATAAGAACGCTTGTTTATTGTAATACTTCTGGCCCAGACGAAAAAAGAATAGCAGGTCAGAGGTACATAGTGACTAAATATGACGCAATCTGTATACCTGCCAGATGAGCTGTAGCGGCTCAAGAACAAAAAAATTAAAGCGTAGGAGAACAAAAAATTATAAAATCAAATTTTAACTAGACGAGACACTTCAAGCTTCCTTCTCCGTTTTGGGTTTGAGCCAATTAATAGCACTCGCGACATTGTTGAGCATCTTGCTCATTTTAGTAAGACTTTCACCAATCGAGGTAGCCGACTGTCCAATGGAAGGTTGGGCTTGCTCGGCTGACGAAGGTTTCAATGTGACTTCTACAGGAGATGAATACGAACCAAAGAGTGATTGTGTGGGTTGGGCTGATTTGAACGTGTTGTAAATTGATTTAAACGCAGAATTGAGTTTGGATTGGCTACCGTCTTCCAAAGAAGAAGCTGGTGCTTGACCATAAGAGGATGCCGGCGACTGAACCACAGATTTTAAAGCGTCCTGAATTTGACGTTCGTCGTAAACTCTGGATGGATATGTCTCATATTGTTCTTCATTTTCAGAATATCCTCCGACAATTCCGTCGTTAGAGCCCCATCCTCCTCCTCCTCCTCCCAAGTAGCCACCACCACCAACTCCACTTAAAACTTGGGCAATTTTTTGGACTTTGTTCCCCTTGTGGTTTAGCAGAGCAGCAGTTGCTTGACCTCCGCTCGTGATTAGATTTGCAATTCCTTTTCCCTTTGCCACAATTAAATCGGCTGCTGTACTTCCTCCGGCCCGAATAACGGCGTTTGCTGCTTTCCCCTTTGCCGCAAGGAGATATGACGCTTGGTTAGCAACTTGTGCTTTGACATTTAGCACTGAACCGATAGCTCTGGAACTTTGGTCAAGGAATCCTGTAGCAAATTCGGCCTTGTTTCTCAACACTTGGGAGAATTTGGCAGGGACATGACTTAAAGTGTTAGCAATTATTTTAGCTTTTTCCGCTTTTTGATGTACAGCTTGCTGGACTACTTTGCCACCTTGATTAAGAATCTGGCTTCCTACTTCTCCCTTGGTGTGGAGAATAGAAGACACTTGATGAGCCTTCGTTTGACCAACACCTGCCACTGTATGCACTAAAGAGTTCACAACACCTCCGCCCCCACCACCGCCGTGTTTCACATTTCCATAAGATGAGCTCCATTGATTGTGGTGATGATCTGGTCCTGTGGGACCTACTCCATAAGCTTCTTGAGGAACTGGAGAGGGACCAAAACTAGTGTCTGGGACACCGTAGGACGACGGGCCAGGAGATGGAAGATGGTGCTCTGAAGGTCCGCTGGGTCCCCCGTAAGCGACTGTATGTCCTTGTTCGAAATTGTCATATCCACCACCACCTCCTCCTCCTCCCGAAGTGTCGTAGTTGAAACTGTTGTGGTACTGATTTTCCTTTGGGCTGTAGTAATGACTGTTTGCACTTCCGGCAGCAGAAGCAGCAGAAAGTTGCTTTTGCTCTGGCTTTTTAATTATTTCTTGGATACTGTTTGGAGCACCTTGGTTCGATCTAATTTGGCTCTGATCTAAAAAGTATGACGTGGCTGGAGCTTGTTTGATTTCAAAATCTGGATATGCCAGTCGCACCGATGGTGGAGCACTTGCACTTGCAGTTTGATTTACTAGCTGGAAAGAATTGGAATTGTAAGATTGTGGACTATTCTGTTGTTGAGCAGCATACGACGCTTCTAATTGTCGCATGACATCTTGGACATCGTCAGCCGTTAGTTGGTGGAATTGCTTGGCTGATGCGGACCCTTGTGGCTCATCATATTCAACATTATCTCCAAACTGATGGAGGTGAGGTGAATATGCGTACACTAATGGAGGAGCACTTTCGGCTTCATTGTGATCAAAGTCCATTTGTGACGGCCCCACAAATTCTACATTCTGATCGTCCATGGAACTTTCCTTGTATGTCCCATCAGGTTGCAGCATAAACTCTTTCCGAACCATGACGCGGACCGTGCGACCAGATTCTGCCGGTTCCATGAATTCCCCACCTATCAAAATTATCAAATTTATAAATGCGTGTATATTTGTCTAAAGATTTATTGTTGTGTGCCGAGGTCAAGCTTATATGTCTTCTAATTAAAAAACAAAGTATAAACCGACATTCTGAAATCTTGGTAGTGTTTAAAACAGTGTAATTGGTGCCATATTCTACCTTTCATTGCGACATTAATGTTAAATCGTGTTTAATGTTTTAATGACACGATTTGAGACATGGTGATGAATGGACTACTGCGGAAGACCTTGTTATCTTGACATGAAAATACGTTTTATTTTTCAGTTGGATAATGGATACGAAAAATTGAGAGAAAAGTGACTTTTCATAGAATTGTCGTGAGTATCAAAATCATCATTGTTGTTAAAGACGAAAGATTTATGTCCTGCAGTATTTAATTTATTATTGTGCATATAATCGGCACACGCTCATTATCCAAAAGAAAGTCTGCCATTTACAAAGCATTTACAAACAATTATAATATAAGCCTGTTCACTCGGTTTCTAATATTGTCAACCAGTCTCATAAATTCTGTGTGTCTCATTTCGCCTCCAAGAAAATCCAGTCAGACTAGTTCTGCTGATTTTATATAACCTGATCGTAACATGCAATATCAGACTATCTACTACCCGTGTTACAACACTTTACTTTGAAAGAAACTTGTCTGGGTTTGTGTATGTCTTGAATAATTTACCTGTCGAAAGTCCAGCAGGGATTGCATGGACTACAGCGAGTAACAATGCCACTCCGGCAACCAGTACTTTTGCCGAAACACTCATTTTTATCACAATTCACACGCAATCACAGTCACACAAATAATTTTGTAAATGCAGATTCCAAAATGTTGGAAGCTCTTTTCACACACTTTTGAAATTGCGTGTGTGTAGTCCACTCATGAACTACCACAATTTTAACACTTTCTTTGCTGAAACACTAATTCCTCAAGTGAAGGAGAACAAATGCCAACTGACTTTAAAATCCTGGTGTTTGTTCCCTTTTGCTCAACCAAAGCCAGCAATCAATGGTCAAAGTGATCAATTAATTTTTGCGGAGATGATGATGATGATTTGACATGGGGAAGTGAATTCAAAGTACTCATCCAAAATCCCCAAACTTCAACTAATTCCTCTTTAGTCAGCCAGTTGCACAATCGTTCTCTTGGGGAGCCAATCAAGTGATCAAAATCGAGAGTGGTTCACCATTAGATAAGTCATTCCCTCATTAGAAAATAGCGTCTACTCCAATAATCTCTAACCTTTTGCGAGACTGACTTGGTTGACGAATAAGTTTAATATTATTTTGTGGGGGAACTTATCACATGCACTTTTGCCAAGTCAACTTTTTCTACAAGGAATGAAAGTTCTGCATCTGCTGCTTGACCAAGTACAACAGCCAACACGTATACATAATATGTACGTAAATATGTAAGTGTATGGTCGTCCGATGACTTTTTGGTTACCTTTCTGCCTTTCTGTGCTGTCTCATGACTTGCTCCATAATAACATTTGGCTCATTTCCTTATGAAGAAATGTATACGTTTTTCGTTACGATGCATCAAAAGCACAAATTCATACACAACTACCTCACAAAGTTCATCCCCCATTAGAAAAACGAACGAATTAAGCACTTGCTTCGTTGATGCAACAGACGTTCAAAGTTCGAAGTATAACATTTCATAGAAAACAAAAGTCGGAACGTGAGGTGAACTTGGGAAATTAGGTAAATAGGCTAAACATATAATTGCATCTCTCCGTCGTTTTTCTTTAACCTGCAACCCGTTGACCACCAAACCGATGTACCAATTTTGCAACTATTACCATGTCATAATTTTACGTCAAAAATCATACATTTCCAAACTCACAAGCTACGCAAAACGTAAGGCATAGAGTAACAGGAAGTTGTTTCTTAAATCAAAACAATAAACCAAAACCACAGAATCAAGAAGGAAATTAAAAAACTCTGAATCCCAAGCAAATTATCTGGTCCCTTTGTACTTGGTACTCATCAGGTCCACCCGTTACGACTTACGACCTATGTACATAGTATCTAGATGCAGACAAGATGCAGGAGGAATTATGTGTATAAAAAGAAGTACTAGGAAATAGCTAACAGTGTGGTCCCATTTTTATGCTACTTCTAATAATGATGTAATTAATTGGATAATTGAGACAACAAACTAATGTTAGAAAATGCATACCGCACATTGAAGAAAATTTCATAATAAACATCAAAGTTTATGCCCTACTAATAATTTTAACCACGCCATCGTGTGTGTTTGTGTGTGTGTGTATGTGCGTGAGGGCGAAATAAAGTAATTAAGATGTTGAGATGATATATCAATCCTTTGTATCCATTATAAGTCAAAGTATGATACCGCTTATCCTGAGAGGATCGCACGAGTTATACATTCCTACGCTTGTGTATCTTAACTCTATTATTAGCATGTCTAGCGGAAAATCGTTTCTGTTCTAACAACAATGAGCCGGATGAGTATCTGCCAATTGAGATAATTAATCCCTTTTAATACGTTAGAAATCATTTCCTGTCAAACTCTTACTCACACAGATTATTCATTTTATTGTGTTATAAATTCCTTCAAAACGTACTTTACGATAATCCACTACGATTATGTAGGCATACCAGTCTCATGAATTCGTGTGGTGCGTATTTATTAATGCACTCACTCACCAATGTTGTTTCTACGTCTAATTGTACGAGTAACTATCTTAGCAGTTGTCACATCATTCACATTACGCATAATGAATCAATTCATCAACAAATTTACTGTCTCTGCACATACTGAACTAGGTAACAATAAGAAGTACCCTAGGTAGACACGTGGGATGCCAGGACCAAATCAGTCAGTCAGTCAACTTTTTGTCAACTTGAAGTGACAAAAACAATAACTTTGGTGACAAGTTAATCGCTATATAATGTAATATAATCAATTCACTGATTCGTCTCAAATTTGTAATTTATCACATTTCTAATCTAATTCAATAATAAGTGTCCTCGAAGCTTCTCAACAGTGCTTTATGGACATATGTACGCCACAACTTTGTATGCATGCATTAATGTTTCGGTTATTACGTATCATAAAAACACGCACAGCACATTTGACTCGTAGTGTTGATGTTTGCTTTATGCACGAACCCCATACTTGGGATTCGAAAAAATTAAGTAAGATGACGAAACCCACGGAAGGAACCAGTTTTCTAATTGATTGGCATTTCCATTTGATTTGAAATGATAGTCACTTTATTTAACATTTGCGAGTAATTTTTATTATACAAATCAAAACCAGAAGCGGTTTCTGTCTCTCACACACCCAAGGGAATGGTTATTTACATACGAACGAGTATAATAAACACTTTTTACGCTAAAATTGATCTGCTCTGATTTTGATAGCGTGAATGCAATAAGTGATTTCGTATGAGGGATGAATAAAATAATGGCAATTACTCATCATATGTATCAGTTTGTTACCCAGTTTGAATTCATCAGAGAAGGATAAACGTTTTGAGAGGATATTATTATTCCTTCTAGACGCATATACCTAGAGTTTCGTCAGGATCGTCTTTCCTTCAATAGCCCAACAAGTCGTAATGAACTTTGATTAATAGGTATCCAATATGTAAACTCATAAATACGTATATTCAATTTTTGATGCTAATTATTCTAGTGTTTTACTACTAGATAGCACGCGATATGAGAAGGCGTGACGCAATAGGTAAATTTCCGGAAAGTGTTTTAAATTTATACAATTTCATCGTTGATTTTGATTCTCTATACCCTTGTAAATAATTTTGATGTGGCGTTTTGATGTGGCGTGGCTACTAACTTGTTAATAGGTATGTATGGTTTTCACATCAAGTAATTTGGTTACTGATGATGAATTACCAATTTTGTACAAAATTACGTATGCCAGTTTTTTCTCGAGTAGATATTAGCATAATAAATAAAAGTTGTCTAATTAATGTATATAACCAATATAAAAATACAGTTTTCAATAGTTTTTTTACTGTACTTAAGGTTAGATAATGCGCGTGTGTTTGATTCTGAATATTACGAGTGACTCTTAATTGTCAAACTATTGTGTAATAAACTAATAGCGAAAAGTGGCAAACCACGGTAGCAGGTCAATAAACATTAATTACGTGGCATTAAAAGTATTTAGAATGCAAGTATAAAACAAGTAGCAACATTTCCCAAATTGTTCTTCATCGCTCAACGCTTTGACAAGAGAGGATTACGTATTTATTGCAACATAAGGATGCATTTTAATTGTCAATCTGAATTTTATGCGCATGTTTATGTGTCCAATATGTACCCATTGCTTAAAGTATCTAGTAACACATACATAACTAATTATTCTTAGTTACTATAATACAGGGTGCATATATGTATGGTTAGTAAATATTTTATAATTAGACCGTTTTTGTATAAAAAATGCATACAAAAAAAGAATCTAATTTTAATGCACACACCATAAATAGTACAGGATGCGCGGAAAAAGGTGTCATATATAATACGACTTCTTATTAACACGTTAATCATTTCGTTCCTGATACGAAGTTATGATTCTTTGAAATGTGAATCACACAAAAAATGATATGCAATTGTACACAACAAAAGTAACGCATCTACGACTTCTAATTAATTGCTGCCTAGCGTGCACAAATAATAATCATCGCACTCAATTCTTGGTTGGCAGCATTCAATATCCTCCTTTTGCTGTATCATTTTCAGGTAGGTATACATATGTACAAACTACAAATTGATTCGTTGTATGCATGCAACAAGTTTACATAGGTCTAGAAAAATGGATTCTGCAAATTGCAGTCGTGTTTCAGACAGAATCTAGTGTAAATAATCATAACACAAAGAAAATTCAATATAATAACACCATCGTTTACAAATAACAACTATTGTATCACACATGTATGCATGTACGTAACATGAAGTTAATAATTACCTACCGTTGTTGTTCCCTTCATTACTTGCGTGCACAAACTTTGCACTTTGTCTGATCATGAACAAAGGGAAAAAGCCGACAGACCTGGTCCGTTAAACTACTTTAGTTAGACTCAAAAATATGAGAGCTTTTGAAATTCTGTGCAGTTGAGAAAAATTAGTTCCCCTCCTGAATAAGTACATAATGTGAGTGTACTTAGAGAGCACAAATCTTACAAGAATGCGATTCAGGGCGGAAGAGAGGGTTAGCAATAAAATATGAGTAATTAGTCGGACTATAGTTCACAGCTCAGATCACTCACTTTCCGTGTCGAGATGAGAATGACATTTTAAAAAATTGCGTCTTAAATGCATTTTCAGTTAGGCAAAGTCGAAAGTGATGAAATAGTAGCAGAGTGCATTTCTTTTGTTTAGAAAAACTTAATCAAAATCCTGTTTGCATACACAGCCCAGATTTTAGATCCGCACAGTTATTACAAATAAAAGTATTTTTTTACACAATTGACGTTACTTTTCCTTGTTTACACACTCTATGCACATATATGCACATACTTACATGCATAAACTTTTACATAAATAATAATTTCCGTTTGCTTTGTTTAAAAAAACATAAGCCAAATTAATTTTAAGTGAATGTAATTTTATTCAGGTCAAAAAGAATATATTTAATAAGAGGACATCTAAGTATTTCATAAAAGTATCGAGTCTATGCAGTGCTAGGGAGAAAACAATTATGATCTCAGTTGCATATGGGCGTGTTTGTGAGAGGGACGCCTGGCTGTAGAAATCAATAACAGTCTAAATGATAACAGGGTTTCTTCTTTCTAATAACTATCAATCAAGTTTGAGCATTTTCCGATGGACATAATATTTACGATGCATTGTTTCATAGCTTTTCCATCCATGGGGAGCATATTACAAAGTTATAGAGCAACTACTATGGATTAATTTGGAAGAATTTCAATGCAGGATGCAATAACTTGAATTACGACTGAAAGTTGTGAATAATTAAATAAAATGTTTTAAATGCATACACACATTTACATAAGTTATGTGTAGGTTCGAGTAATATCTTGAGATTACATACGCTAATCCTATAAGCTAATCAGCCCTAAATGAACAAGAAGTTAGGTATGGATCGTCGGAAGAGCAGAGTTTTTCCGGTATGGGGGCGTGTATTATAACAAATTTTGCTTAGGGTGGATTAATAGTACTCAATTGGCTGTACAAGGAATACTTCTCTAATTCAGTATTACAAAATTTGGATGATCACAATGCAATTAATTGTCATTATTTTAAAAAATAACAAATGTATTTGTTATTTTGTATACAAAATAAAAGGAACTCGCAGATACTCTTCCTTTTCCGGATAACTTGTTCCTTAGAAGTACCACAGACGAAATTGAGATGTGTTTTCATGGAGAAAAATCATGTTGGAGTCGACGTATTTGTTCATAAATCTTAATGCAGGTCTTGCTACCAACACTCTTCTGGTGCGGGTATAGCAATGCAAAACATCATTACATGATACCTTAATGAGATTTTTTGTGCATGAAATTGTCTGGAGTTGAGACTGGTGCTAAATATGCTATACCCAATAAAAGCAAATGTCGTAGCTCCCGTAATATGCTCTAAACTCGTGAAATATATATATGAAAGTGAAATACAGTGAAATAGATATATGACCGCGAGAGGTGTCAATGACGGTAATTTTCAACATTAATAGGCAAGTGGCGTGTGTTAGTAGACGTATTAAATGGCGATAGGCAATTAATTATAATCGAATTGATTTCATAAAATTTATGACTTCATTTCCTTAGTTGATTGACCAACTACTTTTACTAAAATGATTTATAATGATTTTTCTTATTTATTATACATATAATTAGTATGTTGGGACATTCGGTTTTGGGAATCATGAACTGTTGCTCTTTGAAAAACTTATAGTCTCACCCAAGGTGAGAGTTATTAGAATCCGGTTCGATGTAGTCAACTATAGTTGACTCAGACGAGAAAAAAAAGATTAATAGCTTCTATGTAAAATGTTAATATCTATTACAGGTCTTAGAAAGAAGAGTCCCAGAGTGACGGTATTTTTTTGTATTTTTTGTAGAAATTTTGCAAGGAAGTCTACATACTTATCGATATTCTGTTTGTCCAGCCTACTTGGCTGAGCCAAGTAGCCCCCGCCGCACCCAAGCAAATTTTAATTTCACCTTGATGGGGATAAAGCGAAATCATTTTACACCAAAATTGAGAGTTTACATCCGTATAATGTTTATATACTTGCAATTAGATCATTTTTATTAATATGCACTTTGCACTCCTGAAATTGTCCAGGTAGAATAGAATCTGAAATTTTCTCTAGGAATTAAAAGACAAGTTGAATTACTTAACTTGGTTTAGTTTAATATTTGGCTTTAATTTCAATGGTTTGTTTTTATCTTTACGATGTGCAATTGCACATAAACATAACGTGCTCGTATTAAACCCTGACCACAGATACATAGAAAAATATTTATGCATTAACACGACACATGCTGACAATTCATTTAATGACATTGAATTCTATACTTGGTGACAATCTATCCATAATAAACAATCGTCTTACTGAATATTCGTAAATAAAAGTGTTACTATAATGTTAACTCTTTTATACATATATATGCAAATTTATATATGCAAATTGCAATGAAATATGCCAATAAGGCGCTGTTCGTAAACTTCGTAACGCTGGCCAGTATGGGCAGGATAGGGAAAAATCCCTATCTTCCCATGGTTAGCCAGCGTTACGAAGTTTACGAACAGCGCCTAACAATGGTGATAACACAAGATGGCTACTGGTTTCGTGTCTTCGACGTACATAAATCTGCACATCCACATCTGGTTTGTTCTGCATATTAATCTTTCTTTCCGATTCGTTGCCTCTAACTTTTGAATAACTTGCAATTATTTGTCTGGCGAGATCACAGAAATATGTGCATAAACGTGACATGATACTTGCTATTGGACTCTATGAGTAGAAATTTTCAGCAAAAAATCCTATATTTGTCTTCGTGGGTAGTACTGATAGTGGAGCTGTGACCTAATCTGTATATATTTACTATTTATTATTTAGAAACAAAAACTCAATTTCAAAATTATCACGTGCCATTAATATTGCTCTCGTTTTAATAAAAAGTGTATCAAGTGGTTGTAACAGCAATTACTGAAAATGCAGTGTCTAGTCATAGTTTGTATGATTTGAAAGTTGAGCAACTCATCAAAAGTTGCCAATCATTTGTTTCCTGTGTTTTTTAACTGGCCAATGTACATATTCTCAATTTCCATATATGTTTCCATACAGAATTATTAAAGGTGTCACTTGATTGCGAAAATATGAAGGGTTGCAAAAAAATCAAATGTATGTATGAGCTTAATCAAGCGAATTAGTTAAACGTAATTGGCGGTGCGTAATTAAAAATTCATATGTTGCATATACATATGCACATAAACACACAACATGCACGCCAAATTTTTAAAGATTAGTAACAGATCTCGACGAAAATTAATGTCCCATTTTTGGACAAAATTTATAATTCCCTTAATTTGCTAAATGTGTACAAAGATGTCCCTCTCCTCATAACTCTGTCTGACAATGAATAAAACAAGTTCATACAAATTTAGCAATACCAAACAAATTATTTTTCCGCATGCAACTGCAAGTTAATTATTTAATGACTTGTGGTTCCTAAATCCGTAACAGGAAATATTTATAGACAAAAAAGTTTGCAGAAAAATGATTTCAAGTAGAATGTAAATAAATGACTAGCAACATAACACATTAAGTATGTATGTAAATATGTACATACATACCTATTTACATAGCTCGTGTAACAGGTACCATGATGTGCAAAGATGCGCAACGATTGACGATATAAGTCTTGCTTGGAAGCACGTTCTATTGATTTACATGACGTTATTATGTTTTATTCTTTCTGGTTAAACAACATTTCTGTAATATTGTTAACACTGTGTGAAATTGAAGTCATGTTGCACAAAGCTATTTATATTAAAAAAATACTCGCAAAACAACAATAAGATTGGCACACGTCGGTGTTACATGTAAATATACTAATTTGCATAACTTTTCTTTCAAGGTGCAGTCAGTAGTAAGCTTTTTTCAATCAGGACATGCTTTAAGAATATTGATTGCATATTAATTATTGCGATTCCAAGAACCGAAAGTTTAAATTTCTTGGTCATGTTTTCCATTTAAAAAATGGTCCATATTTCAATGATTCATATGGGCGATATAAAATAAATACTTTATCGAGTTATTACCGAAAGTATGTATTAGCGATGGATATATTTATTTCATGGTTTAACACAAATCAATGTTCAATATAATGCCATCAAAAGTGTGTAAAGCAATTAGTTCCACTTGAGTCGGATTTAGAATACCACAAAGATGACTTTATACCGTTTGTCTTCACATTAAAATCTAACGTGGGGTTCTAGTTCACTGAACAGCTCAGATCAAAATTTCATATCTGCACACCGTTTGTCGAGTTGCATGGTATCAATCATTCGTTCCAAACCATCGTGGTTCATATGTACGCAACTATCCCAATTTTTGTTTCATAACCATGAGAAAATCGTGGGGTGTGGATAAAGTGTCTTCCTGGAGTAATCTTAAGCGAGTATTAATCTACGCCAGGTATCGTACTGAGCTTTACAAAACGACTGTGACGACAACACTACTTGTTCTATTTGCTGTTGTCATAATTTTGGTTACAAAAAGCTTCAGTCAATCACCATCAAAGTGTCAAAGCTTAACAAAAAATCCCACCGAAATTTGTAGCAACTTTGAACCTCCAGAGATCAACAATGATCATAAACAAGAGGAATTGAAGTATGACATTCAAATTACGTCCAAAAACTCTTTGAGTAACAAATTTCAAACAGGACACAGTTCAAGGCAAGGAACCCCTTTGAAGGACTGGCTCGAAAAGGCTGAAACCATTTACCAAAGATCTGTGCAAAAGCGCCATCATCATGTTCAATCCATTGGAGGTCTCTCAAAAGTAAATCCATGGCCAGAGAATGGGGACGGAGTTGTTTATTTCTGGGACTTTTTTGTACCATCTTTTACGTGTCCTTACATGATAGAACGAGTAGGAGCTATTGGAGACGGGGGGAAGTGGGTGTGTGGCTTAGAAATTTTCGAAGGCAGCCGTCCCCAAGTAGAAAAGTGCGTCATATATTCTTTTGGCGTTGCCAATGAGTCATCGTTTGAGGCAGAGATTTTGGGTCGCACGTCTTGTGAGATACATGCGTTTGACTTTAGGTAATGGTCTGATGGCATACATATCTGTAATGCACTTTAGCATAAAGAAATATACCTATTTCGGTGGTGTTAAAAAAAGAAATCTAACCATAAATTATTACGACTGCGTTTTAGCGTGGATAATCTGGGACATCAAATAAAAGATGAACAAATCGAGAGAGGCAAGATTCACTTCAATAAAATTGGCCTCAACGACAAAGACAAAAACGAGACCTTTTTGACGTTGGGAACCCTCATGAGACAGCGACGCCATGATTGGATCGATATTCTCAAAATTGACATTGAAGGAAGTGAATTTCCGTGTTTGCAACAAGTCATGGAAGAATTTTCGGAAAGTCTGCCGTTTGGACAGCTACTCATTGAACTTCATGTCGACAATTTTGGAAGAGGTTTTAAGTCGATGTACAAGTGGTGGGAGAAATTGGAGGCAAGAGGTTTAAGAGCTTTTATGAACGAGGTTAACCATCATTCTTGTGTTGGTCTTAAAATAAATCCTGTCGCAGTCGAGTACTCATTCATCAACGTGAAAACGGATCATCGATTGATCGCAGAATCCTCTAGTTAATTTTATGAGTATTTTGGCAAATTAGTTTAATTATGAAATATATTAACATATACATGTGTATCTATGAACGAAATGTGATGCGACAGACAAATATAATAATTATTATAAACGAATCAAGTAAGAATTAAAGGTATGACATTTATTTACTTCGTTTGTCTATGGTAGCGAAATTGTACTAGAAATAAATTTGGTTCGCTTTTACAGTGTGTTTAGTATGCAGCTGTACGGTAAATATTTAGTTAAAGTATGTATAAGGACATAGAAACGCAATAAGTTTATGTATGTATTAGTAGTAGTAGTAGTTAAAATATGTAAATATATAGCAGTCTATGAAATAATTAAGTAACATAAAAGTGTCGTCTTATCTCTCACTTTACGTACTTTATGGAAATAGTAATACTTTTAATTTTAGGATTGTGGACTTGATAAAATGGAATATTTTACAAGGAACTACACATGTGGGTGATTTAACAAGCAGATCTAATCTAGCTACATAGACTACAACACACCATCACACAAATTCCATAAAAATATATAATTTAATTATCTGAATAAAAAGTCATCAGTGATGAAGTATTGCTGGCATACGGCTTGCCAATACTCGGCAAATCTATACCTAGTACAATACAACTAACTAACTACATGAAATGCGCGCAAACGGCTGGGACATTTACTAATCTAATTCATCTAATGGCGTCTAAAAATATCATGTATCGTATAAAGACATAAAGAGTCCAACTTTGCTTGCAATAATCAATGTCTATTTCAAGTTTACATAGAAGCGTAAAAGTATATCTGTTCTATGGTATCAAGATTATTACTAGTAAGTAAGTAAGTAACGTACATTCAGCGCTCGGGTTATTAATGTCGCCTATACATACAAATTAAATGGAGTGTGCCATTTGAGACACAAAAACGATAAAATCTAATGAACAACGTGGAATATTTGTAGGCATATGTAAATAAGAAACCAAAGGTTAGATAGAAAACGAAGATTGGCGTGTTATGGAAATTCGCCATCACTTTTCTACAACTCCGTTATTAATTCTCGCTATATATTGTATTGGTTCATGAAAGCCATTTATATATATGCATGTACTTATAAATGTAGAACGAGTATGTTTGGTTATTGTATTAGAAATATTAATAATAATGTTTGTCACTATATAAAACTCAGAATAGGAATGAAGGTGCAGGTTATAATATATAAAACTGAAAGCAAAGCAAGATATGAAATTAGTGTATATCGATATATGTATAAACATGTGTACTATCAAAATAAACTTGAATTTTGCTTCATCAGATTATAATAAAATAAGCAATTGACAATGTTTCTGACAAATAATAGGACATATCATGATAATATTCGTGACTGATGAAATTATAACAACTTCAAAAATTATGTTGTAATATGTGAATAGAGCTCTTTTAACCTTTTTCGTAGTTCTCACTTATTTGAGAGAGGTTCTACGTCTTCACCGTTGATGACATTTTCATTCTCTTCGTCCGAGGAGTTGGAATTGCCTTCTTGTGCGTCTTCAAACTCGTCGCCACCATTCACAGTAGAAATGGATGTAGAATTATCGGCGGACAAGGCGGATGGTAACATGGAACTGGCAATTTGGGCACAGTAATCTGCATATGTCTTTCCGTTCAACAAACAAACTACAATGCACGTCATGTTGTCGCATCCTAGCCCTGGGAAATTATTACAAAAAATGCAATTTAGAGAATTACATATTAAATTATACTATTTAACGTCAATAAAGAATAAAGATGTTATTACAAACCTCCCATTTGACAATCGGGTGCGAGGCAAGTGGTCATCATTTCTTCACAAATTGCTTCCGGTTCAAGGCCTAAGCCGATCCTTCGGCGGACAAATTCCACAACTTCTTCATTAGTCAAAACATCAAAAATTCCATCACACGCAAGGACGAAGAATTCCCAGTCTTCATTAATTGTGCGAGTTTCGACATCAGGGAGCTAAAAGAATTATAATTAGTTTAGTACATTCGTGAAGGTTAACATGCAGTAGCACGATGCCACCACCGAAAATATTTTGAAAATGAAAGAACCGAGCCAAAATAAATTTAACAAGTAGTCACTTACAGCTATCACCATTTGTTCTTCAGGCTTCATGCTTGCATTTCGTTTGAAAACAAAGTCTCCAAGGGCCCTATAGCAAATGAGAATTTTAATTTGACCAAACATTCTTTACAGCCCGAGTCATGGCTTATGGAACTGTGATGCCCATCAGTCCCTGTGTTCGTGAACACTATAGAGTCAAAACGGCTGAACATTTGACGTGAAACCCTTACAATATGCATATTGGACAAAGTTAGAAAATGAGATTGGCGAAAGGATCGGCCCAGCGGTTGAACGGTGGGGGTCGTTATAGATGGGTAGAATATTATGCACTAAAAAATTCAAAATCATGGTGGCAAGCCGGAAGTTGGCACACAGATTACTACATGACTATATTCAACTTTGGAAGTTCAATAATTTAAACAAGCGAGACCCACTGGTCAGTTAAGGAGAAGGATTTGAAAATACTTGGAAAATTTGGTGCCAAATAATAGAAAATATTTAACTGACATTCCACCATCCCTGAATCAGAGGGTGACAATAGTTGTGGTCTGATCAATTTGGACAAAAATTTAGAAACGAACTCTGTCCCTGACTCGGGCTAAATGAAGACTGCAGGCTGGAGGTTTTAACAATTTGTACATAGGATTATCATATATGAACTACTTACCTAGACAATGCGAGATTTCCATTAACTCGGTTGTACTCTACCCATCCACCAGCTTTACAAATCCTAGAATTCTCCTCTGTATTGTTGGGTTTGTGATCTGAAGACAAAGGCTCACAAACACCTTTGACGGAGGCAACCGACCGAGAGTCTCCAACATTGGCACAGTACAATTGGTTATTTTTCACAAGCACAGTTATTGCCGTTGTTCCTGCCAACTCATCACGCATCTGCTCATCTTTCTGCATAGCGTCATCGAATTCAAGAAAACCTGTCGGACCAAATGGACACGTTTTTATTCGTCGCGTTAGAATCCCACCGGAGTGGGAGCTCACTCACTCACTCACTCACTCCGCTGTGAATTAATTCCACTACCACTCGTAAAAGTAAACAAATGTAATTCTCTCCGCCCACACTCTGAACGTGAATAAATTAGTAAAGTTTAAAAGGTTTGTCTCTCATTATTCATGTAATTTCGTATTATTGACTGTTTGATTAACATAACCATTCTTTGAATAACTTTAGAAATTGTGATCTCCTTCGGCACATGAGGCTACAACATCCCGGATCCAGCCTGATTGAAAGTAATGATTAGCTGATGTTTATCTAATTTATAAATTACTACAATAATCGTTATCTATATTTTTGTGTTATGTAGACTCAACGATTAGGCCGAAAAACTCGTACGAAAATTTCGAAGTAGGGACTACTGGTGGTGAATTGGTTGCGACGTGCATAACTTGCAGATTCGTGGCGAGTAATCAGCTGCCGATGCAAAATCATACAAGGAGAGGACACGTCGCCATTCCCACACACGTTTACGCAGAAGGTGATGGTTGCAAAATTGTTCCGAGAGCATTTAAACCTGAAGATTATTATGGTACACAAACTTTATAAAATATATACGGTTCCATATATATTTAACTCGTTTTTATTGGTGTTTGCAGAGAGTAATGGCGGATTACACAATATAATACTCAAAGTTTGGATGAAGGACAACACGATCGGTCTGAGTATAAGTAAAACTACTTATGGAAACGGGGTTCTTGCCGCCCAGAAAAACAAGTCTGAAATGAAGAGTGCCGGGTGTCACACCACCACCATGCTGAAGAAGGCTTGCTCGTCGAGGGTCCTCCTCCCAGAAGGATATGAGGTTATTTGTGAGGAAACAAGAGTCGTCCCCATCCACCCTTTTCAAGGAACTTTGTGCAGTTCGAACGGGAAGTGGACAGTTCGCAACATTCTTCAAAAAGTGTGCGTGGACACGTTTATGCCCCCAGAAGCTCTCACGTATTTTGAAGAAGATGAACTCGCCATCATCATCAAAGCAGTGGAAGAGTTGAAGAACTCTTTGGTTATTGGGGACCGTGAACTAGTCTTTATAGACGAAGCAGAAGAAGGCGATCGACCACTGGGCGACCCCATTCTCAGGGCAAAAATTGAAGAAGGGACTTCCAAAATTTGCAAATTGGAGGAAGAGCTGCATCAGGCCTCGCTTCGTGAAGAAAAGTTGCTCAAGGAGTTGGAGGATGAGAAAAAAGCTCACAATGAGACAAAAAAAATGGTAAGTCAACTCTCCTTATTTTCAACTCTAAAATTAGTAATTTGTATTGCATTCGTTGTAATCGTTGAACTGTATTTGAATAATTAGTTGGTGGCGATGAAGCGAGAACGAGCTTTGTTGCTGCGTGCAAATTCTGAAAAGAGGAATGAGAACCGTGTTCCCCTCTCAAACGCCACCAACTCACCGGTGAAGAGGAAGAAATGACATAATCTTTCTTGAAATTATCATTTTTTTGTTGTGTTCAATCATTAGACATAAATAATTCACCTTGTTTGAGTGCCGTCGCAACATCGCCTTGTTTATATTCCTGCCTTTGGATCACGTATTTGTGTAAGTGATGGCCTGCATGTTGAGCAACTTTGGGCCCTAAAATTAGATCCATAATTTTGTACATAACTATAATGCCGACTTGATGAGAAAATGGAGATTATACAGAAATATATTATACTTTACCTCCGTGACCATCGTACACTGCGAAAAAAGCGGCTTCTTGGTCATCAGGTAGTGCCAAAATGTGAGTGTGCCAATCTTCCATTGTAACACGCCATCCCTGCATGCAACTTGCACCAACTTTGTACACTGAATTTTGAACGCACGACGAGTCCTGCATTAAGATTAGTCAGTGTTAATTTAATTTAAAAAATCAGCTAGACATTAGAATAATAACTATCGTGCCAAATTTTTTGGTTTACCTTCGTAGTCACAGGTTCCGACAGAGTTTGACCCATCTTAGTGATTTATAGTATAGTATGTCGTTTACACTAATAAGTGTCAAAGTAATTTACTGCTTTGTAGTACGACTTTTTAAAAGCGTGAAAGAGTATTAATAAAAATAAATATTTGGTATGCTCAAAGGGGCTCGGGAGAATTTGTCTAGATCACAAGCTCATGGTTGCTGAGATGAAAGTGATGTATGCAAATCAGGACACCTGGAAACAATAATAATATGAGCACGTTGATAAATAAATAAAGAAATCAACTTTTACGTTTTACTACCAAATATGTTGATGACTCGTTGTTTTATCACACCAGTACAATTGAAAACGATAATTTCGTTATCAATAATTAGTTTGATATAGTCTGGCGCAGCAACCAAACGATTATGAACAGACCAACTTATCAAGGAAAGGATGTGACGTAATGCGGTGGTGGTAATGATGAATCGTTCTCAGATGGATGGCAACATTTGCAAACTTAGTTCAAAAACACGAAATCCTTGGATGTGTACAACTGAAACATCGTTCGGGAAGGTGGAAGAGGAAACTGGGTGACGAGATGACGGTCAAATTAACTGCAATCAACACATGAAATTGATTATGTATGATGACGATATGCAAAATATGAGCCAATTACATAATATCAACTACTATAGTGCACTGTACACACCCTTTGCACTTTGGTCAACCACGTCCAAAATTTGTGTACATGGATTTAACTACAAAGTGCAAAGTAGTTGTTTCAATTACACATTGAATTAACCTCTTGGATACTATCTTATTTTTCAATGATGAGTAAATGTTACAAGATGGAGAATAGGATTTTTTAGACATATTAAAGCATGTTCTAACTATGCATAATCATTACATCATGGCATTACGCATTAATCGATACAATTAATCAAACCATTTTATTCGTCCCCTTACTTGTTTTTGGTTTTCCGAAGTAAATCCTCTTGGCTCACACAAAATGAAATAGTACTTTGCAGTTGGTTAATAAACTTTTGATTTTCTTGCATACAATTCGATCAACAACCTTCAATCCAATTACCAAGTCACAAGTGTTTAAATCAGAATTTGAGTCACTTTGAGTTCAATAACAATAATAATAATAATATAAGTAAAAGCAGTCCGTCACTGAGTCTATCTTTTCTTTCCACTAATATTATTATTTAATGGAGGAATGGATATTATATTCCAGTCAGTCAGCGGTGATTGGCTGGTTTGGTGTTTTTGCTAATTTATATTATTTGCCAAGTGCATATAATATTATGCGTTATGCGATGATGACTGATGGTTTTTGTTGGTTGGTGCTGCATCCAGCACGCAGTTGGCTGTATCCTCTTATTCATGGATCCAATTTCCGCCTGCACGCTCCCTTCGGTTTCGTCTCAACCCGTCATTGAAAGAAAACACGGGACGTAACGTCTTTCTTTCTTTCCGTGATGGAACAAAGACGACGACGACAAGGATAAAACAAATGCAAAAAAGACGATGATTGCAACTGCGGTGCAAGAAACGGATTTTGCATGAATGAGATATATAATGCATGAGACGACGCCTACGCTGATTATGATTATGACATCCACAGTAAACTAATAATAACACAAATATTGCAAAATCCTTACTACACGACTTGCGATAGGACGCTTTTGTGTTCCGTGAAAAAAACATGGACATATGAATTAACATGAGTAATAATATCTAGTCAAAATAATATCGTGATTCTATTAATAACAGCAATCACAAGTTGTCTCTCATTGATGATGATGCATGCAAAGTAATATACATAATATAGTTAATAATAACACGACCTGATAACAATTCGATATCACATTGATTAAAACCATTGCAAAATAGTAAAAACAATAACAATCGATAAAATTTGCTGTGATTCTCGTGTTTATTTGCAGAACCTACGTATGTATATATAGGCAAAGTCAAATACTTTTGACCTACAAAATAAAATGCATGTTTCCAGACACCAAATGTCTCAAAATGCTAAATTCCCAGTCGTTAAAGATGGCGAAAATTTATAAGGTATATGCTATTCATCCTGCTCGTCATAATTCCATAGGGGTCGAAGGAGTGTGTAGATTGAATTTCTCGTCCAAATCTCGTACAGCGATTTCCAATTCTGCTAGATGCGAGTCTACTGCTTCCTCTGATATTTGATGCATCGCTGTAGCCAAATTAAAGAGGTAGTCTTTATTTTTTCCGCTGGGTCCTATAGCTTCATAGATTTGTTTCGCCATTGCTTCAAGGGAATTAGGTCCAATATAATGCTCATTTTGCTCAGATCCGTAGTACATTGTCACAGTGAATGGGAGACCTTGTGAAATTTCTTCCAGATTGTCAGACTCATTGTCAGAGTCTGCAAGATGACTAAAATCTTCATGAAGCACCGAAATAATACCATTCTCCTGATTTAAAGCTGGGGATGATGACTGATTTTCTTCCTCTGTACCAGAATCATAGTCTGATTCAACCTTGCCAGAAGGTGACGATGACATATCAGAGGTATTTGGGTTATTTTTCAAAACAAGTCTCAAACTTTGTATATGATGATTGCCATAGTCAAATGGCGATGGAGGTTCCAGAATATTTTGAGGATGATTTGCAATAGGATGAAACATAATGGGTACTTTTTCATAACCCATAATTTCTCGATGGTCCAAATGTTGTAAGACACTTTGAATGTCAGCTCGATGTATTTTATACGCAGCACCCCATACTTTTGCCTGAAACGAAACAATAGTTGACTAATTATTCTGCATGGTTGGGTTGGTTTCGGCACGTTCGAAAAATAATAGTTGTCATCCCTTGAAATATTATGCAATGGTAGTTTTTCTTAAGGTGGTAGGTAGAACTTTATTGTTCCTCTTTTTCATATAAAGATAATAATTCTTTCTCGATGTCAAACAAGTGACTATCCTGAACATGAGGCAAATACTTCCTCATAAACTTGGACAGATTAAAAATATATTCTGAATTTGGACCAGAAGGCCCTGATGCCCTGATGATCTGATTAGCTATGTCTTTAACCGTAGCATAACCTACAAATAAAGGTCCATCTTGAGGTCCAATGTACACCGAGGCCGCTACAAATGTAGTATCCGGCATATTGGAAAATTCACCCTTGTAAAGTTCATCTAATCCAGCGTTGGAATTATTGTATGGGTAAAAATTTAGCATAATTTGGTCAAAGCGTCTCTCCCTGTGGTTAAGTGAAGCTATTGTGTCAATGTCCCTGTCATCAATTTCATACGCCACACCCCAGACTTTGTCCTAAACCAATGATAACTTCAATTACCAATATCATTCACACACCCATATTGCTGAATTTAGATGCTAGCAGAGAAATCTTTTTTTGTGTGTGTTTTTACCTCTGGGTCTGAAGAGGGTACAAGGGTAACGACTCGTCCTGGCTGAGCAAGAAAATTAACTAGTCAAGACAAACCATAAGTCAACTTTAATAAATATTTGCTTGCTACCTTCTCAGGAACCCCTCTATGATCAATTGATTGTTGCCAGAATTTTCTATCATAGCCCTTTATGTATCCAATCACCTTCTTGACGTAGGGAAAGTCGACTTTCCATACCAAACTACCATATCCAAAAATCCACATATTTCGTATTTCACTATAAAACATATTATACAATTCTTTCAGATTAAATTCCAAAAGTTATGATTTACTGAATTGCTCACCATGAATTGAGTTGTTGACTAGTTCCAAATTTCGATATACAATTTTGATTTCAAGGAGCCGACATAGCTGATATTCAGATTACATGCTGTACAAAATATTTTATCTTTACATCAAAAAATTTGCAATAAAAAAATAGACTAAGTCTTCTAATTCTGTTGCGCCTGGATATTTATTGCAATTTGCAATTTTGACACAGGATGGTTCATGTCAAATACTAGAGCGCGAATCGTGAGCCAACATCATGTAAGTTTGTGGACGTGTCATTCCGAATTTCTACTGATTTGTGGATTTAACTTTGGTGATGAAAAGGCCGGATTATAATTTTGACAAAAAATAAATTAAAGAATGGCGTTGAATCTAGCTCATGCCAACCTTCTCCTCATCTCACTCATCCTCCCGTGCTACTTTCTCTACGTTTTTATCATTGCGTGTGTTTCAAAACGGGTAATTTAAGTTTTAACTTTTATAAAGTTCGCTAAATGTTTAATTATTTTCTGTAATTATTGTTTGGGTCATTTTAAAATTGTATAGGATCCTAGCCGGAAGTTTACTGTGGGCCTTTTTCATCCCTATTGCAATGCAGGCGGTGGAGGAGAGAGAGTTCTTTGGGTAGCGTTAAAAAGTCTACAACAAAAGTAACATATGCATTCATGAGTAGTAAATTCATTCTTACTACCTCGGATAAAATTTCTGTCAACTAATAAGTTATTATTCTGTAGATATCCAGAGTTTCAATATGTGGTTTACACTGGAGATGTCTCAGTCACTGCGGAGCAAATGATAACCAACGCTAAATCTCGATTCAACATTGAACTCGATCCAGAAAACATACAATTTGTGTACCTAAAAAAGAGAAACTGGGTCGAAGCTGAAAAATACCCGTCATTTACGTTAATTGGGCAGAGTCTTGGTTCCATGCTTTTAGGATTAGAAGCTATTACTAGAGTACATCCACCAGGTAATAAATAATGTTACAAAATTTGTCATTTCCTTGCTACGAAATAAATGTGGCTACTTAGGTAGTGTTTAGTATAAATTGAATATCTTTATCTTAACTTAACTGCCTTATATTATTGCAGATGTAGCCATTGATACTATGGGATATGCATTTACCCTCCCAATTTTCAAATACCTTGGAGGTTCCAATGTTGGTTGTTACGTTCACTATCCTACGATAAGTACGGATATGCTTAATAAGGTTTCTAGTGGAATGGAGTCTTATAATAACCAAAACTTTGTTGCGAAAAGTTCTTTATTGTCGTCAATGAAATTGGTATATTACAAAATATTTGCAAAATTGTATTCTTGGATGGGACGAACTAGCGATACGGTTATGGTCAACTCTAGTTGGACTGAGAATCACATAAACCAACTATGGCAAATTCCTGCAAAGACTTTTAAAGTGTATCCACCTTGTGACACTGAAGAGTTCAAGAAAATTATTCAACCAGAGGATGACTCGAAAAAGAATGGATTTAGAATTGTCTCAGTTGCACAATTTCGACCAGAGAAGGACCATCCAATGCAACTTCGGGCATTAAATCAACTGCGAAAGATAGTTACGGCAGAGGTTTGGAATCAAATAAAGCTTGTGTTAATTGGAAGTGTAAGAAATGAAGACGATGAACGCAGAGTTAACGACTTGCGAAAGCTGAGCAAAGAACTTCATATCGACGACAATGTCGAGTTTCATTTAAATGTCTCCTTTGATGAATTGAAGAAACAACTAGCTGAGGGACTGATTGGCATTCACACAATGTGGAATGAACATTTTGGAATTGGTAATTTATAATCATTTCTTTTTAATAATAATGAGTATGCATTATGTCAGTGTTGGAATTTGTTAAGATATTGTATTTGCTTTTATTTAGGAATTGTCGAGTCAATGGCTGCTGGGTTAATCATGGTTGCTCATAAATCAGGCGGACCCTTGATGGATATAGTGGCACAAAAAAATTCAAATTTATTCTGCAATGGGTTTCATGCTGAAGATGAGGATGAGTATGCTGAAGCAATTAACAAAATACTGAAATTTACACCCAAACAGAGACAAGAGATCAGACTTAAAGCAAGAAAATCTGTAGATAGATTTTCAGAAACACAATTTTCAAATGGATTCTTAAGAGTCATTGAGCCCTTGTTAAAATCAACATGAACCGAAGTAAAATACGGACTAGTTTTGTGATATTGACATCAACCAAATGATTAAAAGCTTGCGGTTTCATGTAAATATGTACATGATTAAGTGAATATTGAACCTTGCATTTTCTTCTTATATAAATACATATATATAAATTATTTTTAAACCCTTACACTGATAAAAGGTTATTTATTAACATCAACATTGATAAACTATGAAATACACTTAGTTGGCTTGGGGAGTAGAGGAAAAACCCGATGTTGGTGGGTTGGGAAACTTTACTTGATCCGGATAGGCGTCCGAGATCACCATTCGGCCCCTTACAGGATTTTTGTAAATAAAACGACCTATCATTTAAAATATAAAATAATTCTTCTAATCCTCGTTGACTGGGGACAGCTCCCATGATTGATGCCGCATTCCCGCGTTGAACTGCCAAACTGATTTTTAAATATCATTATACGTATTAATTATTTTCCTATTAATCGCTGTTATTGAGTGTACATACATATTGTACACTCATATTGTACATACATGTTTGTAATAAATAATATTTAAATTTTATACCACAACCATAGTTGGTAGTGTATTGGAGCTCATGATGACGAACAAGGTGACATTCGACAGTATGCCAGATAACAATCAAACAAGCTATGAATTGAAACTATCGGTAGCGAGTTTCTTCAATTCCGCAGGCATGTACTCCTTTGAAACTTTTTCCAAGGATGATCTATCTGGAAAATGTTGAGGATTTGCAGCAAATGTTAACTCGTAACGATCAGAATGTGTGAAAGAAAAGGTGGAGATGGGAATGAATGGATTTGCATCGTGAATGGCTAAAATTTGATTGATTTGCGTTATCGGTTTTCCTAATAATTTGTACTCATTCCCACCCAATGTCGAAGAGTAACCCCCGCCAAACCCAGCATCTGTGGCAAACATTGACCTGAGGAAACTCACGGGGAAGAGCCACATTAGTGGAATCATTACTAATTTCATGAATTTATGAAGGCCTTGGTTTTGAAACTCCAATAGTGCTTGTTCAACCTGAAGAAGTCTTTCAATCGGAGTCTCGTCACCGATAGGAACTTTTACCAACGCCGTTACCCTACAAACAGAACGACAATATTCTACATTTTACATAATTAAAATAATTATTAATCGCAGATTGGCAAATTAAGCTCAATGCAATAATACCAGTGATTACAGATGCGTTGGTTGGTGGGGGTCTCGGGATTTTTTGAAGGGTGTCTTGGCCAAGGTAAAGTTGTACCCATGCACAAATGGGACGGTAAATCGGATGGTGTTTTATGCAGATCTTCAAGCAGATACCTCCTGAGACAACCTCCAAGTAATGATAAGATTATGGAACTAAAGTGAACGTTGTGCTCTCTTCTGACTCGTTTCAACATGTCAAGATCCAACAAAGTGAAGGATATGGACCACTGGTATGGGTCAACTTTCTTGCATGCAAAGGGATTGGATTGTGGATCTCCTTTAAATTTGTCCATGTGACATGGAACTTGGAGCATTTGCGATACCTGGACAATCATTGAGCAAGATTTTACGAACTCTAACTAAAGTGCTTATAAATCATAGATTATGATGGAATTTTAATTTCTAAATTATCGTTTCTCTTTGCTCACCCGCTGCCCGAAAGTATCATCAAAATCCTTCACCAAATATGGCGAGGTATTATCTGTGAGTTGGTCCAAAATGTATAGAAGTGAATATCCATCGGCAATAGCATGGTGCATCTTAATCGCAAATGCAGTTTGATTTGTTGCCCTCATGGGAATTATGATAATTTCCCAACAGGGCGAATTTTCCTTATACTTTTCTAGAATCCATTCCGATAATAAGTCTTCCAAAATTTTGCCTTCTTTGTCATCCAGGTTTTTTACTAGAATCTTGTCGTTAATATCGATCTGACTTATCTTTTTGAAGAATGCAAACCCTCCAAATGTAACCAGAGAATAATGAAATCTCTCATATTCTTTCTTATTGGACGAACCTCCTTCGTTTCCGAGAAACTTTTGAGTAAAGAGTTTCCTCACATCTTCCACCTCAACCTGTCCTTCAAATCTACCCACAAGACCAAAGTTCACGATGGAATACTTGTGCCCACTTCCTGGAGCGTTCATAATGTCCAAAGCTTTTGGGAGGAGCAAGTCCCTCCGGATACATTTCGCAACTAGGACTACGGACACTTTCCAAATGAATAAGAGAGTAAGAGGCAAGCTGAGCAGTATTAAAATTATCGCCCATGTCAGACTTCCGAGCACAAGTTCTTTCAATCCCATCTTGCTAGATTATTTGTCCACTGTTACGATAATGTATTATTACATACAGAGTACTGAAGATGGCTATTTTATTCTATACAACGCACTTTAGAAATCATGGAGGTGTGTAAATATTTTCCATGTATTTCTGTATGATTTGCATCAAGGTTTGGAAGCGAAGCTTCAGCTGTTGCTGCTTGAAGCCGGATGTTGCTTAACTAATATAAGCGCTATATAAGCTCATGCATTTACTCAACATTGTAGTTTTTATCGAGTTTTTTGCTCCAGGTTTAAACCGAGAAATACCATGCAATGCTTTCGTTCATATCTAACTCTAGAGTCTTTGTGTAAGCGAGGTCCATGTCAGCGAAATGTTTATACTTCTCGTCAGCAACTTGACTAATGATCTCTCTCTCTCTATTTCCATTAGTCAATCTTTGCGTCTATATATAGCCGCAGAATGCGGGGAGCATATTATGTTGATTTTATAGATTTTATTAGACGGTGCACGTTGTCAGAGCAAGGTTTGCGGGATGAACGAAGACGCTAAAAACCATGTTGCTCAGCAAACACTTTATGTCCATAAAAGCCCGTGTTCTTGCAATGAAATTGGAGCTTTCTCTGACATTGAAATTAAGTTGCAACAACCTCTAAAAAACGGAGGGGTGTATTCTACGTATACGTACGATGGGCGAGAGAAGGTGAAATGGTGAACGCTACTGGTTAAATGGACACCTTTTGCTTTCACCGACTTCATAATACGATTCTCGGTCTATGAAAACTCTTTTTCTATCTCTGGTGGCAATGAAAGTCGAATGTCGTTGCACAAAAGATGCAGGCGTACAACAAGTAGTAGATATGAAAATGTTATGTAATATAATATTAGTGCATGGGCATGCATTTTGTTTCAGGCATTTAATGAAATCAGTATTAAGTCAGTACTCCTGCATCTGCATGCATTCCGAAATTATGAAGGCAGGAGGTTCATTTCATTCAATGTCATCTTAATAAACGAATATAAGAAAACTGAAGCAAATGAACTCTAGAAAATGCACCGTAGATTTTTTTCACATTTGGATATATGTAAGTCCCGGACCCGATTCGGGTTTTATCCAGCCAGAAACTTGCTCATCGTCCTCAGTCTCACTTTACCTGTCTTCCTTCTCCAGCACATCCACCAGACAGTATTATTTACACTGACGGTTGTATAATCGCATATTTTCGTTCCATTCTTAACTTATTATATACCAGTGGTAATCTAAAACAGAAGAATATGACAAAATGCAAATGTCATGTTGGAGGAGAGTGAAAGTGAGAATCCAGCCTGACACAAACACAATATTGCATTGGTGCTAGTTCAATTTAGTATTTCTCATTTTCTTGAGCAGCTGAACTAAAGCTGAAGCGAATTCCCATCCCCATAAAAATGTATTCCGATATTTTATATTATTCAAGTAAAGGACCAGCTGATTAAAAAAACATTGATTTACAAATAGTCACTTTTAATTTTTGTGTGGTTTGAATCGGCATATGTTTAATAATTTTTAATTGTAATACTCATAAGAAATGGAACGCGCAAAATTTATTCTGCTCAATGAACAAGCACTTGCTCAACTTTCGGAAATACAAAGACCAATTTTTATCTTGCAATGGTTGCGTCATGTGGAAACTGTCTTGTCGTCAATATCCCGGGTTAGAATTACAAGCTTATCATATTTTGCTTATCATAGCTTGTCTTATTTTGTTTGATTTTGAATGTTTCAATGTCTTTCATTTTTTTGCGTAGGTGGAGTTGAAAAACTTTCAGAAACAATTGGTGGAACAGTTGCTCCAAGCGATTCAAAATGGACCTGGTTCTGCGGCAAGAAACATCATTGCGCGATCAATGGCAACATTATTCATTGTTGGCGATACAATCCTTCTCTTTGACACAGTGAATAAATGCAATGATCTTCTTAAAACTAAAGATGATTCACCCTCATCGTTGGCTATTAAGCTGTAAGTTTTAATTTGCGATTTAATTATTTTACTTTAGCTATTAAAGTAGTCAGTAGTAGTGATATCACCTGTAATATGTTTACAGAGCTGCTACTGCATGTTTGGGGGAAATGTACGAGAAACTGGGTCGAATGATGGGTCGTTCTTATGAAGAGACAGTCCAGTTGTTGAGCAAATCATTTAAAAATATGGAATCGCAATCTCGCATTGAGACAATGTTGACGTTTGAGAAGGTAGTAATACATATACATATTACGAAGCAATTCATGAGACAACTCTTTCGTTACGAATTAGTATCATTTGTACAAATTATTTATATCTTGATTTAGATTTGCCGAGGGATGGACACTGCTGCTGCCAGCGTGCACAAAGAAGTTTACAGAATAGCGAGAATTTGCATAATAGATCGTGTAATGGCTGTTCGGACTGCAGCAGGTTCGGTCGTACAATTATTTTTTCCTTAAACATATATATAACAATGTGTTGGATTGTAAAATTCTCAAACATAAATATTTGCAGCAAAATGTATTCAAGAAATGATGAGCTCGGCACCATTCTTGTACACCACAGAGTTGGAAAGTTTAACATCATTGTGTTTCCGGGGGCTTGATGGAGTGGATTATGATGGCACGTATTTTGTAGAAGTTATCAAATTAAAGTCAAACAGTTTGACTTTGATTTAATAATTCGTATATGTTCGTACTAGGTCGAGTCGCAATAGCAAGTCTCCTTGGGTGTATTATTTCTTGTACACAAAATCCTCCTGCAGCTAAAGGACGAGGATCAATGACTTCCAGTGAGTATGCATATGACAAAACGGTACATGTCTAATAAAGGAACAGCAAAAATAATTTATAATTTTCACTCAATGTTGTAGCAGCCACGCAGAAAGGGACAAAAGCAGTATCTCTGCAAGAAGGCCTCGGTGTCTTGATGACTGGCTTTCTAAGAGGAGCTACGAGTTTCTTAAAAGGCGAAATTATTAAGGGAGGATCTGGAGTGAATCGAGAGGTTCGAGTTGGAGTGACGCATGTATGTACTATATGCATATGTATATAGAAAATAATATGGGACGATTTAAATATGTATTAGAGTATAATTTAGTAATTTAATTGTAACTGCAATTCTTCTTATTCTAGGCGTACGTGTCATTTGTTGAGAAAATGGGATCATCATGGTTGGAAAAGAATTTAGATATTTTCACGAATCATATTCTCGAACTTGTAGCAAATCCCAAGGCCGCAACGTCTCACGTTGACGCAGTTTACTCACGAAAATGTGTTAATTTTATTCTACGTCGGTCATTTGGAAGATTATTGGGAGAAAAGGCCCAGTTCTCAGCTCTAAAAGTTTTGGCAGCCACAGTGTTGAAGCAAATGAATTCTATAGGTAAGAATACCTGACAGGGAGAAAGTGCTTATGTCTGTACGTGTAGGTATAGATGGTAAAAAAGCTGAATATCTCATGAAACCATCGCAATGAAAAATGTATGCGGCACTATGCGCTTCACAAATCTTCTGAGTCGAGACTGTGGTATAAAATTATATGCTATGCAAATTGGACTGTAAACTATGAAGATGAGACACAATTTATGTATAACTGAACTAACGAAAGTTTCTATTTTTTAGACTTTAGCCCAGAAAATGCAAAGGAAATCAATCAAGAAACAATTTTTAATCAACATTTGCTAGTGTGCGCATTACAAGAAATGGCTGCTTTGTAAGAACGAAATTTACATGTATTTATTATCCCCCTCTTATAACCTAATATAGGATACTCATTGTACCGCTAAAAAATTCAGGGCAATATTCCCTTGTTTCTTATAGATTTATTAACCTTGGGACTTCCATGCACCACCTTGTTACAGATCAGGGTTTAGGTTTATTGGATGGAATCTTTGGCGTTTTAATACACCCATCTCAGTCTACGAGATTATCTGCCGCGTGGGCTCTTCGTTGTTTATGTGTTGCCATTCCATCCATGTCGTACAAGTGTATTGAGCGCTGTCTGCAAGCTCTAGATAACATGAAAGCTTCGCCGGAAGCAGTCTCCGGGTATAGTGCAGCTCTTTCAGCCATTTTAGGAGGAGTGAGACATATGCCTTTGGGAATTCCTCACGCCACTGGAAAGGTACGTACACTAGTCAGTTGCAGCATATTTGGTGTAATTTGGTCATTAATAAAACATTTGGTACGCGGACCATACATGGCAATCCTTACATAGCAATTTTTACATGGCAGTGACTTACATGGTATATCCCTACATAGTTTTATCACTACATAGCATGATCACTACATGGCGTATCTTTACATAGCATTATCCTTGCATTGCATGACAGTTACATAGCATCTTAATCTCTTAAAGAACTTAAATTTCAATTAAAAACCCTCTTAAATTTCTTAAAGATTTTTTTAGAAGCTCAGATTTTGGGTTCAATATCAAACTGGTTTTAGCTCAAGTTGCATTTCCAACACTTCTCGATTTATTTAAGGGGTCCTATTTAACTGATCATAATTTAATTCTACTTTCGACCATAATTATTCCTACACTATTTAATAGTAATTTAAACGGGTTAATATGACCACATAGAGAAAAAAACTTTTGGGAACTCGGAGGACACGAAGGAAAAGATTAGGGAAATTTCACCCTCACATTGCAAAATCGAGTAATTATTACGTATGAGTAACGAAGAACTTTACTATGATCAGTTAAACATTCCCCTTTTAAAATTAACCGCAATTTTAATTCCATTTAAATATGTTGCAGCATCCGACGAGTGTACGAGAACTCAGCCAAGTATTTTAATTCTAATGTTAAATTGCCAATTTCGGTCGGATTTTGAAAATTCTAGCCAGTTCCGTTTGACCAACTTTTTATAGTTCATGGGAGCTCCAGAAATACAAGAAACGGTTGAAAATATAGATTAGACGACTTATAACATAATAATATGGAGTACTTGAGAAAAATAGTCTTTAAGAATTTCAATTAATAATGACACAATTTCTACTGGCTGATTTTAAACGAATATGCTATGAAATGATAAAGCTGTGTAAGGATAATGCAATGAAATGATGTGCGATGTAATAATGAAGCCATGTAGTGATAATGCTATGTAATGATAACGCGTTATAAGGATTGCAATGTAAAAATTGCAATGTAATGATTGCCATGAAACGATTGCCATGTATGGTCCGCAAATCAAAACATTTCGGTAGTGACTGACATACGTACATTCTACATGTACATATATACATACATATTATTTAGTATTGCAATCAGCAACCATGTTCTATTCAATTTTGTATAGATTGTATTCAATACTGCTGAAGAACTTTTAAGAAGTGCCAGTCAGAGCAGCCGCTTGTCAATTCAGCGATCAGCAGCAGGTAAGTGATTCTTACATATATGTAAGAGACTAAGAGAGGGAGAGGAAAGAGAGATCAATGTTGAAGCGTTTTGTTTTTTCAGGGTGGTTAATGATCGGTGCAATCATGACGTTGGGAAACAGCGTTGTCAAGTCTCTCTTACCTAGAATGTTGCTGTTGTGGAGAAATTCATTTCCAAAGACTGCCAAAGAGCTAGAATCCGAGAAAGCCCGTGGAGATGTTTTTACTTGGCAAGTAAGTTGTGCAACGACATATACACAAATATGATTAAATGTCAAGATTATAACAACTAATTGGAAGGGACTTGTATATTGTATGGGTATCACTAAAATACTTTTGCTAAAGGTCACACTTGAAGGCAGAGCTGGAGCATTGTCTTCCATCCACAGCTTTCTCTTCCATTGTCCGGATTTAGTTAATGAGGAAATTACAACCAGACTTCTTGTACCTATTGAATCTGCTTTGGCAATGATGACAAAGTAAATTATTTATGTACACCATATTTGCATAAACACAGATATATATGTATTATATATCATATATGCATTTATTTTCAGCCTTTCAGCGACGTTGAAAAGCTATGGACAACAGCTTAAGGCCTCTGCAGCCCTGTTGCGGTTTCGCTTATATGAAGCCCTTGCTCGAATCAACCCAACCTCTTTTGAACGGTCGTACACTCATATGCTAAGATTTGTAATATGGGAACTCACTTTAAACGATAATGTGGCCAACACAACGACATCCTTGTTTACACGTGTGTGCCAATCTAACGCAATTTTTAACTCATTGGTCAGCGATCACATTGCTATCGAAGATCAGGTAAGGCTTATATATATATATATATATATTTAAATATATTATAGGACAATATCGCATTTTAAATACATAATACCCTAACCTATCAAACGATATTGGCTTTTTTACTAACAATGGGGTGTGGTTACTAATTTATTGCCGCTTTTGCTGCCTGTGTGATGTACCTTTATATAGGTTAACCAGGTGGGCTGAATATTTTCTGCATTTTTTTCAAAAAATAATAAAGCTGCGCTAATATGCCAGATATTTGATATTTTCCAGAGTATCAATTCTACTTTCAATTGTATATTTTTTTCCAGCTTCAACCCACAGGAGCTGCTGGCTCTGGCGCAGTGGAACATGATCCTTGCAGTTTGTATAGAAATCTCCCAGATGTATGCAATCATAACTGATTTATACGTAACAGCATTTTTAGTGGGAACGAATCTAATGCATAATATGTTCGGATTATTTATTTCTAATAGGGCGTACTTGTTCCAGTCCCATTACCTTTGGGAGTATCAGTTATTGATGCAGCAATAGAATTGTTTGGACTTTTGTTTCCCTACATCTCTACTAAGCATAGGACTCAATTAATTGAACACTTTGTCGACTGTAAGTGTGCATATACGTACATAATTTATTTATGACTTGCAGTATAGAGGCTTTTATATTCATAATCTATTTCAATCATCAGTGAATATGTGCTTGCCATTTATGTACAGGTCTGAAAGTGACAAAATATAATCGAAAGGAAGCTGTACTTGTGAATATATTTTGTGGAGTATTATGTGCAATGAAAAATATTCGAAAACTGACATCAGGAGTAGAATGCAGCCTTGGCAAGAAAGACGGGAAGGGTTGCGATGAGCTGAAAATTATTTCACAGCAATTAGTGATGGTATAACCACTATAATAAAGCATATAATAAGACGACGTAATAATGTGCTGTTGGTCTGTTATATATAATATGATGTCTTTTGTGTAGCCATATATTGGACATGCGAGCAGTACTATAAGATGCGCATCGTCTGAAGTAGTGGGTCGAATTGCTCAGGTTGTTGCAGATTCCAGTTTTACCTTAGAACTCACACAGTATTGTTCCGACAAGTTAAAGTCTTCAAGAGAAGTTTCTAGTCGCACCGGTCACTCTTTAACCTTAGGATGCCTACATAAATATTTGGGTGGGATGGCCAGTTCGAGGCATCAACATGCTAGCGTTTCTATCCTCCTTAATTTAGCTCAAGATAATTCATCGCCAGAAACCCAGGTATGTAATTCAATATTAAAACTATGTAATAATTATTAGCAATACATTGATATTTATATTAAATCCATTTTTGATATTTAGGTTTGGGCATTACACTCGCTAGCATTAATTGCTGACACTGGTGGTCCATTGTTTAGATCTTATGTTGAACCTTCACTACAATTGGTGATGAAATCCATTACCACTGTACCGCTCTATAGTGTAGATTTAAGACAGGCAACTGGGAAAATGATGACCGCATTAATCACTGGAATGGGACCAGAGCTACAAGGTGAATACTATGCATCGTAACCATATTCATATGAATTTTACCAATCCTAATTTTCAAACCAAAACTAAATCATATATATATATATGATTTATATATATATAACATGAATAGTTGGTGGTGGGGCTGACACAGATTCTATGAAAAAGTCATTTGAGATTGGGTGCGCCATAATGACAAGAGAAGAGGAACATCCACTTGTTCAAAACGAAGGAATTACTTGCTTCCAACGAATACACTTATTTGGAGGAAAGATTAACTATGATGTTGTAATTCCTGTGTTATATGTAAGTAACGAAACAGAACAATTACTATCGAGGAAAGACAAATATATGCAATTCTTTATTTTTTGTTCCGCTTTTAGAGGTCGATACGGAGCAGTAATTTATTACTTCGTAGATCAGCTATTGACTGCATGAGGCAGTTTTGTCAAAGGGAGGCAGACATTGTTTCTAGATATGTTGCCAAAATATGTCAAGCTGAAGAAGGTAGAAGGTTTGTTTGTTTAAAATATGACGGACTTTAAATTCACGACATCTTATATATTCCAGAATGTCCATTTGTGGAATGTGGCATTAGTGGGGCGTTATTTGCAATGTTGGATATAGAAAGTGACGAGATTCTTCGAAAAGGAGTTAAGGATACGCTGACTAACATTCTCATTTCCGCCACCGCGGATAAACAAGAGCTTCAAATTGTAATTGCATTATGCAAGAGTATACTAACTTGTGGTGAGCAAATGAGTATCCATTTAAATTGGAATGACTGTGTCTTGCATAAATTAATATTTTATTTGTCTATTAGATATGGCTTCGACAGATACTGGATTAGACGAGATTGGAGGCGAAGAAGATGACGAAGAATTTAAGGTCTCTGAAGAAAACAATAGTGTTTTAAATCAAGGAAATGCTTCTAAATGGACCACTAGAGTGTTTGCGGCTGAATGCGTTAGAAAAATTATGATAACATCACCGTATATTAAAAATGAGACTGGGCCAGGTTAGAGTTTATTTACGTCAAAAATTGCAAAGAAATTTGCTTAATCGTTAAACCATACTCAATGAATTAATTATGTTGTTATAATTGGTATATTTTAGAACTTCTCAAGCATTTATCAGATCTTATTCGCATGGCGTTCATGGGTGCAACCAGCAACTCTGATCAACTTAGGCTGGAAGGTCTTCTGAATCTTGAGACTATCGTAGATAACTTTGCTCAGCTAAAAGATCCAGATTTCCCCTCTGCATCAATTCTTGAACAATTTCAGGCGCAGGTATTCGTTCACAAAAAAATCGCACCAAGCACTATAGATTTGTACCGGCTGGTGGATTAATTACCCTTAATTTTTTACCTTTTTTGCCAATAGGTCAGTGCCGCACTTCGACCGGCATTTTCAGTAGAAACTGATCCAGCAGTCAAATCTACAGCATGCAGAGTTTGCAGTGCTTGGATTGTGGGTAACAGTCAAGGAGGAGAAGATCTTCGTAGAGTGCACACTTTGATGGTTTCCGCTCTTGAGAACATCCGTACAAAACCGACTTTACCTGACTTTAATGAAAGTGCCAATACTCTAGAAAAATTATCAATTCTCAAAGCATGGGCATTAGGTAAGGTGTTCATACCGTTTTTCTCCAGCTTGTATTTGCATAAAATGTCTCAATTTAACTCACTCTGTAACATGAATGAGGAATAATTTTATTTATTAATATGTTTATTTGCATGACCCAAGTATTTATTGCTGCCATTGAAAATGGATTATCCACTGGAGATTCTCTAAGTGATATGTTAAGGTATGTACGCCAATAACAATTTATATTTAATAGTCGTTTCATTTATACATACAAATATATACTGCATAATGCTCTGGTAGTAAGTATAATTGTATATATTTTTGTGTATAATGACAGAGGGGATGCCAAACTTAAGAATCATCTACTGAAACTTGTTCACCCAGAAGTTGAAACGTTAGCACCATTATGGTTATCTGCCCTTCGTGATCGAGCTCTTATTGAGTTACCCCCAGAATTTGCACCCCAACTGCCACGGGAGGGTGGAGCGTTCTTTGTAAACGAAGCTAAAGATGTCGGTAAGACTTAGTTATAGATAACTAATCAATCAATGCTTGTTTTATTATGACAACACGTTCATAAATTTATAATACTTAGGTAATAACAGCACCGAAAAAGGTTCATTTAATAATATATAAGAACGACAAATAATCAATCACATAGTTTTACGACGAACACTTTTCGGTTAGGTTCAGTCTTTTCATCACACGGGTCAGTCTCATGATTTGGATTAGCACCATTAGGACTAGTTTCGGTAGAGGATTCTGAACGGTCAAGCACTTTCGTGACAACGTTGATGAGATCTGAAACTGTAGGGACTCTTGCATACTCGACGCCGTCGTCGTCATCACTGCTTGACTCTTCATCTTCATCATGCGCCGATTCCTCCCTGCATATGTCGAAGTTGGGTTCACCTTCTTGCTTCAAGTTTCCGTCTTCATCCACCTTAAAAGTCACAGGCAAAAAGCACGGAACGTCTGCATTTGAACTGCAAATTATACATAATTAGACTACACATTGTTATATCACATATTGATGGAACCATTAGCAAAATGTATGCATACCTTTGTCGCCCTCTCTGCACCAGAAGTAATCGGTTCACATTTCTGGCCTGTTGTTGCTTCTTCTTCCACGATTGCAAACGCAGTAGTAACTTGCAATTCTCTGCTTTATGATTGGAGTTCTGCACCGTCAGGTTAGAATTTTCCGCCGTAAGGATTGAAAGCTTATCGTTCAACCTTAAATACAAGTATTAATGAAATGAGTTATGCGTTTCCAATCATCATGAAAATTATAACATTACTCACCCAATTTCCATCTTATACATCTCGTCCCTACATTTTTCCAACTCTCGTCTTGCCATAATTAGCTCCTCCTTGTTGTCTAACTGGACAGTTACGGCTGGTCCAAGCCAAAGGTGATTAACTGACCGTAAGGCGGCTCGGAGTTGTTCATGATAATTAGCGAGCCACCCGTAGCATTCCTTAGGTTTGACGGAACAGATAGACCCAGTTTCGTTACGTGTAAACCATTTGAGCTGCCCTGCGACCCACTTTGATGTTGCCACCATGCCTGTGACCTCAAACGCCTCCTCTGAATCGAAGAAACACCCGCTGTTGAACAGAATCCTGTGAAAATAAATAAGAATTATTTAGTCTCAGCTACATAAAATTTGAAACTTGACTCTCCAGAGTAGTAATACAATAATTAATATACCCACCTATCAGTACAGCCTTTATCTTTGTTGTGGATGGTTTCTTTCCATTTTCGTTCTGCTGCTAGTATGGAATCCTCCTCATGCAGGCCAAAATACACATCCACGATCTCGAAAGTCACCCCATCTCGCCATATGTATCCGAATATTTTCTTACAAGTCACTACAAACCAAAAAAAGTAGAATAGATAAGTAATTTGTTCATTCCATCATATCATTTTGCATACATACTTTCATATTTTAACATAATTAAGAGATTACTAGTTTTAATCATCATATCTGATTATTATTACTTACACAGTTCTTCTTCTGTAAGTTGGACGTAGGAAATATCTGTGTTCTTATCCTCAGACTTATAGCCCCACCCCGGCTTATGACGTTGCCCACTCACTTCATCAAAAACAACTGGCGTCTCAAGTCGAACAAGTTCAAGATTTTGAAACTGTTGTTTAATCAACTTCAAATAGTATTCACTTTTTATTATGACACATGGCACAACTTTATCACCGGGATTTGCTTTATATTGACGGTAGTTTTCGAGACTTATTTCTGCAGGTGAAAGTTGCTCCTTCTCTTCCGCTTTCTTGGTTCCTTTATCTGAATGCTTGCTGTTAATGTGTTTGTAGGTTAAATTTTTTGAAACAAGTAAATGGACAATTTGAGCAACGTATTTTTTCCTTCGAACTGTGACAGGTACTGTTGTGTGCTCTTAAACCAGCATGATTGGGAAATTTTTTGTCACATTTGGGACAGTTGATCTTATACACGGCGTCGTAATGTAGACGTTTCATATGGAGAGTTAGAGGATTCTGTTTGTCAAAAGTCATAGCGCAGAACTTACATTTTATTTTTCGATTACCTTTTGAGTTTTCTTTCTGACTACTGACACATTTGTTTGTTTGCATCTTTAATGTGTGTTTGAAGTCGAAAGTATTATTGCACCTGTTACACACAAACTTTCCACGATTCTCATGACTACTTTTCATATGAATCTTTAATGACGCTACCGATTTGTACTTCTTATCACATAAACTGCACTTCAGTTCTCCTCTGGCAAGATTGCTATTTTTTAAAGCGTTATCCATTTTCTCATTATTTGTATCACCACCGCACTTAAAACTTGACTTGACAACTTAAACCGGAGAAACTGCTTATCTTTCGTCTATCACTAAGTTGAGTCGATACCTACACTGAACTGAGACTAGTTAATATTACGTATTATCTTTTTTTGCAAGTAATTCAAATTTAAGTGGGACTACATTGATAAGAGAGTGAGAGAACGGAGAAGAAGCGACGAGTGGAAAAGTAAACAACGTTGAGATTTAAGTTTTTCCGCGTCTCCTCTCACCCCCACTTGATTAAGTCCCTCTGTTTAGTATTACTATTTGTCATACTATAGTTTATTAATTAATCTGTATTTATTATTATCGCCGTGTATTTATTATAGTTCGACCGTATTATAAAGCTTCGTGGCCTCCAATACTACATGCTTGTGCTGTTTGTGTAACGACGTTACCAGACTTAAAATTAAATTCATCTCCGGGTGAAGATCAAAGTCAAAAATCGGATGCGAAAATTGAGCGCTTTTTTCTTGTTTTGGGTAAATATTTAATATAACATGCGACAGTATATAGTTGAAGTAATGCACTCCAAATTTTATTTAAATTGATAATTTATTGTGCCATATCGTTAGGATTGTCTATGGAAGCTCTCTGTAAGGCACCATTTTCTGAAACAATTGAAGACGTTGAGATTTATATGAAGAGTATTTGGGCATTGTTAACGTCTCATTGGACAAGAGATGTCATATCTCGTGATCGAGCTTTGACAATGGAACTTTGCTACGTGCTACACCGGTATTCAACCCTTTTATATTACTTACTGGCTGAATGTTTTTAATAAAATTATTTTAAATGCATTTTTACAGACAGTTAGTATCTCGATGTGAAATTAAGATTCAGATCCTGGTTGTACAAGTATTAAAATTAGTTATTGAAGGGATGAGAGAGAATTTCAACAAGATTGCTCATGGTAGTATTCATAACGTCATACATACTATCTGTACTTTAATTGTACTCTGGAGCAATAATGTAAAATTGTGTTTAATATTTTTTTAGAAGCGGAAGATAAAAATGATGCAAACGATGAGAATTCAGAAAACTTGGAACCTGGAAAATCTGTCGTGATTGCCGTTTTAGAAGTAGTATTTTGTTTGCTTATGCAAAAAATTCCTACTCTAAATTCCAATGCTACTGGATTTCAAGTAAAGTCAACTGGTACCATCAAGGAAAATGACGCATTGTTAGAAGACACAGTAAAGTGTTTGGAATTACTTCCGGATATTTGTTCAGATATAGGTATAATTTTAATCATTGTCTACCTTGGATCTCACACAATGCAAATAATAATTTTGGTTGATAATATTGTATATTATATTTCTGCAGCTGCTGTGGACGTTCAGCCAACCATTCTATATTTATCAACTTATATTCTGGGCGAGTCTGTAGCTTCTGATGCTGCATGCACATCAGTGCTCCAGTTTTACCGCAAAATAGCAACTCACAGATTAAATTCAAACCCGAAATGGCAAAAGTATCTCCTTTGTACTCTGGCAAAGTTGTTGGATATGGCAAAGACAGGTTTGTCAAACGATTGGTTCTACTCTAACTAAACGAATACGTACTTATCCAGAATTTAATCGTCATCATAATTTATTAATTAGTATATTATTGTTTTAATTGTGATTTTCAAGTTTTTTTTACTGTTATATAATTGAGTTTCTGGTTTTGTAATTTCTATCAGCGGGCGAGGCGGACTGCAATTACGTACAAGTTTTAGCTGCTATTGGAATTCTCATCAAAGAATCTCCTTCCCAGCTTATAAAAATTCCAAATGTACTTTACCCATCTATAAATTTATTTCAACAAGTACTGGAAAGTCCTAAAGAAATTGTAAGGTTTATAAACATGTATATTACTTCAATATATTAAATCATAAAAGACACTTAATTGCATTAAACTATCAATAGGTGCGACATAAATCTGTCAAGATAATCTGTGAATTGTTTGAAGCGTCAGACAGATGCGTTTCTACACCATTCATCCATGCCCTTGCACCAAGGATTTTAAGATTTTTGTATAGTGAAGATGCTAAAAGTGTTTGCTCACACTCCCAGCTCGAATTCATTCTCGAATGCATCAGATCCATACAAATTCTTGTTCAAATTGTAGAGACTGCAGAAAAACGTATGTATTATTTATTGTCGTTTTGACCTTCATGCTTGATAACCTAACATGAATTAAATTTACAAAAAAGAAATAATATTTGTGCCTAATCTATTTCTGCATTACTTTTCCTGCTTTCTTTATAATTATCAGGATGTTTCGAACGAGGTGGGTGTGTATAGCTTTTTACTTGCTTCTCGGGACAATCGAATTATATATATTGAAATTAAAATTTGTTAATATCGGTGTGCTTTTGTTTTACAGGTGTGCAAATGCTGACACTGATAGTGCCTGTCCTCATAAATTTTCTTGCTGATCCAAACATTCAGTTGCCTCAGTCTTCATACAAGAAAGTTCTCCATGAAATATGTCTTCAAAAACTGATGAAAATTGGTTTGCAGTACCGTGATGTATGTCGCAATAATAATAACTCATCTATTCATGAATGCATTTATAGATATATGTATGTATATTCTTGCAATGGGAGAAAATGAAGCAGTGCTATATAATTATATCTAGGAGTTTCGAGCCTTGATGAGTCAGTCTCTTGAAATGAAAGGAAAATTGGAAAACGCAATCAAAAACTCCCGAGCTAACAAAGTGGACGAAAATCAGAAGAACGCGATGACACAAAATGCACTTCCAGCCCCTGGAACTATCAAGCTAAAGACAGACTTTAGCAACTTTAAATAAATAGCTGCTACAGTTGTTCTTCTAATTTATAAAAAATCTACTTAAATAAAACATTCATTCCTAATTATTATCAACAATTACCAATAACATGGATCAAAGTATACATAAACCATTCAAGATTATAACTAGGTAGGATATTGTGATAAGGTGTTTTTAGCAGAATACCAAAGATTCTTTTTTCACTGTAAACTTGAAACGGTTAATGTTGTTAGTTGTAGTAATGTAAGACATTATATTATTAATACAAATATAATGTTTTAAATACATGCAAGAGTACGCGAATCAAAGTTGCATGCAAAATGTTGGGTTTTCTGAAATGCAATCCTTTTATCTCGGCATAGAGCGATTGACAGGTTGTGAGGGGAGGCGATTCGTAGCGGGAGAATGTACATGTGCCTCCGTTTGACCAAGTCTGTCTCCAGTTCCATAGACGATGTCGACGTCTCCCAACGTCGCCATACGACCATTATCGGATTATCTAATGTTTCAATGAGCAACAATGACTCCTCCTGGAGAATCCGATATGTATTGCCATCAATGGACAAAGGAGATGATAAATGAGTGTACGTTTTCATGAATGTTCCGCCGCTTGGGAACTGTGTATTGGAGAGGGGTTGAGTCCGTCTCTTGAATTTATTCTCTTGCATGCTCTTCCTCAAATGAGGGGGAAATAGTCACAACTTGTGACTCACAAGTTCCTACCATTGATTCATATTATCAATTCATACTAAAACATGCCTATTGATTTAATAAATCGTAGAAATTATTACAGGTTAGTCAAATCGATGACGAAATTAACAATAATATTCTAACAATATTGTAAGTGTATAACATGAACAATGAACATATGAACAGGTGAACTCCAGAGTAAATTGCATTATTGAAATTCACTAATTCAGTATCTAATATGTTGTTAATAATTGTTATCATACGTAAAATAATGCATAAAGGACACAGGTCATGTCATATATAATACTGCATATATACACATACAAACGTAGATATTGTGTTATGCAAGTTATGTAGTTGGTTGGTTTTGTGCGTCTCTTCCCCACCCGTAAGAACCAAGGCATGGAGAACGAATAGCCACCCTGAGAGTCCACCACCAGAGCAGCGTCTCACACAGTCCGGCTGCAGCAGAGGCAAAGCAACTCACTCACCTGGTGCTCCTCCATTCGACAAGAAGGCGGCTCATCTCACACAAGAATTGGATACCAATAAATAAGCTAATTTTTCCGGTAAGTCGTATTTCTAATCCATCCATAGTTCATATAGTTTTGCCTCCAACATTGATTTAATTGTCAATAATGTCTTTAGGATAAAAGATACTTGTTGTTTTTATTTTATGTTCACTTTATGCTAACTTTTATGCTAACGTTTATTTAGTTGTGCCGGTTGTTACAATTAAACCCTAATTGTGAGGGGCTTAGCTTGATTGAAGGAATATAATCTCTAACTGCAGGATTTTTGTTGATAACAGAAATATACGTCACTATTTCGCCAGTAGAAATGAGTGGTCCGAGTCCTCGCAAGATGAAGAAGTTGGAGGAGGAGGTAGGAGAGGAAGAAGGTGGCGACGAGTTGGACGAAAATATTCGTCAAGCTCTCACCGACATTGACGACGCACAAAGAGAACTCGACAGTTTGAACGAAAAGGCGTCCAAGGAGATCCTCCAAGTGGAGACAAAGTACAACAAATTACGAAAACCGTTTTACGACAAGCGAGCCACGATAATCGAGCGCATTCCCAATTTTTGGGTGAACGCCGTTATTAACCATCCACAAATCTCCATGCTTATTGATGAAGAGGAGGAAGATTGTCTTCACTTTTTGAATAAGCTGGAAGTTGAAGAGTTTGAAAATGTCGAAAATGGCTTCAGGTATATAATTATCTAATACTTTTATCTTTCGCTATACCTCATCAGATAATGAATAATGTGAGGCATGCAAATATTATAATCTCTTGTCAATTGCAGGATCAAATTCATCTTTGATGAAAATCCTTTCTTTGAAAACACAGAATTGGTTAAAGAATTCCAGCTTGGTCCTAACAGTAAGTACATAATAATGCCTAACATCTCCTATGATTTATATTATAACGTTTAATGTTTAACCTGTTTCAATGTAATGATTAGCTGAGCCGAAATCAACTAGTACGGTTATTCAGTGGAAAGAGAATATGGACTTGTCTAAAAAACAGAAGGAAATCATTATGCAGCGAAGAAAGAGGGGTCTGGATGTCAAAACATTCTTTTCTTGGTTTAGCGATAATACTGACCCAGCTGCTGATGACATCGCTGAGGTATGATGCTAACAACCTAGGCTGAGAATGATTTTGAAATGTATTGTATTTTCATATATTCCAATTTTTATTTTTAGGTCATTAAGGATGACTTGTGGCCTAACCCATTGCAGTACTATTTGACACCAGACGGTGATGAAAACGACGATGATGATGGGTAACGCTTTGTCTTTATGGCTGGTATATTTTTCATACATTATACATTTATATACATATTGTTTCCAGTGAGGAAGGCGAAGACGGAGATGAAGATGCTGTTGTAATGGAAGAGGAAGAAATTGAAGAAGAAGAGGCCGGTTCTGGCGATGAAGGCGCTGGTGAAGAAGGAGAAGAGGTAATATTTTAGTGCTGGATTTGCAAAGCATAATTAAATTATTTAGCTATGCATCTTCTGATTTTGTCTACATCTTTTTAGGGTGGTGAAAATGGAGAAGGTGACGATGAAGAAGCAGAGGAGGAAGATGACGACCAATAAGTTAAACTTAATTTTACCAAATAGTTGATCGGTCAGTCTGTGTGTCTGTAACATACCATGTGTAAAAAAACGACACAATTAACATAGATGGATAAACTTCCTCTCAACATGATAGAAAAGATCAGCTATTTAAATTTATTACATACAGTCCTCAATTTCTTTTCTTCATTTAGTTTCTAGTTTTATATTATATTCGTCTTTATTAATTATCACGGTTAAATAATATTTCTAAATGAGATCCATACTATCAAAATCACTTATTACTTATATGTATGATATACTCCATTTGCGCATAACGCAACATAATCAACAGGATAAAGTATGACTAGTTTTTTTTTCTTTATGCAATTAAATTAATTTTTTGGTTAATCATTTTGATTTGTATTTTATAATTAGTGACATTTTGCATTCGAATGTTACATCATATTCAAATGTTCATTTGTTATTTTTCAACCTAGAGGAGGATCAGGTCCACCTTCAGAGTCGTGTTTATTGGTACAAAGTTTTGATTGACGCGAGTTTATTAAACCATACGTCGTAAAAGGAGGCAGAGTGGAAGGGTCTGGACTATAATTTCACCACTTCTCCCTCCAATGTAACCTGATAAATAAGATCTTTAGATTAAATTGACATGTAGGCAGGTGTTTTGCATGTATGTACTACTGATTGTTATTGTTGTGTAACTATAAAATAGTACACGTGCCACCATAATATACATATATATATATACATAAATATATATATTATTATTATTATAACGTACGATTATTTGAACCTTAGTTTCGATTACAAATTTATGTCTAAATCGCTTTTTTTTGTGGGGCACTGTTTTATAATTAAATTTTGAATTTCATTTTGGAAGCGATGAGTGTAAGGTGAGAGACCGACTTGAGAGTTGGTTCTTTATTCTTAGGTGATGGAAACTGCATTAGCATTACATACACAAATTTATAAGAGCAACATGTACATACATACCAGTTTATATTGCAGTAGCATCGCATTTCATGAATGAACAATCAAATCTTAAAATGAAATGTGATCTATTCATGTCGCTTTTTTATGGCTTTATTGACTTGTTCAACTTTGCCTTGCAATCGATGGTTCTTGCAGACTTGTATGGCTTATACAAGCTGGTTGGCGACGAAAATGGCGATATCCAGAGAGAGAGAGAGAGAAGAAATTTATTATCCTAATTATACAATCGGATATGAACCCCAAGCAAGCATCATCACAATGAACAACGACGCCATTTCAATTTTGTTCAGCGTAACACTAATACGTGTTTAAATACTCCATCATCATCACCATCATAATAATAATCACAATTCTAAGAAGAATTCAATCAACCATAAATATTAAAACAATTGAACAATATAACAAGAGGGCGACAGAGCCACGTATAATAAGTCTCAAACTTATTATTCGGGCCATGAATTATGGAATTTTTAAAGCATGATTGAATCAGGTTAGTTAATTTTTGATTAATACGTACCATAGCAGGTACATATACTAAACTATTTATTTATAGTCTTGATTAGTGATATGTTAGCCAGTAGATTTATTTCACCCCAAAATTGATTCCAACTCCTCCTTGTCCGTGACAGAGCTTTGGAAGGAGGACAAGTGGCTCTGTGCTGATAGTTCCACTACGACGGGAAGAACGGAGTCCCCAAGGTGGACATCTTCAGAAAACGTACGACTCGTTGCTGCTTTCATCAAATGCAATCCTGACAACCCAAACTGGTTGACTATTCATTATTTCCTCATTGATGAGTTAAATCATGACGATTATTTTGAAACTTCCATGCAGGGAAAATATTAGTGAATTGATGAAAAATCAACCTGACGCGAAACAACGTTCGCCCGATTTTTTCTCTCCTAGGAACTGTGCGACCCAGTTTCAGCAAGTTAATCAAAAGTATTTTAGTCACAACTACGGTGTGTATGATACAGCACGAGGCTGTGAAGCGTCCTTTCTTGCAGATCACTTGATTAGAGTTTTGGCCACAGGTGCATTATTTAATCCTCCCAAATGTGTACTACTTGAGCATTCCACATTCAAATTGAAATTTACGACTGTGTTCGCAGAAGCCCTTTTGGAAAAATCGCAATTACTGGGGAAAAACCTCGCAGCCGCTCAAAGTCGTAGTGTAACCCCACAAAATCCAAGTAGTCCGATCACACTTTATGCTATTTTGTCATATGCGCATGTAAGTAGGAACTTTGCTCTATTTTATTTACAAGGTTTTTCCAGTGACTGGAGTTTTGGCTCCTCTGCATCTTCAGCCCTGGATATTATTCCTGACACGATTTTTGAGGTGTGTGAAGTATGATATCAAAATGGATATACATAAATATACACATTATGGAAACGTAAATCTGCACATTAGATTTTAAAATACGATATAAATTTCACAGGACGCCGTCCAGTACGAATCTCCGGCAGAATCTTTGAGTCAAGACTACTTCCACATGGATACTTCAAAAAATCAAAATCTTGTTCTTACTGGCCCAACTGTAATTGCAAGAAAATCAACTCCAAAAAAGTTGGACGATGAAATTGATCCAGATGAAACGAGGCATTTTTCAGGCTTGCAGACCCACCCCAGTGCATCAGGTAGCATTTATTATAGCTTCATTGGATGTTTAAATTAAGCCACCTCCATTGGAATTTCTGCAAACAGGAGGAAATAACAGGAGTCGAAAAACCCAGCCAGTTAGAAAGTCGCCGAGGGGCACAACCTTTTGCAATTCTGAAGTAGTTACAAGCATGACTCAGCGGCCAAGTTATCCATCACCACCACCTGGTCCACAACAGCGCCGTCCACCAAGTGTTTCGGCCCCTATTCGAAAAAAGAAATTCGCAGGTATTTCAGAAATATCAGAAAAGCTTGCATTGAACGCTGCTGCTGTTGCTTCATCTGCTAATACTAACGATAAGTCAGCAACAGCACATTCCCACAACAAAGGAATGCCTGGACCACAAGGTGTGAATGATATGAAAACTACGAACAGTAGGATGAGTAATAGGATGCGGAGGAAGGAAGAAAATAAAGAGAAAGTGGCGTTGTCCTTCCAGATCAACGGGGGTCAGAAGATTATCTCATTGTCACAACTCAAGAAACACGATCAGCGAATTCGAAGACTTCAACCTATTTCACAGAAGCAAAAACCACGCACTAAAGCTGCTGTCAAACATATACCAAGAACTGCTCCTCTTCCTTCCCCAGCTAATTTGGCATTTTCATCCACTCCCCCCAGAACATCTCATAAATTTCTGAAAGGTAATAAGTCATCAACCAAAGCCTCGGTATTCAAGACACCTCTTCAGAGACAAAGAAATTGTAAATTTGCACCGGTTGTACCCTCGCTCGTCAAATTCCATAATCCTCCAAGCTCTTCTAATAATGCTGATAAAGAGGTTCATGAAGTTCTTACGGAATCATTAGAATTAGTATCACTGCAGGAACCAGAAATATTGCGACTCTCGTGCTCAATTAATATTGCAGATCAACAAATTCACATTCCGACAGTCAGCAAGATGACCAAAGTTGAAAACGAAATTGACACTCAGGCTGATGGCATGTCACCTGAGGAAGCCCCCGTGCATGACGATGAAAAACATCTCCCTGAAGTTCAAAGCAATAATAATGAAATCTTAATTTCAGACACGGCCACACCGATTATCAATACGGTTACACCAGACCAACCCCAAGCAAACTGTGCTAATGAGGCCGAAACTAATGAAACAAGAAATTTAGAAACTCTTGATGATACATTATTAACAAGCGATGCTCACACCATTTGCAACGAGCTCTTCTTGCATGGTTCCAACCCCAAGCAAAATTATAAAAAATCTGCATGTGCAGAAGATGAGCATACCAAGGATACTAGTAGACGCGTACTGCGATCAAACAAAAACGTATTTGACCATCAGCAGAATTCGAAAGGCTTTGAAGAAAAGGACGCACCTCAAGTTCCAACACGAGATAGCCAATTGTTTCTTCCCCCACCAGCTTGCACTTGTCAACCACATGGCTCACAAAAAGTTGCAATCTCAAAAAAGTGTCCGGTGCATAGTTATAAATTAGTGCATGCGTGCAAGGAGGAACCGGAAATCATTCTGGAAGCAGAAGCATCTACCACCCCTGTTGCAAGCAGCTCATCAAGAGTTCATGACGCTGATAAAAATGAAGCCAAAGTTCCACAAGAAGAACTAGAATTTTTATTCAGGCAAGTTCTGGGCTTTTGCCCAAAAGAGTTTTATGCAAATGCAGACACAGGCTTTCAAGACGGAAATAATACAGCCATCAAAATGTAATAACAATTTTTACATATTTCATTTCGTGAATCTCATATTAATTCAGCACTTATTCACGATTACATATTATTATGCAACTATTGCAGGCCTATGGATTTGGTTACCGTTTTTAAGATGCTTCAAGAAGACAAGATTGAGACAATGGCCGACTTACAAAGGAATCTTATGCTTGCCTTTACAAACGGAATATTTGTAATGAACTCTAATGAACATCCTATTGTGAAGAAAGCTCACAGTGCGATTCTATCTTTGAGAAAACTTTTTTTGGTACTTTAATCCATCAATTATTATTCATATCTATTGTGAATTTATGAAATAAACAAGTTTGGTTTGTTTTCTTAGGAATACGCAACGAATCAAATACTACATGAGAGATATTCCCAGTTTCAAGAGACAGGCTTGGTAGTTTTGCCCTTATCAGAGATTGAAGAGCAAATGAATCCAAAAGCAGGCAATCGTCCTCTGTCACCAGACATCACGGATCTCCCACTACGAAGACGAAAGGGAAAAAATAAATAAAAAATAAATAAGTAGAGAAGTGATTTTATTGTAAAATTCAAAATTGTGCCCGTGTTTAGCTTCAGTTTCCTTTACATATATTTGATGCATAAAAGAGCATCTAATGGTATATTATATTACAGTTAATTCTAAGGAGGAGAGCCCCTCTACATGCCCCTCTCAGATCTTGATGTCCTTTGCATATGTAGTAGCCCTTGGCGAATGTATGATAACCCTAAAGTGGTTTGATGCCATGGCCACATTTGAGCCCGCCACACCCACTCAAAGGGATAAAAACGACAAAAATTGCCAACTTAAAAAATCCGCCAAAAATCCAATTTTGCTCGGATTTTGATGAAAGTTACATTTTTGTGATCCCAGATACTTGTGTGATCATATCCAGTAGCAATCTTAACTTTTTTGAAATTTTCGAAATTTTTGGACATTCTGATGAATTATTCGAAAAAATTCAAAATTTCAAAAAAGTTGAGATATCTACTGGATATGATCACACAAGTATCTGGGATCACAAAAATGTAACTTTCGTCAAAATCCGAGCAAAATTGGATTTTTGGTGACATTTAAAGCACATGAAAACAACCCTTTTTTCGTGTTTTTGGCACCTTAGAGTGGGTGTGGCGGGCGTAACTGTGGCCATGGCATCAAACCACTCTAGGGTTATCCTACACTGGTCTAGGGGTATCAAATATCCAAAGGGCATCGAGATCTGAGAGGGGCATGTAGAGGGTCTCTCCTCCTAAGTTGATATATATCTTTCCCCTATACAGATGGCATCTGCACATATCCAGACGTAACTAATACACTAATTTTCCTTTAATATATAAAATGGGTTCATGCTTATCTCTGTATATTTTGGTCAATAAAATTGTGCAACTTGTACAGCAAATCACTACGAATCAATTTCATTGTGTGGCGTCCTGAAAATCATGAGAAAATGCGAAAGCTGATTGTGAACTAAATCCTGCCCTAACGCTTCTACACGTACACCCCACCAAATACCAACTCTTTTGCTGCTGCTACTATAACAAGTTGTAATTTAATTTACTCTCACAAAAAATATTAACGTTTTTGGTTAATTAGTTGTTGAACATCAAATTAAATTGACGTTAGTCAACTCTTATATATAGTCAACTTCGGAACAAGTAGAATTTTTATGTCGTGATAACGTTAATTCAAACCAAATAGGGGCCAATTACAATTGAAACGTAATAAGTAGAATCCCGAGCAGGGAGTTCGCAACAACAATGACGCAGTTCCTCCCCCCAAATTTGTTGGCTCTATTTGCAGCCAGAGATCCAATTCCGTATCTCCCACCCCCCTGCAAATTAAGCCATGAAAAACAGCGAGTCGGCTTCACTGGAATTGGGCAGTATACCTACTTGTTTGAGGTAACAATTTGACAGATACTGTTTTCTGTAATTAGACACAAATTTTGACAATCTTCAATTTAAAGGATATGTGTTAATTGGAGAAAGCAATTCTCAAATTATCTATGTTGCTTATTTGTTTGTTTCAGGACCCGTCTGAAACACCGGCTGTAAAAAAGGGCGAAACACGAGAGGAACGGAGGGAACGTAGACGGAAGGAACGGGCTGAACAAGCAACGTACCGACTTGAACAGAACATTGCAATGTGTATGTGGTTTTGGGATTACATATTACATTTAGAAGAACAATGTTTCCATTACTCAGGAGGACAACCCTTCACCGACAGAATCACCGATCTTGATGCCCTTTGGATATATTGTGGTACTAGGTGAGTCTAGCAAAAGTGAAGGAGGATTTCATTCCATGGCCCCATTTGCGCCCGCCACACCCACTCAAAGGTGCGAAAAACACGAAAAATACCCTGTTTTCGTTCACTAAAAAAATCACCAAAAATCCTATTTTGATCGGATTTTCATAATTTAAACGTTTTTGTGATCTGAGATAGTTGCTTTATCACATCCAATAGCAAACTCAATTTTTTCAATTTTTTGAGTATTTTCGAAAATTTCCTGATATGGGGTAGCCTTCGAAATAATCAAAATTTCAAAAAAATTGAGTTTGCTATTGGATATGATAAAGCAACTATCTAAGATCACAAAAACGCTTAAATTATGAAAATCCGATCAAAATTGGATTATTGGTGATTTTTTGAATGAACGAAAACAGGGTATTTTTCGTGTTTTTCGCACCTTTGAGTGGGTGTGGCGGGCGCAAATGGGGCCATGGAATGAAATCCTCCTTCACTTTTGCTAGACTCACCTAGTACCACAATATATCCAAAGGGCATCAAGATCGGTGATTCTGTCGGTGAAGGGTTGTCCTCCTCAGTTTATATTGGCCTTTGTAGAGCTAAACTAGCTCAGCTAATGTTATTTTTTGTACTTTCAGGGAACGCTCAAGAAAGTGCAACAACGGTTGATGCTTACAAAACCCTATTTGTTGGAAGAATTGTAAGTTTTTATCAATTCATTCATATTATTTGCTATCTTTATATAAATCTGGGTATTATTTTAAGCTTTATATAAACTCGAACATAATTTGCAGAATTTTGACACTTCCGAGTCTAAGCTGAGACGTGAGTTTGAAAGTTATGGAACCGTAAAAAAGGTAATTTTTTAGTTTATTTGTTAAAATTCATCACTCAAATCGTTTAGGTTCTTCATATTATAATGGTTTGTATTTTTTCAGATTGTGATGGTATTTAACAAGAAAACTGGGAAACCTCGGTAAGTTTGTCACCCATTTTTTTGTATTTACATTATTAGAACAAGAAAATATTTCATTATTATTTATTTTCAGGGGGTATGCGTTTGTGGAGTACGAGCATGAGAGGGATATGCAATGTAAGTAACTTGCAAGTTGGTTGACTGGACATCTGAAAACTCCCGGTTAATTGTTGTTATGATTCACTCTTTTCAAAATAATTTTCTTTCTTCGTTTTGAATGATTCGAATAGTACAAAACTAACACAACTATATATTTATTATATATCGATTTGATTCAAGTATCTCGGATAATGTTGTTGCGCAATTTAGGGTACTTTTCACGTCCCTTGATATAACTTTATTTGCATGCAAACTTTACATGCAATGACACGTATGGTTTTGGGTTATTTGCTTTATTTGTTTCATAGTTAATATTTCAATCCGGATATTAGTATTTTTCCTTACAATAGTTTCCGTTTTTATTTACCTTTCTTTTACCTTTACCCAAAAAAAACACTATTTGAATTCGAATAACGCTATTATGGGGTAACCAATCGGTTTGGTAAGCATCATCCCGTCCAGCGGCACCATACTACGAAGTACATAACTATGATTATGTATAATTTATATTAAAAAAATATCAATTTGGCGATGGTTGTTCTCGCGACAAACACATGAGTGGATCTCCATATCATCAATTTATAATTGGTAAACTCAGCGTTTGTACTTATGTATTGGCATCAAATTGCATATGGTTGGTAAGTAGGTAAGTGTCTGAGAATATACAGAAGTAAGCAAGCAGTGATTTTTTACCACTTTGCTGATCGCAAAGAAACACCGATGACACGAAATTTACATTATTCCCCAGCGGGATGACATCACTTTCATACTGATGGCTCCAGTTACATAAAAGTCGTAAGTTGGTTTGTACTGCAGGTAAAAGTACACAATTCATCGAGAGAATGTGTTAATAGTTTATAGAAAATTGTAAGAGCTCGAGCAGGTTTTTATTGGTAATTTTTCTATCGTTAACCACGTCCCAAAGGTGGGTAAGATGGTGAATCAGTTTTGTTTCTTAATTTTGTTAATGAATATATGCACACGTAATCTGGTTTACCTTTTCTTGAAATGGTGAGTAAGTGAAATGAAACTTGACATGTCAAATCCTTTTTGGTACTGGTAAGTACGACATCAATGATTGTTGTGGGATTAGATGATTGACATTTATTTCCAAGAACTGGGTAAGTTCAATATCCACGTTAAAAAACTGTTGTTGGAGCAAGAAAGCAATATGGAGCGAGGATTTCTCTCGACTTCTGGACCCCATTTACTTGCATGAAGGAAATCTTAGGTGTAACCGTAAGTAACCTGTCGAGAGAAACTTTTTAGAAATAGGTTAGGTCAACTTTCGACTTTTAGGCAAGGTCGTCTGAAAATGCAGTTCATGAAATGGAATTTGGACAATGCAATCATAATTTAGAAGCAGTGATTTGCATATGGTCAAAAAGATAGTATCGTACGAGTACGACGAGACTATACTTTACAAAACTGAGGGTAAAATAATATTTTCGTCTTCAAATTAAGAGCTGCTAGCTTTATTGTGCTGTTTCAAAATCAAAAGTTTTTGGTAACGGTAAGAAGTCATTGATAGACATTGTTAGTCATAGGTAGGAGTGTACATTGCGTACAATTATATAAATATAGGGTTCATAATGCCATTAATCATCCACGGTCTTTCTAGGAGCTAAATGGGCATTCATATTTGCATACTGTCATTACATACACAATTGCTAGACAGGGAAAGTGAAATTTCTCAAGTGTTGATTTTTATTGATCCGAGATATTTCAATTTCAATCTATTCTATTTTCCACAGCTGCGTACAAACACGCGGATGGAAAGAAGATTGATGGACGACGTGTCGTTGTCGATATTGAACGTGGACGCACTGTTCAGGGTTGGCTTCCACGTAGACTGGGTAAATGCAAAACTCGTGATTTGAATGCTAAAGTCTCGCTCATGTCCTCAATATGAGTAGTAGTACAATTTATTTTTGTCCTTCTGTCCAGGTGGGGGATTAGGGAAAACACGTTTAGGAGGACCGGAAGTCAATGTGAAAATTTCAGGCAGAGACGTTGATATAGATAGAGAAAGATTATTTCGAGGAAGTGGAGATGATGATCGAGGACGAGATCGTGATCGTGATCGTGGAAGAGACAGGTCTAGAGATTCATCTCGACCTCGTCGTGATCGCAAAGATAAGGATAAAGATAAAGACAAGGAAAGACGTCGGAGTAGGGAAAAGGACAGAGGAGACCGTGATAAGCATAAAGACAAGGACAGAAAACGACGAAGGTATGTACACAGATATACTTATATCAATAGCATACCGTTAATTTGCGAGATGTGTTAACAATTTTAATTATTTAATGTATACAATGTTCACTTTACTTTTCTTGCGTAGGTCCAAATCACGCTCTAGGTCTCGAGATAAAAAAGATCCAGAAGAAAAGGAGAAAAGACGGCGCTCGAAATCTCCAAGAGAGAAAAAGAAGAAACGTAGCAAATCCCGAGATCGTGATGAAAGAAAGAAAGACAAGAGGGATCGAGAACATAAGCGGTACGCCTTAAACCAATATCACTCAATTCATTGAGTTGAATTGAATTTGTAAAAATGTCATGTGTGTGACTTGTTTTGATCTGACCCACATTCAAATCGAGGACTATTATTACTCTTTCCTTACAGGGATAAGCGAGATAAGGATAAGGATCCTGACTTTGACCTTAATCGTGTGAAGGTGAAAGAAGAGCCATTGGAGGGTGGTAAGCATAATTTATTCATTCATATGAGATTGCTATGCTTAGTGCAAGAAGTAGTGAAGAATGATAGCTAGGACAATTGACCTTATTTTGTGCTTTATATTTGCAGAAGACTACCCCTATGGCGATGGAGATTCTGCTTTTGATGGGTACATGAAACCTGAGAAGGATGCAGATGGCTTTGAAAATAATTATCCTGCATATGACGACGCTTATGCTGCATACTGAAAACTATAATTTATTGCAATATCTTATTGGGTCGTGTGTACAGAAATTTGAACAAGCAAAATTGGATTGTTGTATATTTCAATACTATTCAACTCTCTATATATTTTCTGTTGGCCCATTCCATTAACTTTCTTCCGATTACTCATTCGAGTGTAAATCAACAATGTGAATAGTATATAAACAGTCAGTAGTAGGTGGTTCTTAGCCACGATTCCTCATTATTGTCTTGTTTTCAGATTGTTAGTTTAGTTTGCCAAGTGCTTGCTTTGTCCTCGTGTACATGGATAAACTTACTTGTGTAGAATAATTACTGTCAGTTTGGATGGTCACTATACGAAAATTCCTCTTAACGTATACTGATTTTAGGAAGAATTTCGATCGGTGTATACATATATCCTCAACAATCTTTCCGTTTCAAGAGCTGCGTAGGTTTTGTTTCATAATAATGTGAAGTAAAAAGGTCTACAGAGGACAGTTGGTAAAACAATTCTTTATTGAACTGATAACTATTAATTGAGGTCAATGTTCAATTGGTAAGTAGAAGAAATAGTTTCAAACGAATTAACTATAATGGGATTGTTAATTTGTACAACAGGTCTAGGTATACATTATTATCAATCCAACTCAATCTTCTATGATTATAATTATTGGTATTAGTAGTATTTGGTAAAACAGGTAAGAGTATTTAGGTTGTCGTGACCGGTTGACTTTCGGAGTTAATTTATGTTACAAAATTATATTTTATTGTTGTACCTTTCAGTGGTGTTCTTCAACTCGCTGATGTTTGTTTCTAAAATAAAAAGTCAAATCCAAACTTCAAATTTCACAACATTTTCACTAATTATAATACACTAATTAATGCAAATTAATTCATTAAGAAGTTAAACCCGAACAATGGGATATCTAAAAGTGTTCCTATTATGTTGCTGTCTATACGATACCATTTGAGGAGCAGCACTTATGGTTGAATTATTTAAGGAGATGGAATTGCTCGTGTTAGTTTGAGTCTGAGTGTTACTTTGACCATGTATCGATCTCGGACAAGGTATCAAAGAACGAAAAGCGTCACGAAATTTTTTATTGAGGATTGAGTACAAGATCGGGTTACATGAGCTATTTGAGGCACCAAGCCACTGAGCCACTGGTATCATGTTCTCTAAGGTGGGAGGTAGTACATCCATCTTTGCTATTAGAAAAATTACGTATAATGGCAGCCACGAGACGAGGAACGTGAGGGTGACACAGGTCAACATCTTTATAACTCCATGCCTGGTCTTTTTGTGGACTCTTTTGATTGCGGCAGGAGATGCTGATTCCTGAGGCACTTTTCTCTTGGCCACATGCAACCAGATCAATCCATTGCTAAGAATGACCAGAACGAGTGGGAGAGCGTAGCAGAGGATTAAGTTTCCAATTACAAAGAATAGCTTGCTCTTAAATGGTGAGGACCAGGACTCGACGCAATAGGAATAGCCGTCCTTCTCCTTCAAGACAAACACCACCATCCAGGGGGACACGATCGTCGCAGCAGAAATCCAGATACAGAGAATTATGATCCGGGCTTGAAATTTGGACAGCCCTCTCGGCATTTTCGTTGGAAACCATATTGCGAGAAACCTGAAAAAGACAAGTTTCCTTCTCACTCACTCACTTTAATTCATTCGCTTAAGTAGCAACTTTTATAAATATTTACTTTCTCTCAAACACCAAAACTTTCCTCTTCCAGGGATTAAAGTTTACTTAAAGCTATTAGATGCAGACGCCTTCATCTGGATTTATTTCATAGAATTTTCAAATTGGCATTTTCTCATTTCGCAAATTCAGGTGTGTACGCATGAGAGTATTACAGAGTTCCAGGTATTCTCATATACGACACAGGAGACAACGAAAGAGATTCTGGTAGCTAAACATAGCACAGCTTAAGTTTACTGTTTACATAATATGCACATAGGTACATATATATATAGGTTATTATTAGTTTGTATCCTTATTCGTATAAAAGTATTGATTTTCAATGGAATTCTTTTCTCAATTTATTGTCTTTCTACCTTTCGTTTAAGTAAATTAATACGATGAGAGATACGTGAGATCGTTTGGCATAAAAATACAGTGGACACACTTAAAATTGGGCTACTCACCTATCCAAGGAGATTGCGACCAAGGAGTAAACTGAGGCGCAAACGGAAATGCCTTGCACGTAGGCTACAGCTTTGCACATAAATGGTCCAAGAATCCAGGCTGAAAAAGATGTAAATTATTTTCGCCTCAATTGAAACGTATTTGGAACTGGAACAACATATTCAGAGTATGGCGATACATAATTTATTCATTTGTAGAAATTCTGCGAGTCACGGGAACATTATTATCATTACATTTACATGTTACGTTGTGAAATATTTTATGACATGATAAACCTTCCTTATTTTCAAGCTACTATAACAGATGTAAGTACATTTGTATGTATGTGGGACCCACATTGTGGGTGTGTCGGTGTGGGTGTTAAAGTCTGACATTTTAGTTGCATTCTTGGTTCATTAAACAGACGCTTTGCTTTCATGACTCATCAACAACGGATTACATACATATGATCATGTAGATACAGTATAAAACAATCCACCTTCTTGAACGAGTACCATTATGACATGCTTATTTCATCAACTATTGTATAGGTACATATGTAAATACATACATATCTAGCCTACACTCAAGATGTGATTATACATACATACAAACTCTGCGAACACAATTTATACTGCAATGAATAAATCTAGCCTACGTACATGTGATAAGTTCATATGTAGCTTTGCAAGACTGAATTGATACAGTCAAGAGCAAAACTTTACGACATATGGAAGAGACTTTTGGGACAACACATTGTGCTTATGGCTGTCCCAAAAGTCTCTTCCAAAATTAATTCTTTCAATTCCTTGTAGTTCCTTGAAAAAAATTCGGCGACAAAAATAATTTACCACGTCACCCCCTACTTTTGCACGCTTTATTCAATAAAAATTATATCACAGCGTTAAAAAAATTATTCGGAAAGGTACGCGGTGCAAAACTTTACGGCCTTTAATTCCCCATTTGAATAACATGTCCCAAAAGTCTCTTCCATATGTCGTAAAGTTTTGCTCTTGACTGTATACCTACGTAAACGTATTCAAACATCGCAAAATGGGTATCGCATTTTCAAAATAGAACTATTACATTTGTCTAAAAAGTATTCAGCACTAGCGAATTTGATTGATTCTGAATGATAAGAACTGAAGTTTAAATTCGTGATATTTTGAAACAATTTTGCTGGAGCACTTGAGATGGAAAGATTTTAGCATTGTGTAAGAAAACAATTGCTTCATGAGTTAAATATGCCAAGCCCTCCGGAGCTGATGGCATAGTATGATTACCCAGGAGCAAAATTTATAGGATTTCAAAACATTTCCACCAGCCATTTTGAGAGGTGTTTGTCATATTAAAAAATATTGGACTATGCCATGCATTTATTTCGCATGCCTCAACGCGTAATGTTAATGTACATAGATATATAACAACACGTAATGTAGACTGTCTCCGGTCTAATCCTAAGTATGTAAATGTAATGTTTATAACCATTTGATATCCTCCTCATATTGGATTGCTATTAAGTAGATGGATATTTTCTGAATTTGAGACAAGTGAACTTTGCATATGTCTAGTTTATGGGATTGAGGTGCATAATGTTACATAAATTTTCTACAATGTATGTTTTAAACGCATAGAAAATAAATGTATTATCATCATGTATAAAATCATAAAGAGCTTTGTTTTTAATTGAGCACTGTGGCTTTATATTTTGCAATTTAAGCGCAGGTAAATAATCTCCTGTGCGGTGAAATGCAAAATATCAAAGATCTCAACCAGGGGAAAAATTGTAACTGAATTAACGAAATTGATTAATAAAAATCCCCTTTTTACGCATACAGATACATAAATCATGCAGTAAGAAAAAATGTTTTACTCACGTATCAAAATATTGGTCAATAATGTGGGAGCCACGCAAAACATGATGACCAACAAATCGGCTATCTAAATATCAAACACATGTTGAAAAATATATATCATATTTTGAAAGCACAATAATCACAATTTATTAGAATTTATTACAGCGAGGTTTAGGATGAACATATTCGTCACGGTTTTCATCTGGGGGCGAAAAACCAGAACACAAACTACCATAATATTTCCCACTATCCCAATAATAAAAATAGCAACATAGGCGCAAATTAAAACTACTGTCCATCCCATCGAATGTTTTAGAATATCCCAGCCCTCTCCAAAATCGTCACTTTCACCTTTCACGACGTGTGTCGTGTTGTCAGTCTCGTAACAGTTTAAAGAGTACACATCAAAAGCAGTTTGGTTAAAGACCTCAAAAAGTGGGTCTTCCATCTCAACGAGCAAGAAGGAGTTAATAAAATGACGATTAAACTATGACATACAATTATACAGAAGAAATATATCTGGTGAAAGCTAAAATCTCAAGTTGCCCACAGAACTCCACCAGTTGCTTGGTGTGTTGCTTCTGCTCGTACTTATGTATAAATTCACGTTTGCAAGTGATGAGACGATCCAAGCTTCACTTTCACTACGTGTGAGTTATGTTGGTTGGATGGATGGAGGATTTTCTCAAGGAGAAAGTACAACGCAAACTGAAACGGGTAGGAAATGTATCATGCCTTTTCTCTTCAATGCCACGCCAATATATTTCGTACAGGTTCTGCTCAACTACTCAAAACCACCCATCTTTCGGGGCCAAGTGTAAAGTATCATGTTATCAGGATTTGCTCGTCGTTCGTTCGTAACTACCCATCTATGTACGCATAGTTTATGGGTTTGTCACGTTTGAGCAGCAAAGTGAAAGTTTTCATCGAGTGGTGTTTTTTTCTACACTGTTGGCATATTTTTTACTTAAAAAACTACTCCATGTCATTTACTGTACTTTGACTATGAATATTGTAATTTGAGCAGCTCTATGTACATACCTTCGTGCAGCTGGGATTATGCTTTTGAGTCATCACGCCCGGTTTATACTTGGTCGCCAAATAGCGTGCCCTATATAATGTTCTTGAGCGGCGTAGGCCAAAGTATAAATCTCATGATTCTCATTCATTCTCATGACTTATGAGATTATCGTGTCCGTCGTCTTCGTCGTCATCGACACATAAGTCAGAAGAAAAGCTACAAAACCGATCAATTTGACATGTTTGTTAGTGTCGGGAAATGTCTTCGTTAAGCTCTAAAATGTGCGAATTATTTTATCGATGTTGTTTTAATATTAATAAAACCGCTGCAGCCTTCAAAAGACACGATCGGGGTTCAAATTTTCAATAAAATGTGTAAAATAGATAGACATAGATTTCAAGGAGATCCTCGAGGTCACTGGTGTACAAATATGCCGCATATTAAACTTATAAAATTGTCAGCTTACTGAAATTTAGGACAAAGGCGCTCAATGCTATTGTTCCGATTGTCTTATTGCTAACCCAACATTGAGTTAAGCACGAAAAAAATTTTATTGTATGCAACATTCGGTTTAAGCTCATTTAGACCAAATTCGAAAGTTGGAAGGAAGCACATCATTGGAAGTTGGAAAGTTGATGTTAAATTACGACGTAAATGTACACAGATAATTTTAAGTGTAAAATAATTGGCAGACATTTCTATGGCGTTACATGTAAAAATGATAGACTAGAAATAACTCGATACCGTTTTTGATAATTGTGAAAATTGTGAACCCCATTGTCAGAAATATCAGACTTTGTGATACTGATACTATTTTGCGTGGTCAATAAAAGTTCTGGGAGTGTATCTGACTTTTCCTCGAGACAAGTTTTCGTTTATTTACGAGTCAGAGTCTAGATCGGGTAGATTTAGCCGTCTTTCGAAATTTGGTGACCTCGACGTGATTTTCCGTGCGGTTGGAGACTTGTCAAGAAAGGAACCATGGATCGTCCCAGACGAGCAAGAGGACCATTGCGACATATATTCACAAGGTTAGTGAATAAGATGAAGGAGGAGTTGGCCAAGGAAGACCCCGATGAAGAGGTCCTTGAAGTCAAACTCATTTGTCTGGAAGATTATGTATGTATTATGTGAGGAGGATTCCTACCCATAGGGGTAGACATCCAGCTGCGCAAGTCACCAGTTGGACCTATTGCAGACACCTCAATGCACTCGCATGCGATTATTGTGTCGGAGCCTCTCTCGATTCCCCAGCTACAAAGCTGGCGAATCTGCCAGACCTTAAAAAGGCCAGCACGTCTTTGAGAGGATACTCCCATACTTCCTCCACCCTTAAGGTAGAACGAAGGAAGGTCCTAAATCTCAGGGCACTGTAACCGGGACAGTCTGTGAGTATATGAGCCATTGTCTCGTCCCCTTCCCCGCACTCCTCGCAGATGGGAGATTCAACTAGACCCATCTTATACAGATGCCCATTCAAATTACAGTGTCCTGTGATGGCAAAAGTTGTTAGCCTCATACCATCCCTCGTGGGCCCAAGTGATTTCCCACTTAGACCCTCGTAAGGTATTGGCAGGGCCAACTTTGAGAACTTACAATTAAGTAAGTTGGACCAATAGACCCGATGATCATTCTGAGCCCATTGTTTTATTGCAAATTTTCCAATTGCTGAGTTGACAGGGATAACTGGCTCTGGACCGCATGTTGTTATACTAGCAGCCTCTTTAGCCAGCTTATCCACGTCTTCATTACCCCATAAACCCCAATGGGAAGGGATCCAATGTAAGGTAATGTCTTTGTGAATGCTCAATTGCTGCAGCGCCCTATGAAGCTCAACCGTGAGGGAGGAAACCAGCCGCTCACTAAGAAGAGAATCAAGGACACTGCGATTGTCAACAAAGATATTCACTTCCTTGTGTAGACTTGGATTTTCTGACATGTAGTTGCACGCCGAAAGAACCCCAATCTGTTCAGCCTGGAAGACCGTAGCATAATTACCCAGAGGTGTAACGCCACTAGCCCCATCCATGAAGTTACCACCTTCACCAATTATGAAGGCTGCACCGGATCCCCCCTTACCCCTAGACCCATCCGTAAAACAGAGGAGCCCAGGTAGATCCAAGTAGTTGTCGTACATATCTAGCCATTCCTCCCGACTAGCGACCCGTATTTTAAAATTACGAGCCTCGGGAGGTTTAACAGATTTATAGTCATAAGGAAAGCCCAACTCAGGAATATTCTGAGCCAGGCTAGAGCACATCTCAATGTGAGTGATTTTCTTCAAACCACGACCGTATCCAACCCAGTTCAACCATTGACCACGGACCCTTAATCTTAAATAAGATTGAAGAGCCACTTCCTGAAGTCTTAGCTGAATTGGAAGGACACCAAGTAGGGTTTCTAAGGCCGCAGTCGGAGTAGTCGGAAGAGCACCAGTGACCATGCGGAGTGCAAGCCCCTGTACCCTCCGAAGCCGGTCGCAGAATTTTTTATTGGTCGCGGGCAGCCAGACCATCGCAGCATACTCCATGGCCGGCCGAACTACCGCCTTGTAAATCCAGAGACTACCTTTTGGACCAAGACCCCAGGTAAGGCCCATAGCCCGTCTGCATTGCATTAGAGACACGGTGGCTTTCCGCGCCTTCGTATCGCAATGCAGTCTCCAGTTCAGTTTTGAATCCAAAGTGACCCCCAGATAGGTACAGGAGCCACTGTATTCTAGTTTTTTCCCCTCCAAGGTGAGAGGTTTCAGTCTGAATTTGCGCTTGTTCGTAAAAAGGACCACCGAGGACTTGTCATTGAGTGACAAGCCCACTCCGCGACTCCAGCGACCTGCAAAAGACAGAGCCTGCTGTGCCAAATCACGAACAATGCTTAGATCAAACCCAGAAGAGAGCAGCGCCACGTCATCAGCATAGCCCTGAGTGTAGATACCAGGAAACTTCCCCATAAGTTCGGTTAACAATTCGTCAACGGCCAGATTCCAAAGGAGAGGCGAGAGGACCCCACCTTGAGGGCAGCCCTTCTTCACCCTCCTCGAGAAGGTTTGACCGTAAGTGACAAATTCCACCGACCGAGATGTAAGCATATGGGAAATAAAGTTGCAGCATAATGGATGGATATTATGCCGCTTTAGACCAGAAAGCAAAACATCAAACGGGGCCTCGTTAAAAGCCCCCTTGACATCCAGAAACACACCCAAAGTGCTCTCACTGGATTTAAGGGACCTTTCAATACGAGCCACGACGTTGTGCAGTGCATCCTCTGTAGAAAGACCACTCATATACGCAAACTGATGACCCCTTTTAAGCCTCTCTACCAGAGCGGAGGACCTAATATGGTCATCAATCAACTTTTCAAGTGTTTTAAGTATAAAGGAAGTCAGTGAGATGGGCCTCCATGAGGAAGCCCTTTCATAACTGTCCTTCCCCGGTTTTGGGATGAAGACCACCCTCATTGTACGCCATCTTCCGGGCATGTAGCCGAATTTAAGGCAGCCACAGAAGATAGTTTCTGATAGTTTCTGACCATAAAAAAATTTTATTGTATGCAACATTCGGTTTAAGCTCATTTAGACCAAATTCGACGTATACCTTTATACATTTACATAAAACCTTCGAAACTTTGCCAAGAATGGGCACTTAATAAAGATGTACATACATATAAGTTTCTAAACTGTTAAATATATGGAAAGTTGATGTTAAATTACGACGTAAATGTACACAGATAATTTTAAGTGTAAAATAATTGGCAGACATTTCTATGGCGTTACATGTAAAAATGATAGACTAGAAATAACTCGATACCGTTTTTGATAATTGTGAAAATTGTGAACCCCATTGTCAGAAATATCAGACTTTGTGATACTGATTAATTTGCGTGGTCAATGAATAGTTCTGGGAACGTATCTGACTTTTCCTTGAGACAAGTTTTCTAAAATAACGAGTCAGAGTCTAGATCGGGTAGATTTAGTCGTCTTTCGAAAGTTGACATTAAAATATTGAGTATTTAGCTATCATCTATAATTACGAAATCTTGGATGTATAATTCCTCTCCTGTTTCGGGCTATACCAAACAGTGTTGTAGATTTTTAGAATCGTGTTATGCAAGCGGTGCCATTGAGAAAGTCTTACCTTATAAAAGGTTATAAAAGGTTGAGACCAGCACAGCAATTTATCTGCACTTATTGGGAAATACGCGTTTAAAGGATTTCCCAATATGGGAACCACTCAATAAAATAAAGTTGTTCTGTCATTGCTTAAAGTATAGGATATCACAATCTTTTTCTTACTAAATATTAACTATGTAAGAACTTAAAATTAGTGTATCATTCTCAAATTTTTGGCCGAAATGGTGTATATATAAGCCTGTACAGATTTCGGTTTACAGTAAATATCCTGTGACTGGAAGCGTAGACCTAATTGTTGTATGTATTGTACTCGTGTATTTCTACACGTGCATGATTTACCCCGTTTTTGAAATCCCCCATTGATCGGCCAGTTGGCATTAGCATCGATGAACTTCACCTCACTTCAGTGGCTCGTGTTGTCTGTACGTACCTACGGCGCTATTACTTAACATTCGATTTATTTAATTAAATACACAAATGGTGGAAAATCGTTGATATAGGACGTTTGCTGATGCTGCCCATTTAGGTAAAGTTTGGGTTGTTCCATTTCATGAGAGTTCCAAACAAATAGGATTTAATTTCTCAGCGAATGACAAATCCATTGTGACAGGTGTCAAAGAAATTGTAATCGAGGGCTCACTTGTACTTTCCGTAATTGGCAACATGATACCGCCATCACATTGCATTGCGCTCCTCCACCAAGAAACCGTCTCCAAAGGTGAAAGCTTATCCTTAGCGCTTAGAGGATGCGAAGGAGTGGAAGGATGGGATCAAGCGGGACATAATATATTGCATTCCGTGACTTGAATTCCTCTGCTGTGTCACTTAGGCAAGAAATTGGTGTACGACATGATTTCGGATGAAAATACATATGCAGTAGCTAGCAACGCATAAGAAACTAGTAAACATTCCAGTGTTATATGCATGTAAGTATTCACTTGATCTCTAATGTTCAGAATAACCATTCAAGCCATGAGCAAGTGGTGTGTGCAATAAATAGGAATGGTTTAGAATAGGCTTTCTAAAAAATTAGTTTTTAATTTTAAGTGTCATAGAGGACAAGAAATTCGCACAACGGAAGCTGTTTGTCAAAAGTTGTGATGTTACGTATATGTATGCCTTGTGTCAACATGTGCTGAATTTGCCTTGCAGCAATTGAGGAAATGTTGACAACTGGTTAGCATTAGCTTAATTTGTATTCCGAGCAGGGCATCATCATGTCTCTTCATCTGCCCGAGACACGGCAACTCGCTTTAAACTCAACCAATTGACTTGGCACATATTATAGTTGAACATGTTTAAATAGTTCGAAATTGATGATAATTGAAAATAAGTTAGCTGAAAGTATTTAGAATAAGGTTAATATTTTGTTTACTTCTTGCCAGAGTATTTCGTGTCTGTTTCTATTGTACTTTCCAAACTAATTCAACAAAGACTTAGAATTAAAGTGGAGAAAGTGCTGGCAAGACGCAATCTCTGTGAGATACATGCAACTTCTTCCTGTGCATTAGTTGATTAGAGTGCATCCTCCAGAAGTCCAAAGAGTTCTCCAAATCTTGGACTGCGTAGTCCTAATAATAGATTTGGGCGGAAGTCTGGGGTAAATACCTTTGTCCACAAAATGTCGACATGTGGTTCTTTCAATGTCGATGCAATCGAGAAATTCCTACAACAAATAATAGAGATTATTTCTTGATACGTCACACGGCAATTCTCGCGAATTTCGCAAACTTCGCAATAATTTATGTTGCTATACTCAATTTGCGAGATATGTGAGATATGCGACGGTTGTGCCAATATGCAATATTTTTTGCTATCATTGCTATCATTGCTTTCAATTTTCATGAATTTGTGTCTATGTAGACGTTTAACATATTATTCAACGAAAATGAGAATATTAAAGAATATTTAGAATTTCATGAAATTCCTCAAGTGCCAAGATGCCTAACATACCTTGCGTAAAACACATCGGTGATAGACTGTCATCTGGTCCTGCACATCAGTGTTTGTGGTTACATTTTCTTTAGCAGAATTGGAGGAAACTGGCGTGTGCTTCAACACCTTCTTTCCACATTCCATAGAAGCACTATTCCCACAAATTTCTAATTGGAAAACAAACAAATTATCTATATAAAATAGCCCATACATAACAACATGGGTTCACATTTGCAATACTTACCTGCAATTTCTCGCTCTGAAAAATCTTCCGTACCAAAATCCAGCGGCTCTGCTTGGTGCATCATTCGAGCTTTGTATCTGAAACATGAGTAACACCACCCTTTTTCAATATGTACATTCCTTATACTTTCAATGCACAGCATAATACAAGTAAATTATGAAATAAGATGTACACATGTATGTAAACGTGCTACGAACCCATTGCTTGAGGAAAAACAAGGTGGATTATTAACGTTTCCTTAATTATTTTTTTCATAGGATAAATTGAGCATCTAACAATAAGTTCTAACCTTTGAAAAAGTAGTCCCAAAGCTTGTGTGTCACTCAATCCTTTGAGAGGCAGATCGTCCAAGTCATCCAAATCAATTTGCCCCATTTTCACTCCAGCGTCAGACACTGCTTTCTGATACCACTTTCTCTCTTCTTGTTGCTCACCAGCAACTTTTCCTCCATGATGATCACTGCCATCCAATGATGAAGTCCGTGTCACCGCAATCAGCAGCGCCAACAGAAAAAGTTGTCTCATCAAACATTCGAGTGACACAGAATGCCGATTTACCTTCAACCTCTTCCTGTGTGGCATAGTCTTATGGCCTCGATCTTTATTTAGTACACAATTCAGTATGACTATTCAGAAATGTTTACAGTAAGAAATTGTATTAGAAATTTGTTAGGTTTCTTTCCCCTCTCTCTCTCAACAAACTGTGCATGTACTTTTTCGCAGGTCCTTTATATATGCTCTGGTTGAAGGATAGAATTTTTGTTGGAATACGTCGACTGAACTGGACTGGCCAAAATAGCCTTCGTGGAATATGAGAAAATCCTACAAAATACGTTATTATCTCATTTGTTGTGGACGGTTCATCCAGCTAATTGCCAATTAACCCCTCTTCTTCCTCCGAAGTCACTGATTCAGCAGGTAAATAACTATTAATTATACACTTCTCCAAACTCACTTGGTTGGACAGGTTGCAAAAAGTTGATGTTAAGGGGTTGATTTGATATTATTGAAGATTTTATCAAATCGATTGTATCAAAATAGGACTGCTGAACGATATGTGAGCTGATGACAATAATTTGTGCAACTAATAAAGCACTACCGTGAGCTGTGTTTCTCAAATTGGAGAGAGTGTTAGGTGTTGATAATGATTCTTCCCATTAAGGTGTTTATTTTACGGTGTGTGTAAAACCGAAGCCCTTCCTCTTGCTTTTTTAAGGTTTGCATAGAAAATGTGGTGGGTTGGGTATGACAATGGCCTTTTGAATATTTCTATTAAATATTCTCGTCCTTAGGATTAGTTTCTGTTTCCTCCTGGCTCGATTCCGCACCACAAAAATACAATGTTGGTTAGAGTTTTGTACTTGATGATTCAGAACAAAACTATTGCATATTGTATATTCATATAAATATAGATATTTATGTAAACCCTTTCTGCTTCAAACCTTTGCATACGAGTTACTTATGTATAGACGTACTTAAATACTGTATTTACCATCCAACTTTTTTCTTGCGATCCTGAATTTGGTTCAATTCTAAAATTAGTATTTATCAGACGCCAACTAGTCCTGATTATGCATAATTCGACTACTAATGAGTAGCAGGAAAAATAAGTTATGCAATAAAATAGTCGGCTGTTGTTCAGTCTTGTCAACAATTAAATAGTCACAGATTACGAAACTTTTGCACTGCACTTCTTACTTTGCTACTTCGCAGATCACCCAAAACACTAAAGAAGGGTCCAATAAATTTGTCTGGATTTTATATCGAATATACATGTGCATGAGACTTCATGCTTTTACCCCCGATGGCGAGTTTATGTATAAACAAATGTGAGTTCATGATAAGGTGGGAATAATATCCACGTGTTATTTTTAATGCATCATCGGCTAGATAACCCATTATGACGGCTACACCTTACGTAACGTAAGAACTTCAATATTATCCAGGACGCACGCACTATGATGAGACATCATTTAGTGATTCTCTTTCAATGGGCAAAATTTATGTGCTAACTTACACTCGCATGACAAAGCTTAATATTTATCAGGATGACGTAATTTTGGTTGAAACACGTCACTGTTATCTTTTATTTGTACCCGGATCTAGTGTTTACAATAATCTTTAGCAATAAGCGAGACTACTACCAAAACATGAATGTAAGTGTATGTATGCATTTTCCACTTTGCTTCATTGGTGGTCCTGCTGATTGCGTCAGTGATGTTGTTGTATATTTTGACACTCCATCTCAAGTTTTCGTTCATCAGCTACAAAATCAATTTGTCATTGTTGTTAACCTCACTTGACTTTAGTTGTATATATAAAATTCGCATGATGAGTACTATAAGTGATACTGATTAAGCCATGCCATGCTCACAATGAATCATCGTGTGGCATCTAGTAAGTTATTAACATTGCTTAAGAATGTGCCAAAAACTTGTATTAATCCAAGTCCAGGTTAGCTTTGTATGTAACGAAATTTGTATGAACCCCAGCACAAAATAAGTTCAACTCTTTTACGATAAGGATATATTCCAATTAGTGTACCCTACACTGGTAAAGAAGGTGTGTTTTACAAAACTTACAAAACTTGACACATAAGTTACCGACTTTAAGAATGTGGGTACTCGTACGCGTACTCTCAAATTAAAAACTAGTCTGTCAGTCACTTTGCATAAATTTCACAATGCCCATTTTCGGCTTACTGGTTTTCCATGTTAAGTAAACTCTATCCCTCTCGCGAAAGCGTCAAAATATTCAAATGAACTGACATGCTAGTTTGATTTGAGAGTAGGTGCTTGTTCTAGGAAAATGTGGAGACTATAAATAGTTTTATCAGATACGCATAACGACATTGACCTAGACTTCAAACGTTTAACGTTGATGGTGGCGAGCAAGCTGGAACTTGTAAAACTTGATGAATTTGTGAGTTCACGAGGTCTCCCCTTTCCTTTCTTCTGAGAATTCCATAAAACAACCAGAAGGGTTTCATGAATCTTCTGAAAGTTTCGACCTCAAACCCCTGTTACAGGCATGCATTGCTACAGAAGTAAATACTCACGTGTATCCTGCAACACCATACATATATTCATACCTGTTACTCATAATACAGATATGTATGCATGTACGAGGACATACACATAAATAATAAGTATTCTTTATTGCTGTAAATTATAAAATCGTATTCGCAGAGAAGTACGAGTACGTACACTTACATATGTACTCGTACTGATGTATCTATATACTGTACAATAAAAACTCTACGTCGTAACCACTAAAAGACAATCCTCCATGAAGAGATTAGAAGAAATATCGCATGAAAGTGAGAATACAATGCTCAGAAACTATACCAAATAATGCTCAATTTAATTTCAATAGAATTATACAAACATCAACATGCTTATAGCTGAGGAAACTATCTCTCTTAACACAGTTCCACGAATTTATATTCCACGTGTCTCAATATTCACAAACCATACTGTTGACAATAATAATTATTGCTTTAGGCACAGCTACTACATATGTAACATGAAATTGATCGGCAGAAAAGACCAGTGTTCGTAGTCATATTACTCAGTTATTCATTCTACGATTCTTAGAACTTGAGACAAAACTGCCTGCAGGTTGATGGAATAGGTGAAGGTCTACCTCGTTAGGAAATGGATTATATGTAACCATCATAATTGGTGACAAGGTTATCTTATGCAATTCATGAAAAAATTGCGTGTTTTGAAAATACTTGACAGGAAATTTTATCCAAATGATTTTAAATATTTTATAAATAAAATAAAATTGATTCAGCTCGAATACACAAAGATTTAGTTTTATGCCTACTTTCCTTGATATGATAAATAGAGCTGATGATTAGCTTGATCGACTGCAGGTCTAGCGACTAAATCATGTGTGGAACATTGGTGTCCAAATATCGCCGATTTTCATAGCTTTGTAAATATTATATCGGGGATGTATAACATTCTGTAAACCAGTTTCTCTTGAAAATTATAAGACTGTCCACGAAGTCTTTCATTCATGACGTTATCCACGTAACTCGGTACTCCTCATCGCCCATCCAGACAGGCCAAGAAGGAAATACCCCTCAGACGCTCGTAGCAAAGGAATTTCCCTCCCACGGGAATAATTAGATTGTGTAAAGTAGGTTTTAATCATAAATTTTGCTCGAGATTCTCCTATAAGCGTATACATATACGTGTATGTATATGTAATGTCCTGTTCTGAGGTCGCAAGGTAAACCGAAATATTGAAATTTTAAATAATGCTTTCGTATGGTGATTTCAACATGGGTTGACACCAATTTACTTGTAAATACGTTAAACATTGCATAACAGCCTTACCATATGACATCCTATAGCCATTTATGTACGTCTTCTTGAAGTGCAAATTTGTGGGTAGTTGTTTGATAGTCTCGATTATATATCTTACTTCTTTGATCATGGGCTACTGACAAACTACTTGTGGTCTCAAAAATGTCAAAGTTTCGGCCTCAGTAAGTTCTGTTGGTTTAAGTACGCGAGCTACCAAGACCAGCTACATACATGCACTTACGTATGTATGGGAGAAAGCGATCCTTCGCTTTCGAAGGGCGGAAAGCACTCTTGTTCAACTGCCATAAACTTTGTTTGCGTAACGTACATGTGCTTATACCTGTTTCACTAGACCTGACATGGTCCAATCCTTTTCAGTTTTCATGCATGATGATGATGATATGCTATCGATTGAGCGTTGTTTTTTTGTCACTATCTGTAGGTTCTTATTACACGTTGTTTGGAAAGGAAGGATAATTTGCCAATGAGAAATGAACTGTAAAATGAACCTACTTATTAGAAACCCTAATATCGTTCACCAGAATCCCACAAAATATTACATCCAATTCCTCGTGGCGACATTAATTTTATTGGAATTGTTAAGTTTCTCCGCTCGCTTTCTACCTTTCAAAAAATTAAAATTTTGTTACTGGCTACACTTTATTGGGAATTTATCAAGTTTCATGGATCAGAAAATTAAATTCATTTGTTACAAAATGAAAGTAAAAAATTTGGAGAAAGTTGCAAAATGGTTTTGCCAAACGCACGAAATATCGACAATTTTACTGTTCATAAAAATAAATTTTGCAGATCATTGAAAACTATAACAAGAAATATTTTGTATTCATTTTGGTTTGATATTTTCGAATCAAGGTATTGCTGACAATAAAGGTTTTCAACCTGTAAAATTAAATATGAGGTCAGAGAGTATAGACTCCACATAATTTGTTTCCCGATGTATGTAAGCCTTTCACTCTGTATTAATGAAAGTTTTCCAATAGCGACAATTCTATTATTCTTTGTGGTTGGTTGTGGTTTGGTTCCTTTTATAACTGAGATTATAACATTGTGGTCCTTTTGTGGTTCTCAAAACAAAATGAAAGTATATTCCGCAAATACGGATAAACTCGATTTGTACAAAACAAATTATGTGTTCAAATAAACATTTCCGGTAATTTACAGAATTTTAAGGTCTTCTATTTATGTACATATACAACTCTATTGACATCATCATTTCAAATCCCCATGTGTGAAATTTCTGGAGTCATAATATCTAAAAATTTACCCTTTCGAACGTAATAACGAAAGCAACAAATTATTATTCACTTATGTAACCCTATTACAATGTACACTTATGTAATTGTACACTAGTATACATAAGAAAATTCCCAACCTATCATTCTTTGACAAACTTTATAGGACTTTCTGATTTGGTAACGTCATAAATTTCTAGTAAGTGTTCTTCCTGCTTAATCGAATACATACGGATGTAGTAAAGGTTGATCTAATAAAATGTATGCCTGGTAGATGAGGCATTGAGCTTTTAAATTTATATTTTTATGTAATAATTTATTTACGAGTTTTGCCAGAAATGTCAATGTTACTCTAAATCTGTGGAGCATGCACTGCGTGAAAGTGATAAGCTATCACGTATCATCCAAACTTTCGTGTCCCAGTGAGAGAGTGGACGGACGACGATTAGATTACTTAATCTGTTGAACAACCAAAGTTCATACTTATCAAGGGTTCATATGTGTATGGATATGCAGTAATGCTGCACATTTCCACCCAGCATATATATTTTACAGGAGCGAGTGGTCTTTATCGCTCAGTATATCAACTATGAAATGTCACCTCATTATTTTAATATGCAAAGTTGTACGCTAAATATACATCTCATTTATATACGTATTTGTAATTATGCATGTGTGTATACATCAAATGTAACACTACTGGTCTTATAAATTAATCTGAATGATCCAGTGTCCCCTAATTATTGCTCAATTATAAAATATAATTCACTGATGTCAACTCAATTAGTTAGGAAAAATACGCATACATATATTAAAACCAACAAGTGACAAAGCGTTTACGATTTTTACTTTTATTTTTGTAAAGCTTCTGGAAACACAGCGGAGACTTTACCTCACAAATATTTGTCATTGTGTCGTGATTCAATTTACGGGGCAAGGTTCATCAACATTAACAACGTGTTCTAAACTTGTAGCTTGACCCTGAATAGGATATGGAGAAAAGTGGACTGTTGTTGTTGGACTCTGACATATTGCATGGTCAAAAATAAATATACAAAATTTAATATCGAAATCCAAAGTGCTAAGATAATCTCAAGCGTATTAGTCATTTCTTTAAACGTGTGGTAGGTACTGCAAGCACAGTAAGTGTGATGTGTATAGTTCAACTTAACCACCACGTAGCCACGCCATGATTCATGTTCTAAAGTCAAACATCTGAAATCTTACTGGATCATGTGAATGTGAACTTGATTAATTAATTGTGACTTGGATCAGTAGTCATTAGACCGTGTTCTAAATAACTTTAAAATTAAAGTTCAAATTTCATATAAAGAGAAACCACAATTTTTTTATTTTCAAAAATGACAACATGTCTGGATACTTTGACATTTTACTTTTTATCGGCAATGTACAGTATTCAGTATTTATTTTTACACCTCATAAATCTCATCTTACATCCGGATAGATATCGTTTGAGCAAAACGATAGCAGTTCCCCCAAGGTGCCTTTCCAACGATGATTTCGGAACTCATCAGTACGCAAAATTATCAGTAAGTTGTGAATTGCTAATTTTATCTTCTTTGTATTATTTATCGCATGTGTAATTATAATATCACTTTGCGAATTAATTTGTCATCGTCAAGAAATCTACGTACTTTTAATGTATGAGATTTGCGGAACTAATTCGTCCGCCTAGTACGGATTTCATTGCAGGATTTTATTGTGTGATGCGTGACTAACTCTTTGTATTGTGTTTGATAGCGGTACAAGTTCCACTACGTGGAGAAAGGCGATAGAAACAACAGGCTGCTCTTGCTCATTCATGGATATCCAGGTGATACACCATTTATTCACACATTGTATTTCTATGTACGTTAAATGTAAAGAGCTTCGAATAAAATTCCAGAGTTTTGGTACAGTTGGCGTTTCCAGCTTCGCAATTTGTCCTCCTACTACTGGGTGGTAGCGATCGATATGAAGGGGTTTGGAGACACAGACAAGCCTTCTGCAAGATCAGAATATGACATTCCGCTTCTAGTGACTGAAATGTACGATTTTCTCACTGCAATTGGTATGCATATAAACATTCACACAAAGTTTTCCCCATTTATAAGTATACGTATGCACTTTCTCCTTGTATGCATAACACGGTTCACTTCCAGCCATGATTAAAAACGAATTTATAAATACATGCATACATGTTCATCTTTGACGGCTTTTTAATGGATGTGTTTTTCATTGTCTGGAAAAGGACGAAAGAAATGTTCAATAGTAACTCACGGGATGGGCGGTCTCCTGGGCTGGTTTTTTGTCAATAAATTCCCTGATGTCGTAGAGGTGAGATTTTCATTATATATATTATTTTAATTTCAAATGAAGAATTTAAGACCCTAATTTCAGAATTTCGTCTCAATTGCGAGTGCCCATCCATACTCTTTTCTTCAAGAACTGTCTCTCAAACGGGTCTCCAATGCAAGGTGGGCTTATCATTACGACGCATTTAACAATATCAAATTTTAGTAAAAAGTGGAAGCCACAGTTCACAAAGGTCTCTTGATGATCCTGTTCCGTAATTCTTTGTCATGTTGGAATTGAGTAACATTATTCGGAAGTATCCAATACGATCACATAAGATTTATACGTCTTTCAAAGGGAACAATGCTACAGGATGCGAAGCTTCTTTTCTTATTTACTTGCTAACCGTCTTTCCAAAAATAAGGTTGAGCATGGTCTCTTTGATCCAACTGATTGGATGGATACTATTTACGTGCTTTCCTAGAAAGACAAGATGAGAGCCCGAAGGCTGCAGATTTAATCAAATTTTTCATACACGAGTCATCGTCTATACAGACCGTGCGTACACGTATGCCACGTTTTCTTATTTAGTTCAATCGCACTGTCAACTGTGACATACAAGCTGTAAAGTTGAATATAGAATTTAATTTGAAGCTTGTGTAAAAGCAATAGCATATTTATTAAACTAGGGTAAGCTTAATGTCATCTAATGCGATCTTAGGTTTAAGCGTTTCATTCCAGATACTTAAAACTTGAGTTTGTGATGAATACATAATGATATAAAAATGTATTTGGTCTTGTTTTCTAAAATTTCAGTTGGTACTATTTTTGCCAACTACCATACTTCCCGGAAAGAGAAGAAATGAAGCAGGATTTGGTAATTTTTGACAAAATGTTTACCCGGATGTTAAACAGCAAGAGAGGAAACCTAACTGAACAGGATGTGGAAGCCTTCAAGTACACTTTCTCTCGCATTGGTGAGTTTCCTTCAAATGTTCGAATCTTCCTGTATGATGCGCAATATGCACTGATTACTATTTTTGTATGAGTAATAAATCATCGAACCCACTCATTTCTATATGATTTCAATATATTTACGTACGTACAGAGGACTGGGTCGGCCCAATGAACTACGTTCGGACGCTTCTAAAAAGAAAATTTCTTGGCAAGAATCGGTCTCTAAAGAAAACATCGGTGCCCACATTGTATGGCCATGTTTCATTTCTTCACATCACTCTGATTTTTGATGGAAACGAAACTTTGCAACTACTAACATGCGCATATTTGTTTGTAAATTGTAGGTTCATTGTTGGAAATGCGGACCCTTATTGTAGTCTGGAGATGATTTGCAAGTCTTCCGAATACGTGGAGAATTTTACTCTCAAAATAGTCGAGGGTGGTGGGCACTTTCTTCCTCAAGAAATGCCCAACTACATCAACAGTCTCATCCTGGATTTCATGAAGAGTGAGTGCTTTAATTTTGAGGATCAGTTTATCTCCCACTGAGAATGTGCATCGAGGTTCATCAAATAAACGCCTTGTAGGGAAAGCACATTCCACACATTCTCAAGAGAGATTTAGAGGGATATGGTGCAGAAGGCAAATAAAATTGAAATAATTTTGGAAACTTTAGTGCCTGAACCCTTATTGCTGGGCATGGACCCTGTGCAGGAAAGTGGAATCTTTAAGAAAATGATTGGCGCAGGGAAAACCGTGGTGAACTACGGGAATCAAGTAGGAAACAGAATAATCGGTAGAAATCCTAATTTATATCCCATGTTGTACTTTTAACAATGAGTACCTGTCTATGTGCTAAATTCATTCCTGTCTAATTTATGTTTGTTATGTTTGACGTCAATTTATGAATGTTGCATCACACACTGGGTTGAATGCTTTGGTGTATGCTAAGTAGTCTGCGTAGTCTTTATTGTATTTGTGTATATAGCATCCCACGTATTCAAATAGGTGTAAAATCCATGGTTCATTATTGTTGAGTGTCGACATATATATTTTAAGCTACATATCTATTGAATGAGGTTGCGTAGAATTAGCATATTTGTTAAAGTATGTACAACTTGTGATAAGTATGTATCTGTATGTATGCAGGTTCCTGCATGTGCTTCACCGTGTTTTCGTCCATGTTTCCCTGACATATGTATTCCTGTTCATCCCTTAAAAATTTCTTAAGAATTTATCAATCATGTTAGACAACATTAATGTAACAGGTTTGGACCACTTCGGTTGACACCATTGACTCGGTAAAAAAATATTCAAAGATACCAAAAAGAATTTCCAAGAAGCCATCCTTCCTTGACCGACCAAAATGATATTAAGTAAACTGATATTATGCCAAAATGTGTGTCTATCTGAATCAGCATGAATAAGATGTACCAAAGTTAAGCACCGGCGTGTTGGGTGTGTGTACTGTGTGAAAGCAAATGAATTATGCAGATTGTTCAAATCCATTTTATTTTCAATGTCATTAGACGTAATAAATTTTAAAATATGAACCTCCAAAGTGACTTTATTAGAGTACTGCTTTATTTTAGTAATTCAGTTGCATAAAGGCAGGTTAATATTAAAAAACATGTTCAACTCTATCAAGGAATCAAAAGTTAAGAATGCAATGTAGAGTCCCAATGCAGACGCGGCAATCCTTTTGTTGATGCAAAACCCATTCCACAAAATTATTCCATGCATCAGAGCGATCGATAAGATCAACATCATCGTAGAATACTGCAATGCTCGAGACCCGATCTCTGCGTAGTTGTTTTCAGAGTTGGCGTTAACTATACATCTAATCAGCCACGGAAGTCCCAAACACACGAGTATGTTGAAGGTGTTAGATCCGACCGCATTGCTTACGGCCATCGTCCCAAAACCTTTGCAAATGAAAATGTTTAGCCCCTAACTTCGAGGTCGGGAACCATGTCAGGGCATTCAAAAACAACTAATTATGAAATAGTGCATGACAAGCTCGCCCACCTCTTCTCGCCACAAAAACTGATGACACTGCCTCAGGCACGGAAGTACCCGCAGCAATCACTGGTTTATTAGATTCAATTAGATTCAGATTCAGATAATTCATTAGAGCAGAATAAAAAAACGACCTTCTACCTGAAACTCCGAAAACAGTGTCAGGAATCATGAGCGTATGACCTAGTTGTATTTAGCAAGCTTTGAATTTATCTAAATATCTATTAAGTCATATATATCACGTACATACACATGATTGGTAATTTGCATACCCACAACAGTCATCATCCACGAGGCAACATAAGACAGTGCAGCAATCCACAAAGTCGAAGAAACAAAAGTAACAGGGTACAAATGGCTGAGTTTGGGAGATCTGCAATCTGGAATTGTGAGTGAAAGCAGGAATCGAATGGGCCAACTGAGACCCCACTTGACCATGTTCCAGGACCCACTTTCCCTGCTCGGCATCGGGTTAAATGGAGAATGTAAGTGTCCTTGCTCTCCTACAATGGAGGGCCAAATTCACGTCAAATGTTTCATGCTGTCAACCTCAATTATGTATTGTGTATATAATCTCAATTAAGCCGACTTAAAGGGATGCTTGTGCTTTAAATGCACATGTCAAATTTTAAAAATTATTAAATTACTAAGCAGATTCATTATTCTGTGTTCATATTATTTCCATTTACTTGTTTGCATATGAATGTTAAGCTTTCTTGTAAATAATGCAAGAGAATGTCTAATACATTGTATCAATTCAGTACCTGCTAAATTACCTGATGTACCATTTTCCATGTTTCGGGGTCCTGTCATGCAATGAGGAATCATGAAAATTGCGGTTCGAGATGATGATAAATTGCCGTTGCTTTGTGCGTCTTCTTCTTTAGCAACTTCATTACCACCAACGCTGTATTGTCGATGTCTACGGTTTCTTCTCGAGAAAGCGTGAATCCACGGAATGTTCTCAAGGGATATCTGGAGCTTCTCATCATTTAGCATTCCTGGCGGTAAATAGTTATCACGATTACATATTTACAGAGTAAACACTTCTATTTCTTCTAGCAATGGTCTCACCATAAATGTATACCGCATAAATGAAAAGCAGAGATGTGGCTTCATACCAGTAAATTCGCTCATCCCAAAGAACAAGGAGTAAAGCAAGGACAGAAACCGAATAGAAAATAACGTCTCGTGATATAGGCCACCAATCTAGATTGACCACCTAAACATATAAAAAAACAGCAATCGTTATCCGGTTTTCTTTCACTCGCATGCTGTACAAAAACAGAAATTAATAAATGATGACAATCGTTGAGAATAGTTTTGGTCTTCAAAAAATTGGTTGGCGAAGTGTTGTTCCAACCAGCTTTTGTTATCAGTGTAAATTGCTATGTATTACATGTCTAGTCCCCAATCCAATGCAAGAACAAATTGCCAAATGGTTGAATACGGCACTTCCTACAATTGTTCCAACGCCAATATCACCACGCATTACAAAGACCCCAATGACGTTGGTAAAGAGTTCAGGAGACGACGTTGCAATTCCCATCAACGTTGCTCCAGCAATATCTCTCTCCAAGTGGAGCTCTAAAATACTCCACATAATTAATTAATCCATGTATACATAGTTAATATTTACTAAATAATTAGTTCAGGGTAGAATACTTAAGTATAAAATAAGTATAAAACCTGCACTCATTAGCTCCACAGCCGGGACAAAGTAATCCCCGCAAACAATTGCAAATCCGAGAAATACGTATAGAACCAGAAATATATGAATCATTATCCATCCACTTCTACGCTCATCTTCCGTGAACAAATCCTCCGGAAATGCATTGATGGGCAGCCTGGTGCAATTTTTAACGAATTGTTTGACATCCTCTAACTTAATACGGAAATGGTCGCGGGTTTCCTGAACCCATTCCAAATCAATTTCAATAGGATGCAGATCTAATTCTGCAATATCAACAATTAATTAAAATGGTACATACTTTATGCAGACTTGCACTGTGCAAGTTACACATTTAGCAAAGTATTCAAATTTAATATCTCACCAGCATAGTTTATTTCCCTAATTAATTTGCAATCACTCAAACGGTACCCAAATAGATGAATGAAAATACATACGCAGATCCGCATATTCCTTTGAGTACTTCAAAAATGAAATTTTTCCTTCTTTTAAGAAACTTACCCAAAAAATGAAATCATGGAAGTTGTATATAAACTGGAAGGACAAATGGGTCTTTCGCTGTATATATGCAAATCAAGTAAATGTGCCGTTTAGATTCCATTAATTGCAGTTACATAAAAATCAAGTACAGTAATTTAATTTTGATGGGCCAGGAAATCTTTCTGCAATAAAACTTGTATAGAAATTACTCAGTTTATTTAGCTTCAACTTTCCATTTACCTTACACACACATAACGCTAAATATATACAGCTATACAATTGCCCAGCATAAACAGGCCGACATGAAATTATTGTGCTTTGCAGAGGGAGATTTTTAATTCCAGGGTTGCATGACTCTTGGTAATCGAAATATGTATGGCTTCAGTAGTCCTGTAGTATAGCCGAACGATTTAATTCAAATTTATAATCAAGGATAATTACATGTGTATGCTAATAGCAGGTAAACTTAAGCTGGTTAAAATGTATGTAAAATAGCATTTATTGCATTGATGTCACATTATACAAAATTTAATACAGTTCATTAATTCATATTAGTAAAACACCACATGATTTGCGGAAATGGTTCGCTTTGGGCAGCGTGGAAATCCACTTTCTTGCCGTGATTGTCAGCACTCCCATGAATACGATCAAGGCTCCAACCAAACTGTAATTGATTATTAAATTCAAACGCTTGAATTCCGACAAGATACAATAAACCCCAAAGCCCCAAAGGAATTTACAGAATTCAATTTTACAGAATAATCGCAAATATCCAATAACAATACATATTTGCCCAAACTCCTCGTGCGTTAATACAGTCACGAACGAGGAATATGTACTTAGTTGTTAGTGGTGGGATCTGAGAATGAATCGATTTCAGACAAGAATAAACCAGGTTAGGACTTACCTAGGCCAGTCAGCAATTTTGTTGAGAAAGAGGAATTGCCAAACGAAAATAAATAAAATCTCGGAAGGCCGGATCAAAGAGATTGGACCGGCTTGTTCGTATTGGAGAGCGAGGGTGAGGGCATTTTGCCCGACAAATGTCAAGAACGCTACTCCGACGGCGTAAAACCAATGTTGAATAGTTTCTGGAGCTTTCAGTTCATCTTCCCACACACACAGTCCTAAACTGACCATTGTCCCAATTAATCCATAGAAAAATGCTATAACAGCATAATGAACGTCGCGAATGTATCGTAGAATGACGACGGTAAAAACACTGAGAAGCATACAGCCAGTCGCCAGTGAACAACCGATCTACATATGAATTTATACATAATATTATTGAGGTTGGAGAATTGGGGATTGAACAGAAAAAAAAAATTTATAAATGCAAAATATTTTATTGTACTCGCCAACAGCTTTGTGTCGAATTCCTTTTCTCCGGTAATCCATGGTGGTCTCGTAATAATTCCGACACCGACGAGCACAGCAACAGCAGTAACGATTGGAACGACGCCACATTTTTCATCCAAACACATCCACGCGACGATAACCACAAACACGGGTGAGCTAAAAGCAATCACTGTTGAATCTGCAGCGGTCATATACTGCAAAGAGTATACCTTGAGGACGGTCCCACCAGCTCCGCAAAAAGCTCGAAACTGCAATTTTAAGAATTCGGCCGTGGTTTAACAAATCATTGAACTGAATCATTGGTTCAAAGTCAGTATTATAGTTCTATCACAATCAAAGCAAACGAAAATCAATAATCCTGGTCGCTATTGACCAATGTTTCGATTGACTTTTATGCATTGTTAGTCAATATGAATGTACGTATGTATGTAGATCCATACGTGCAGTATGTGTATATATGTACATTTACATGGTACATAAACTACTTTATTGCATGAAACTACTTATATTATCAGGTAACAAAATGTACGAATGTTTAAAATGAAATGTAGCCAATGAAAGGCGTCACTTAATGTCCAAAATATCCCACTAATGAAACGAAACAACCTTTCGTCCCAGGGGAGGTTTGAAGTTAAAGTAGTCTTACCACAACCAAGGAAAAGTTCAAAAAGTTTCCTTTTGCTCTGAGAGGCAATATCCGGTGGCAGACGGGATTCTTCCCGAAGCCACATTGAAACAAGAGAACAACGAAGGACGGGAGAAATAACCCTTGAAATGTCCAAAGAGAAAGAGTGTAAGGATGGTAGTTCTCAGAAATGGCCTTGACAATAATTGACGACAGGGAGAACACAAGACTGGCAAAAAGTGCCAAAATAATTCCCAAGTATTTCTGACACACGCCACGAACTAAACTTCCACCACCACTTTGTTGACTTTTCTGTAACTCAAACTCTTCCTGGAACCGTCTGCCTGAATCTTCAACACGAATGTTGACACAAGACGCAGGCCTAATTAAACCCAAACGAGGCGCAATGTCAAGATTTTGTAAACTCTTAACTAATTTAGGATTTGAAATTATTTGAGAGGCACTGCGTGGTCGTGGTAAGCGTCCACCAGGTTTCGTTGGCCGGCGAATAAATTTAGTGTCCTCCGAACAATGGTCTTCGCCGTCAGACACCATGTTTAAGTAGAATACTCCGATATTATTTATTCAACACTTTGAAATGATGTGTTTATAATGTATTGTTTGAATTACAATGTAGACATTAAAGTGAAAGGAGCGGTATGAAAAGGGAGGTGTGCATTCCCTTCTGTTTATATGAAACATCAAAATAAGTGATGTTGCTGGTGATGTAATAAAATGATCAGGAAGTGTGTGTGAATAACCTGGAGTAAAACTTTGATCGTATTCTGTATGTCTGTTCTCACTGCGACCAAACTCATTGTTTTAGTCATTCAATAAAATCCCTCTTATCTTACATATGATAGCTCTCTGGGAGTTTGAGACTCAAATGACTCGGTTATCAGCAATTGATAAGGATAAGGTCCATCCGCAACATTAAATTAACCTTCGGTTTTGTCATTGATGTACAGATTTCCTGAATACCACATCGAATTCAAACGGTTTAAGGAAGCAATTAATCTGTGATGCTACCAGTAACTGGAAAATCTGCATCATTTCGCTATATCAAAACTATGACATATTAATAATGATCCTGTCTCAATGCAAAAATTGCATGCAACCCTCCTGCTTAAATTGAGACAAGCAAGTGAATTTCATGAGGATTGGTGGCAACATCTGTGCTACGTTTGACATACGAAGGCGAAGTCTGAAAGCTCAAAACGGAGATGGTGCTCAGTACTCCTCAGTAATAAAAGCGTGCTTTGTTCGTCTCAAACTTTCTTCAATGTGGACTTCATGGTCGAAATCTCATTCAATAATTGTTTATTTCTGGTGCCACTAACTTATTTGTAGATTGTTCAACAAAATTTCTCGATTTTATGACTTTTGACATTGTTATGTTTGTAAATATTTAAGTTTATATTAGCATAACTAGGTACACATATGTATATAACACACTAGAGGTTAAGATCGGTATAATGAGTAGCCTTAAGGGATGTCCTATTGGTGTGAAGACCTGAACACGAGTCCCTCCGTAGCAATATTGCATAGCTTCATTATTAGGCATACTCAAGTAAAATGAGGCATGTAAGTACATGCAAATTAAGCATGAAAAAATATTCGTTGTTAAATATTTAAAATGATTTGTGAAGCACTTCAGGGGTCGATTGTTAGATTTTTAAGTAATGATAGTATTAAAAATTTGAAGCGTGACTCCATAACCATTCAGTTCTGGAGTATTATGTTAGGTTTCATCCCTGAGCTAGCTTGTACTCCAGCGCAGTACAAAAAATAAATGTTGCAGAGACTTTCTTCACTTTTCGGCACTATTCGACATTCATTTTTTGCTGATTAAGCATTTTTGAAAAGAAAATGGTTTATCCAGTCCCGTGAACAACATTTGGATTGAAATGAAGTAAATAATGGCGATCCGGGTCTTTTCTCACATAACGAGCAGCATTATTACAGAGTGTCAACTTTCCTGACTTTCCCCAGCTTCCCAAATCTTTCATCACTCTGCCGGAAATTATAGGTTGTGATGAAAAGGAGTAGAACTCTACCAGCTAACTACACAAACCTTCAGCTACATAAGAATAACCATCAGCCAGAAGGATTGTGTGACAACTTTTTGTGAATTGGGATAGCTTATTCGCTCTGATACGTAATACAATTTTTGTCCGTGCTGGGAAGACTGACAAGATTTCTTGGTAAAAGTAAAGCAAATTCGTATGTATTTTGGTATATACTAACTAATATACCAAATATACGGACTCAGTACTTGAGAATTGAGACATCCAGGCGAAAGGAGTATTGGAGAGAGGAACTTAATTTCCATTCCAGGCATGACTCTCATGGAATATATCAAATGGCTTGACATTACCAAGAAGTGTGGGTCTTATTCTTCCACACGCTTATGCATGTACACCACCACCAGGATAATGGGGAATTTGTTAATTGGATAACTTATCGCATAGTGAATCCTTTTGTCAGCCCTGCTTATGCATTTGTCTAATGTCTCAAGTAAAACGCACCTTTCTTAAGAAATATTTACGTGGTCTACTGTCTCGTGTAGACGTAAATAGCAAAAGTTGGCCCTTGGGTAGCGGCGATACACCAAACTGGACTCAGGATTTTCGATTTGTTGGCAAATTAGCAAATGCATACACATGATGGATTGATGGACTAGTAAGTTTTGTCACATGAATGTATTACGTGGTTCAATGGGATATCAAAATGTTTGCTACATAAGTCTGCATTATTCAAATTTTGAGAGTTATCTAAAATTGAAGCGCAGCTACTCAAATTGTTTATTTTTTTCTTCTTCAAGTCTCCGTCGTTTGCGAATAAGATCCCAAGTCTGCTGATTTTACCTTATGTGCTGTAAATTCAAAATCATATCTTTCTGACTACACATGGACTTCTTCCCGTGTTGTTGTAAACAATTGGAGGATTTCTGAATATTTTCCGAGGAGTGACTGACTAGATGTGAATGTGAATATGTGTTGAATAGAGTTGTAGTGCTGGAATAATATTAATGTGTCTTTATCTCTCTCTCGTCGCAATGTAAGGTTCTGTGCTGGCTGGAGTACAGCCTGAAGAAAGGCTGGAGATGGAGCCCCCATGGCCCGACGCTTTTGCACCCTATGGACACGAGCGATTCAAGATTCCAATAATTCAGAATTGAAAGGGTGAAGTTAACAGCTCATTCCAAATTCTATTCTCAGATCTCATCCAATTCAAATTCTGCATCTCATCCCGATCCAGGATTCAACAACTCGTAACCAACTTCCTTCTGACTGACTTATTTATTTAAATACTCTGCATAGAGAAATGATGCACGTATGGAAATGGTGTTTGCTTTGCTTTGCTAGCAATAAATATTAAATCAAACCCTTGGATGTTTGTTGGCATTATATTTTATTTCTCATACTTAAAATGACAACTTTGTGACGGCATTTACAAATAGATATTTTAGCGAATAAAATTTCTATACGTACCGTCTAAAGGAAGCTTGGAAATAAATTAGTTGCTCAAGCATAGCCAGCAGTCATGGCTTCAGATGATGATAGCGTCCTACCGAAAAATGAGGCAAGCATAATGCAAACTTTACAAATATTGATTTTCATTTGCCAATACAATTACAATACGAATGCCATTTGACACTACGACGTTCAAGTTAATGTCATGTTGATACTGAATATTAGAACATGGCACCAAGTAGCAAACGGAGCGTATTCCATCACAAGGTACACAATATTGTCTCCTTGCTTCAATCGTTATCCTCACACACACACAAAAGAATATGACGAGTGTGTCAAGTTGCTAATTAGGAAGGAGGTGAGGCAGAGAGCACAGGTGTCAAATGGACGTAATAATGAGTGACATGTAGGCAAATAACAAATTGAGCTGCAAGTAGTTTAGTGTAACAAGAAGTTATCCCTCCTTGCATCAACAATGCCCATTATATTCCCTTCCTCAGGTCCTCGTTATGTACATACCGTCTGCGTTTGTGAGGCAAAGTGACACTACCACGTTTGATAACTAGGCAGCAGGCTTACCTTGGGTAAGTGAAATCCAACGCCTTATTTAATTTAATTCATTTATTCTTTTCTAATGACCAGGTAGGCTCTGCATAATGGTGAGCTGGATACAGAACTGTGTACATGGGGAAAAATATTTGTCACTCTGAATTATACTCGTATTCATTCCAGGTTATACCTGAAAATGAAAGGTTAGGTAAAATAAATGTTTGTGGTTGCACACACATATATTCGTTCGTGTGTATCTGTGTATTGACAAGCTGTGTGCATTAGGGTGTAAATTTCGATATAAATAGGACGCATATCATATTTTCTATTAAGCATTTCCAGTGCAAATAAAATTCATTACTTGAGTGGAATTTTACCAAAAGGAAATAATTAATAGATTGCATGCAATAAAGTTGTCTTTTATACATTTTATGAAAGATTTTTATTTTATTTTTATTCAGCAATACAAACACATTTTTTTCAACTGGTGAATGCATTTGATAATAAAAATATAAAACAATTACATTTGGAGAAAGCAGAGGGAAATCGCGATGTTGCTGACTTGGGACAATTTACAATTCAGATTCATCCCAATACAAATAATTTGATATTTCATTTCAAACAAACAAAGTAATTCTTTCAATCCTCATGAATCTACAGTACCTCCCACAATTGATGATTCCTACGCGGCTGTCTTTAAGAAATTGAAATTGGATGATAATCTCAGGAGGAGAGGTTGCGTACTATCAACTCACGGATCTCGATGCCCTTTGAATATGTTGTAGTCTCCCATGAATTAGCAAGAACCCCCAAGTGGTTTAATGCCATGGCCACATTTGCGCCCGCCACACCCACTCAAAGGTGCCCAAAAAACGGAGAAAGCAGCGCTTTCACTCATTCAAATCCACGCCAAAAATTCCGTTTTACTCGGATTTTGGAAATTCCGGGTACAATTATACTCCCAGATAGTTTTTTTCTTATATTCAACATCGAACTAAAGTTTTTGAAATTGTTAGCATTTAAAAAATTTAAAATTCTGAATGAGCATTGTTGTAGTAATAAACTGCGCAAATTATGCCTGCGAAATAATCATCAGAAAAGTTCAGTTTGATGTTGGATATAAGAAAACAACTATCTGGGAGTATAAAGGTACCCGGAAATACTCAAAATCCGAGTAAAATTGAATTTTTGGCGTGGATTTGAATGAGTGAAAGCAGTACTTTCTCCGTCTTTTGGGCACCTTTGAGTGGGTGTGGCGGGTGCAAATGTGGCCATGGCATTAAACCACTTGGGGGTTCTTGCTGATTCATGGGAGACTACAACATATTCAAAGGGCATCGAGACCCGTGAGTTGATAGTACACAACCTCTCCTCCTCAGAAGAATTAAAAGTCTAAGGTACTATCCTTTTTTTTCCAAGTTTCGTTTTTCTGTTTTGGATCTACATATTGATTTCCATCTTAGGAAAAAAGTGGACTAATGGTATAAATTGATGGAACAATGGGTCAACGATAAAGGGACCCGGACTGCCGTTGTGTGTATTATATAACTTGGGATTAAAGTCCCGAAATATGTGTAAGTCGACAGCTTTCTGAATCTTTGCATAATGAAGATAAAAGGAAACAGTGATATCGTCCCTAGCAGTTGCGCTGCTCATTTTTTGGCATCCGTCTTCTTATCCATTAGAGATATTCCTCCTCCCCAGAAGCAGCAGCAGCGAGCGCCTGTCGGCTTGCGGTTCTGGTTTTATTACTCGCCACAGAAAAGTGGATAAGATACCTTTGCTTTGGGTGTTACGGAAGAAAGGCGCAGCCTGTATTTGTGGAAATGCGATAGGCGGTTTGAATACGCAGTGTGGCTAATTAGAGGAAAGATAGTGGGTTGGAGTTACCATGGCGACAGGGCAGGGGCGGAGGGGCTGACTCCACCTCCTCAATATCTGGCTGCTGCTGGGAGCGAGTGAGACTTCTCATGGCCTATCACTAGCATGATCATAGCATGAGAAGCGATGACACCGTATTGCATCGCTCACTCCAACGCCAACCTCAGACCTCGTGTTCCTCTCTGCACCACTCTGGTCACCAGCAGTCGTCTCAGCTCCCTTACCACTCTGGCGACAAGAAGTGTCATGTCGCAGCGAAATCGATCCTCGGGGTCAGCTGAGAAATTTCTACGAGACAAGTCTCAAAGTGAAAAAGTCTCAAAATGAAAAAGTCTCAAAGTGAAAGTTTGCATTGCATTCGCAAGTTATCGACAAAAAATTTCTCCAATTGAACTAAACTAAAAGTAAAAGCAAAAAATTATGGAGCAGTTGGACAAGTTTGAGCAAAGTCAAGTGGTGCGATAAAGTTAAAAATAACTTTGTATTTGGTTTTACATGGAACCTGAACCGAAGTTGTATTTATACATTTGTGTGCATATTAGTCTATCCTACAGACTCATTACTCAGAACCACAAGTACAAGCCAGAGAAAGTGCATTTAACATATTCACACAAAATAAGCAAGCGAGACTCAAGTTGAACATGGTGACAATATTTTTAGTGTTTAAAACAGTCTGACTTTGGGACATTTTGAGAGTTTCTATTTGGTCAAACTGGCATGAAATTGACCCAATTTTGGTGAAGTGGTTAAAAAATTATAATCATGGCACCTGAACCGGAAAGGAGCGACTCGACGACGGCCAAAAGTTGTGGCGTCGATTCGCTCAAAAATAATTCGTCTCGTTCCAACTCTAATGCTGGAGACTCGGATCGAGATAATCCTCCACAGAATAACTCGACTAATTCCAATTCATCCATCAAGTCCTCACAACACTCACCTCAATCTAATTGCCATTCCATCAGCCCTTGCCAGTCACCAAAAAGTGGTAAGTATCGGGTCAGTCTGCTTTCATCGATTGAGTATTGATTTGAGATTATCGTGGTTCGCTTTGTGTATCAGTGGCATATCAGAAGTGGTGTTAATGCATTATTGAATAATGTTTACTCTGAATTGACCATTTATAAGGAAGGGAAATACATATTATTTTAAATTAGTAAAGTCTCAGCCCATTAAATTATCGCCCCTTGTAGCAAATAGTCCTTCAATTATGTATCCCATTTCAATCAAGAATTTTGCAATGACAGGAACTCAATCTCCACCAATTTCCTCGCATCACAATTCCTCCACCGATTTACAGTCAACCCCAGTGGGGTCCATCCAACGTGGATTTTTCCACCCCTTCTTTTTCCATGATCTCGAAGCTCAGCACCAAAAATTAGAAAACCATTTGAACCACCTAAACGCTCTCCACCATCAACAAAATCTCAGCCACACCTCACCTGACCATCATCATTCGTCTCAAAGTAATTCCTCGCCCACAAATAATAATAATAATAACAATAACAACAACCATGGGGGCAAACAACCCATCGTGATTCCTCAAGGTGAGATTTGAAGAGATTCACAGCGTTATTAGTAAAATTGGTTTCACAACCGATTTTATCATCCATTTCTTTGTTCATCATAGCTTTAAGAATGGCTCTCGGACTTGGGCCAGGAAACCCGTTCCTGAATCACCCAGGGGCCGCGATTCCTTCAAGTCCGGGTCAGCAAGGTCATCCTGCCCCCACGACTGCCACAAATGGTGGTCCAGCCACGAACGCCCTCTTGCCAAACCATCCCATGCTCGCTGCAGCCACTTCCCTTCCGTTCACCGTGTCTCAAGTCGCAGCCGTCTGCGAGAGTTTGGAGGAGTCAGGTGACATTGAGCGTCTGGCCAGATTCCTCTGGTCACTCCCCGTCGCGCACCCCAACGTGAGAAATTAAGAAATCATTAAGTTTTTCAGTCAATTTCATTCTCAGGAAATCATATTTTTTTTTTTTGACCAGATTGCTGAGCTGGGGAAATGTGAGTCCGTTCTGAGTAAGTTGTCAGCAATCGAAACAAACAAGTTGACGAACTGTGAATGTAATTATTTCATGTATTTTATAGGAGCTCGTGCAATTGTTTCCTTCCATTCTGGAAACTTTCGAGATTTATACCACATTCTCGAAATGCACAAGTTTGGAAAGAATTCCCACGCTAAGTTGCAGGCAATGGTAAAATTTAATTTTACTAAATATATGTAGTAATACAGATATAGTAGCAATAGTAATCAAGTGACATTGTTATAATGCAAATTTCGCATGTTAATATAAGTATAAATTTTTCACTAAAGTGGCTGGAAGCACATTACCAAGAAGCGGAGAAGTTGAGGGGGAGGCCGCTGGGGCCGGTGGATAAATACAGGGTTCGGAAGAAGTTTCCACTCCCCAGAACTATCTGGGACGGAGAGCAGAAGACCCACTGCTTTAAAGGTACTTATGGTAATTATTTAATATTATCTAAATTCATCCATAAATCATTGGCATCATGAGAATTGGCGATTATCGCAATTTGTCCTCAAAAACTCGTATATCCTTATTTGTCCTCAAAATCTCAATCTCCAACGTTTTCATTTCAAACATACCGTTGGCATCTTCTTCATATTGTTGGTTTTAATCAATTAATGTGAGTAGTAAATTAATGATCTTCTTAACATTTTAACTCACAGAGAGGACGAGATCACTTCTCAGAGAGTGGTATTTACAGGATTGTAAGTAACGGAACTTTATTTTTATTAAATTTTTTCGTACACTGCAAAACCGTTTTCAAATTTTTCCAGTCATTTTACATAAGAAAAAATTGGCGTGGAGCTTCATAAAAAAGATAAAATTCCTTCATAATAAAATTACCATAACTAAATTAACTAATATTAGGTTACCCAAATCCTACCAAGAAAAGAGAACTAGCGCAGGCTACTGGCCTCACACCCACTCAAGTCGGAAACTGGTTCAAAAATAGAAGGCAACGGTAAGTTGTTAAATTTTCCAGTGGAGTATCGTAGATTATGTAACATTTACAATGCTGAGAGAATTTCCATTTCAAGCTAATAGCAAGAATAAAATGCATAAAAACATTAATTTGCTATCTGGTCAAAACTAAATGTTTTTATGATCTCCATACAGGGATAGGGCAGCCGCTGCTAAAAATCGGTAAGTGAAATTTTTGATAAATCTCAACTTTGGGTATTTTTCATCCAGCCATTTGCATCCATTTTGAATTCAATATACATAAATCCGTAAAAGCAATAATATTTCCGTTCAGAATCATGAGTTATTATTATGGGTAACAAAATAGTGGGCACGATAGGAGTATGCGGTACGCACAGTGTCGTGTTATCCTTTCCCTTTGTCTTATTATGGAGACGAGTGCAATTGTAGCGTGATTGAGAATGAGATTGAAAATAGATTCTTCTGCTTGATAAACTGAATCAAAAAGAGCCCCAAGCCCCATAAACAACAAACCAGATGGGACAAAAGCTCAGTGAGGCTCAAATCAAAAATGGAACTCTGGTTATTCGGAACAAGAGCGAAAAACTTGTATTTTGAATCAAACAACACCGAAACTTTTGTTGGGCTGTAGTATGTATATTAAACCCGTCAATCCCAATCCTCTCCAGTTTCCGAGACCAATACAAACTTAACCCGTTGGGATTACACACGGAACCTTGTTCCGTTGAGCGAGATCAGTTAACATCATCATCGTCCCCATTATCCTGCCATTTCTCGGATCGAGGTTTCTCTAGCAAGTGGCAAACGCAAATATACACACAATCAGTAGAACAGCATTTTACAAACTGAATGAGTTGGGAATATTGCATTCATGTCATTCTTTTGGTCGGGTTTCTAAATTGATCAAATATTTTGCGATATTTTTTTTGTGAAAAATTTGCAACGAGATCTAGCTTTCACTAACAAGTTGAAAATGGTTTATCATGAAATGTGATAAGTTGTGTGCTAATGCAACTGTTGCCCTATAATTTAGGATCAAGGAAGAATTCTTGATTCCCTTTGTGCTAATATATGTATACGCAACAAAAAACTATATAAGCATCCTATTTTTCCGTCTCGATTGTTCAAAGGATTTTACTAATCAGCAAGAATACCCACTCTGCTTACTGGTCTCCAAAATAGTTTACAGAAACAAAGTAGGCTTAAGAAGAATTGTCCTTGTTTGCTTCAAGCAGAGGATAAAATTGGTCCACCTACGCGCTGAATGCGTTTCGCCTTCGTTGATCATGTCTCTGAACTGCACAAGCAGGAATGAATTTTAGTTTTTGCACTTCTTGCATAATATTAATGTGTCACAACGCGGAAAATACTCGTTTGGGCAGCATTAAAAACTGTGAACATGGTTTATGGACGCTACATTTGAGAGTGAGAGAGTGTCATGTCAGATGAGACGAGAGTGATACGGCTAAGCCATGAGCCAACTAATAAGGCACCTTCTTCCCTCCTCTCTTTTATCATTATTCTTTGAAACGAAGGCTGTTCTTGGGTTAGTCATGAGACCGTGAGTGTTAAGAAGCTTTATAAAAATTGAGTATCAAAGTCTCTCAAATCCTTCGCTCCTCAACGACTGCAACAATACCCTGTAAAACAAAACCTACGTATCTGATGTATTACTGGACTAAATCACTTTGAAGTTGAATCTAGATCAAGATCAAAGAATACACAGCTTTTTTATACCAAAAGCGCAATATACTCGTAAAATAATTCCATTTTACTCTGCCCCCATCTTTGAGTTATTAAGAAGGGAGATTTTAAACAAGTATCGTCACTGCGTATAATGCTTTCTTTGCATATAAATATGAACCTAAAAGTAGTTTAATAATCCACAACAACCAATAGTTAATTCGGAGCTACATAAGCGCCACGTTATTTATTACCTCAACAATTCCGTACGAGTAATTTGAGCCTTTCAGTAAAGTCATGCCATTCTTAGATCCATCCATCCCACATTTTGTATAGATATTTTATATATGCATGCATATGTACACATGTACGAGCAGCAGACCCCCATCTCATTCATCCGCGCCATATCCACACATTCATCACTACAAAAGAGAGAAACGGACTTCCGGCCAAAATTCATAAATTCATGACACGGACACGTTATGACGATGATCACTCTCCCTCCGCGTATTATTATTACTTCGACTCGTGAGTGATAAGTGGAGGTAACTAATAAAGCCCAAAATGTAAATTACACGGTTGCATCTCCATCAATTTGTCCCCTATCATTTCATTGCACGAGAAGAATTTTACGAAATGTAAATCACCATTCCAAAATGCTCCCACGAAGTCAGTTGAAAAATTTCATCCTACGTGAACGACATTTGATGTGAGTGGTTGGTGCAAGGAAGACGACCAACAGCGCTATTGTTCCGATGTATTTACACGAGGACTGATATTCTGCTTTTGGATCCTTATTATACATGCACATAAATACGATCTTACGACGCGAAGATGTTAAAAATATTTTGAAATAATAGGGAAAGTATGCATACTCTTAACTCAAATTCAAATACGTACAACATTTGTATAATTACGGTTTTGCAACTCCGGCTTAAAAAGAGTATTTATTTTCGAAAGAAAAACTGAATGTAATGCATCCTGTAATTATGGAATTCAATTGATGGATATGTTGAATTCATGCTTTTAAGAGTGTTCAATTCACCATCGTGATCCCTCCCAGCTCTCAATATGTGCACGTATGGAATGTAATATTTAAGAGAGAGAGGCAGTTCATTTTATACTTGAATTTCATACTTACAAACTTATAAACCTAGCTCCGAGTAAAAAAAAACAGAGTATTAAGTGGCTCTTATTTGTTGGAGTGGGGATTAAAACCAATGTCCGTGGTATGTGACATGGATATGAGTGATGTGATAAAAAACCTCGTGTGTTTATGTATGGTTGGTACTCACTCATTATTATATTTTACTATTCCCATGTTGATTGATTTCACAGTTCCACACTGCGCATTAGCCAAGTGTTCAACTAAACTAATAATTTTAAGGTTCCAAGTGCATCAAAGTTGACCCGATGATGAGATGGGGGCGGAAACGAGTCTCTTGTTGTCCTCGTGAAATGTACACCAACACAGTCTTTTGTCGGGAGATCCGTTTTCACCATTATTTAACTGAATTGGGGGAATATCTAATGTGTAGGGAGGACGATTACGTCGAAGTAAGTAGCATCACGTAGTAATAGTGGGGGTTGTTGAATTTGAGTCTTCTGATAGAAATCATTAGTCAGATACAGATTGGATGGCATTATAAATATGAACTCATGCAGCTATTTGAAATTGGAAACTACTCTTCGTCTACAAACGGGTCAAAAGCAGCTCTCCTATGGGTATTGTTTTCTCCTCGTCTCCATTACATGGTCATCCCGGTAGTTGTATCATCCTCAGTTTCGAAGAGATGTCAGATAAGAATTCGAGGACTGAATAATGAAGCTTCTTTAAATTATCGAGGTCAAAATTTTTGGCAATGAGTATGAAAAAAATAATTCTGGGGGAAATAATAAAATCCCACTTTCCCACGGGCAGCAGTAGACAATGAAAAATTTTGCAATCATATAATTATTTCCTCCAATATGATTAATCTTTTTGGCAAAGTTCATCCCGTATTAATTGGTTTGAAAAATCTGTGTAGCTTGGTTTGTTCTTTACACTTTGGTAAAATTGTTTTTTGTAAATATTTCTTCCACCACGAGTCTTGATTTGACCACAGCAGTACACACGTTAGTGTATGGTGGATAAAAGTCTCTCTGTAATTCTGAGGAGCATGCATGATAAAGTGTTAGGTTGTGGATTTGTGGTGTTCATATTAGTGAAGTGTGTGTGTGTGTGAGCAAGTGAGTGAGACTGAATTTAGTTTTGGATTGCGTGACTTGTGGGAATTGAAGATGAAATGAATTTATTTCTTCATTATTATTCGGTGGCAGTTATGCCAGCCTTTGTTTGTGGTGCACCATTGTTACTCCACAAATGAATGTGCATTAATAACAACACCACCGCACCGAACCACGGCAGCAGCAGCTTCAACTACTTACTCACTGGAAATGAGGAACTTATTGTTGTTGTCGCTCAATAATCGCCACTTCAGGTCATTAATATCCTCTCCATCTCATAATGTTCTCTTGCGCCGATGTGTGATACGAGCATATAATGCTCTTGAATGCAACCAAAAGATAAATGTGTAATAGCCAACGACTAATCTAATGTCAGGCGTGGGGATGATTCATATAGAATCTGGTGCTTTATGAATTAAATGTTTCCTTTTCTTTGGATCAGATATAGCAGCTCGGGTTTATAAAAAATAGCTTAAAATGAGCCTGTTAAATTGGCTCAGATTGGAATTTTGAAAATTTTGGTCGGAATGAAGTCATCACGTGATGACAATTATTGTCACTATCACCTCAAAAGTACCTGTAAATGTTCCACGGTCTGTGTGGATCTCCTTTACCGCCTGGAGGGAATTGTTGTGTAAAGTGCCAGGAAGATTATCCATCAAAATCATTCACCCTCGTCACCTTCAATTTCCTCCGAAAACTTTTCAGTTTTTTGCCATCATTTTTTATCTAAAGGTTATTAAAGTCTGTGCCGCTTGGAAATCCAACTGTGCTCATGGTTGATGTCGATGCTCCTAATAAATACATCCTTCCCATCCATCCATCAGTGGCTCACGTGCATCCTCATAATTATGAGACCCATCGTGATCAAATAGAAATAAACTGGTAACTGTGAATGTTAATGAGAGAGCATCCCGTATCAAAGGTAGCCACGTATAATGCGACCTTTTAATTCTGACCTCACGAGATATCAATGAAGTGTGCAATGCTGTCTTATTCATGTTTTTGAAATCCTCGCTACAGAGGAGATGTCGGTACGATCAAATTTCACAATCACATCACATTGGAGGACATTGTTCGCTACCAATCATAAACAGAAATGGAAGGGCCGAGCAAGAAATATATGAATTCGATCTGCAAAGCATCAAGTTACATATGTATACTTTTCTCATTTTAATGTCAAACTAACGACCAGTCTTATATACATACGTGGTTAAGTATGTAGTTACAATTTCAACAGAGTAGCCGACTGCATAATTTCTACAAAATTGTACAAGTTGAAACCCTAATTATGAAACAATTTCGAGAGACAGAGAGAGAGACGCTGGGGGCATTTTGATGAAAGTTATCAAGCATGGAAACAGAGAAATCTTGTGACTGACTGGAACTAGAGAAAGAAAATTATTCAAATCGAATAAAATGTTTAGCTCATCGAGGAGAAGACTTCTCCATTTTCCGTTCATCATCATCGTCGTCAAATGCATTCTTATATTAAGTTGCTTTGTTGGTTGGTTGCCTGGTCTGGTTCCTCTGTGGATTGTTCAGAGGGATATATTTACTACCCGATTTTGATATCCATCTCGCTCCTCTCCTAGCGCGTCTCCCTTCCATGTACACGTCGATCCAGATCTGGATTGCATATTGCATACGTAATCAAGTTGATCTCATCAAACGAGGCAATTGACCAAACCGAGGCTCATTCTTCATTCACTTCTTTCTTTCTTTCCTTCTTTGTAAACTGGGGTTCAAAATTCAATAAGCGAAACAGAGAATGAATCCATTCCATTGTACTGCATGAGCTGCTGCGTCAAGGGGGAGCCTCGTAATTTCCAATGTTTTTGAAACAGAAAAGTCGGATTTATACGCTAGTTTTGTCTTTCAATTTGCCAATGAGATCAGTCTACAAAATTTTGTTCAATTCCGTAATGAATGAAATCATGTAATCGGCAAATTTTATCAGTCAACTCTTTTCACTCTAATGCAATGAAAAAATGAAAGCACAAGTTCAAATATGTATGTATTATTGTAAGTATTACGTAAATAGTTGGCTGACAGGCGAATAAACACCAGTCCATCGAGCTTATATACGTATGTGCATACATAGGAGAGCACGTCGCTCCATATTTGGGTTCGGGTGACAAAATCATTGAACTGAATACAAATTTTGTACAAGGATACATGTTCTCTTAGGCCATCATAGTAAATTTTCTGCTCAAACTAAGAGAACAGACGACTCGGTGCTTGCTTTAAATGCAAACATAATGAATCGTTCATGTCAGAATTATCAAGCTGTGATTACCCTGAGTTGTTGTAATGGAATCATTCAAAACAAGTATTAATTTGCTAGATTATGCAAGGGTAAAAAATTGCGTAGTTTATATCAGTCCGAGAAATACAATACAATTCGTGAGGATATAACTCTTCTGAGCGGACTATCCATTGTGCATACTTGTGTTGAATATGAATACAATTTATGACAAACGAACCCAGCAAACTAAAAAAGCAAGTAAGTGAGACGACGACGAGTTAATCGGATTGGTTGGTAGAATAAAATCCAGCCACAACCAAACCGACCAGTCTGCACTCTTTTTTATGGGCTGTTGCAACAACGAGGTAATAAATATTCGGCTAGAAGACCGGCACGACCAACCAACTATGAAGAAGATTACTAATTCACAATGGTGGTGGAAAAGCAGATACAATGGATAACCCTTCGTCCATTCCACTTTTTATCATCACCTATGCGTTCTCTGCTCATCTCTTGACGTACATATCTACACACACATTTTGTATGCAGCTAAAAAAGACTAAACGAAAATTACCTGCAAAACAAAAGAGAAATTACATGCACGGTAGGCACGAAACATTCTGTCTAAATAAAATATTAAGGCTGCAACACATATCTCTTGTTGCGTACAATTATTTCTATCCTTATTTTCAGATATTGAAATGCTTATGTATTTTTCTAGAGTGAGTACATACTTATATATGTAAATAGGCATAAATGAAGTAAATTGGATGGGTATATTAATGGATATATTAGGTTGCATACAAAACGAAATCATAAAACTGCTTCTCCAGGAATTTGTTTTTAACTCTAATCTTGTAAAGGATTGTATATATTTGTATTCCTTAATACGTCATGGGATAATTATTAATTTAATTGCAAAATATTTGGCTAGCTTGATCATTTTTAGTTGAGAATTTTTAGTGGACAATTTCACACTAGTGTGTTATTTTACTTATTTTCCTTGCTGAATGTTCATTGCCTTGTATAATTTGATGAACAAGCGATTTTGGTCTTTTGTGGCAAATGACACTGACACTTAATTTAAGTAGATACGTGCTAGTAGAATACAGGAACAACTTCCGTCCGCTACTTATATTGTTAATAAATATACTATGTATTTATACGTGGAATGGCCAGCTTTTCAGGGTCCCTATATCGTACATTGTTACCTCTCGGTCATATATTTTAAGTTGTAGTAGGTGTGTGTGTAAGCGAACATTTATTGAATGTCTTAAATCTCGTCACTTAAGTATGCTGTGCACATGTGCATACTTACTAACAATACGCTCATGCACAAGTATGTATGCAAATCTTGAGCAAATGACAGCCATAATAAAAGCGAATACCCAGATTCCTCTTGGATATCGCTGTATCGTGGAGTACATAAATCCTAATCTGCAACAAGCTTTCAGTTTGCTTAATTGATGAAAAAACTAGAATTTGTCCAAGTTGGTTGAAAGAGTTGAATTTACAAAATATTTGATTCAACATGTTGATAAATTGTCAAAACGTTAACTGGCCATATCCACACGTTGATGGAGTGTGGTTGAGTTTTTGCATGACAATTGAAACGCAACAGATAGACAGGGGTAAAGTGCAGCAACGCTAATTAGTGTGACTAAGCAGTTTCACTTTTTCCCCAAATTCTTCAAGTCACGCTTCCCTCTTTAAATGCAATTTAGTGTATCTTCCCACTGGATCTCCAAATTTGAAATTTGAAGAGTGCAATATAGAGTAACATTTCACTATGATGGAGAAAATGACTGACGTAAGGAGTTGCTGCTTATGTACGTACTTTGAAACATAAGTTCGCCTTCTTAATACTTGCTCAGTAAATATATATTACTTCTTATCCGGATACATTGATCGAAGATCAAATCAAACTTTTTTGGTCGTACATATACCGGCCAAAAGGCTAAGCTTATTTTTTAAATAACAATTACTATTTTTTCAAGACGAGTGTTATTACAACTGTAGCATTTTAATTATTTATCTCATTGTTTAATGATTTTGATATTTTGGCTTCTATCAACGAAAATAAAGTGAAAACTGTGAACAGCGCCAGCAAAGTCTGATCTGCAAATGTTAAAGGCTGAAAAAAATACTGAACGCTGACCTCGCTCTGCATGAATTACCAAAAAGTTTAAATTCCAGGCCAGTTTGGGATGACGAAATATTATATTCACTGTAGTCCAGAGACATGAAGCGATCTTCATTCTAATGCGAGATCCCAATTACAGATATCACATTAAAAACAAGAGTACAACAGCGGGTCAAATGAGAGAATATGCATTGCACCATGATGGCGTACTTATCATCCTTCTCGTTATCGTACCCTTTGTTGGGAGAAGCAGAAGAAGGGCGGAGTGCGAGTGGGCTGATTGAGGAGATGAGGTATTTAATAAGGGATTTCCGAAATCCTTGAGTCGGAAGGTTGCTGGTGGATATGGATGGAGTTGAAGTGGCTCAGAATTGGCTTATTTCGACCAAAGAGGGTTTGGAGTTCTGGAATGAAATCGACACTCCTCCTTCTCCTCAGTTGACTTTTAACCGTGACCAGTCGCTCTCCAAACTTGACACTCTTGTGCATCCACTCCAACCTCGCACAATGCTTCATGAGCTGCATAAAATCTCTCATTGGCAAAAATAATTACATGCTTGTGTAAAATATTATAAATACGTATAATGTGTTTTTTTTGCAAAAGTCTTTTCTGTTGGTCTTGTTTATCCCGTATATCCTTCCTCACCTTTACACAAGCACAATGCGCCTAAAGAATCCCTACCTAAAGAGTATCAAATTTCAGTTCCATTGAGTTTTTGAAATATGTTAAAACGACCACTACATTATTTCTCTCCGATTAGTTTAGCTTGTCCAACGATCGGATAAACAAGTTTCCTCAACTCACAAATATGTCAAATGTTTAAAGCTCTCTGCATGTATGTATATTCCATATATGTAGGCATCCACTTCATTAATGGTTTAAACCGATCGGTCATAAATGATATACTGTATTGTGCTGAGCAATGAGTTAGCTCAATGGACTTTTTGCTCTGGATTTCTGTACACAGTCAGCAGTATATAGTATTTAGTGGAGGGATTCTCTTTAAAATCTCAATTGACATGTCATCCGCCTGTCAACTCATCAACTTGCTTTATACCGGGTGTGTGTGCATGTACCTCGTCTACTCCAGTTAACAGATGCTCTATTGTTGTATTTTATGTACGTATTAGTAGCTATTTCTAAGAAAACCATCGTATCGGGATATGCATATAGTCACTGCGAGTTTCTAAGTATTTTACTTACGAGAAGGTCCTGTAATAATATATGAAATGTGTAAATGTACATATAACGTCGTCGTCGTGTGGAGATTCAATTGAACAATTGAGAATTAAGTGAATATACTTATAAAGTCTTCTGCGGCTGCTAGTTGTGGTATCTGGGCTGGTTTCTAGTTAATCCGAAATCGAAACCACCACTTCCTCTCCTGGCTCAGGGGTTGTTAAAATAAAATAAAAGATATGGTGGTAGGTTTGCGTGTGATGCTAAATAATGGTTCGGTACGGCTTGAGTGGATCTCTAAAGATTAATTTGGCAGCTTTATTTCTTTCATAATAATTGCCACTCTATTTTTTGAGACATTCCTGAAAACGAAGTATTTGGGAAGTAGATGTATGTAGGAAGGCTATTAACAGATGCAAAATATTGAACGGAATTAAATATAGAATTATACACTGCATTGACTTTTAGCACAATTTCATTTGCTCGTATTTTTATTTATTCCAGGCGACTCCATCACCATCTCGGGCTTGGAGGTAAGCGCCCCGAGTCGACGGATACCGACGACGCGGGTGACGATAAAACCCCACCACACTCACCGGCGCCCTCTGACATTGGGTCTGACTCCGACCTGTCCCTGGGTACGAACAGTCCCCCTCCACCAAATACCTCCATATCATCACAATCATCAATCTCCTCACCCAACCATAATCATAACCCTGCCAGTCACCCTCTCAGTGCAATGTTTTCGTCATCCTTCCCAGGCCTCCAAGGTTTTGGCCCCACAATTCCTATCCCGGCTTCCTTAGGTCACTTGGGCCTTCCAGCTCCAGGGCACATAACAATGCCACCTCACCACCACTTATCGCATCATGCCCTCTCTCCAGGGGGGCTGTTCCCCTCACTCGCACATTTTCACGGCCTCACCTCTGCCATGTCAATGCAGGCCGCAAATGCTGCTACAAAAGGGTTCTTCAACATGGGGATGGACCTTCATCGACCCTTCCTGAAACAAAGCTCTTCACCCGAAAGGTCAAGTTCATCGTGATTTACACCACAGTGAGTCGCACGAGTTGTTGAAGCCATATCGTTATTTGTCGTTGTCGTCGTCGCCATCCTGACCCTCAGTATCACCTAATTATTAGAGTATTATTATTGTTGGAGAGCGTTCTTAGCGGCAAGGTGCAATATGCCATGATATCCAATCACTTTCCGCAGGCTAAGTAAGTATACACTGATGCGTGCAGCTATTTATTAGATAAATGTAAAATGCTTCGTACTATGTAAATTGTACCTGTAAATATATGGCTGTTGTGATTTTATTAATGTGCAGTGTACACCTTTTTTATTTTTATTCTAAATAATGCCAATGATATATAATAGTTCCATATTTATTAACTATTTATTCAAAATAATCGCTTGTTCGAATTTAATTCCTCCATCAACTGGAGAAAATGAATCTTGTTGAATCTTAAGAGTCAAAAATTTGAAGAGTCTTCAAATAAATCATAAATTAAATAACCTTGAATTTTATATTTCATCATTCTGGAATATCATCAAACTCGGGGCGAGCTTATTCAAGACCATTTCTTCATTCTCCATTGAGAATCCCAATTTGAGACAAGTTTTCAGAGAAATCGACGGAATACAAATAAAATAACTTTTCCCAACTTAAGCGAGCTAGTTGCAGGACTGAACGAATGCAGCGTACATATTCAAGGCAATAACTTTACAAATAAAATGGCTGTAGGAATCATGGATGTATAGTAGGAATGGAGCCGGATTTTGGGCATGACGTCGCCGTCCATGCACTTTGATGGCTGATGGTTGGTTCAGGTTTTTGGTTCCTGCTGCCTGGTTTACTTGTTATTGCTGCAGTGAATGCATTATTTTATTTCATTCCATTTTAATCTAATCCCGAGATCTCTATCAGCCCCTTTATTCAATAGGAAGAAAGAAGAATTCTAAATAGGGAGCACGCACTATAAGCAGTGAAACGAAACCAGTCAGCCTGTACATTTCCAGTGTTCTCAACAATGTATGCGTGCATATTAACTAAATAACTAAATGCATACACATATTTATAACATTTCACAACATATTACAGAACATGAATGGCAAATCGTTAACACATTGAGTGTTGAAGAAGCAATCATACATTTTGCACAGCTGTATCGTATTGCCCCAAATTGTTATACAGCATTGCACATAATGCGCTTTCACTTCCATTTACAACGAACTTATTTACAAATTATCATGCTACTTTAAGGAAATATCGGATCTGAACCCAAATGCAAATCTCCCTTTGTGTCAAACGTGCCAGCTAATAGTAGATAATCCGGATATTTTGCACCCTCTGTTATACATAATACATATTTCATTCTATTGGGCATGATATGCATTATGAGCTCTCCAACTTTGAGGTTGAGTCCATGATCCAAATATCAGAACAATAATCAGATCATCACACCTTTCACGCTACTCCTCTAAATGGTTGGCTTAACGGCTGAAAAGAAAATTCTTTACAGATTTGTCAAACGAAAAGTGCCAAATTCTGTGTCGCTCGTGAACTAAACCAGATCACCAAACAGCTTTTAAGACCCATTAACAACTTACATAGACATTCCCATTTCTTGAATATATACATTCATTCATTTCCACGTATACATATTTATTATAATATTGGACACTCCACTTTGACGTGATTATGCAATGAAACAAATTAGGCATACAAATTCTGAACTTTTGAAAAAAAACATCCGAGGATGTATAATACACAGGAACTGCTAATAACCTACTAATGTATACTCAATACATATTATGCATAGGGAACAGACAGTTGCATGGTTTTGAATACCACTTTGGCTTTGGTTATCTCACATCTCTTCTGCTCCGTTCAAGTTTTAGCATTTCAGAATTAGGAATTGGGATGGGTGGACACCTTTCATCAATATCGTATGGTGAAGCAGCCAATGAAATGAACATCTTTACAGATTTTTAAACCGATAGCTTTAAAATCTGGTTAGAATGTGACCCAAGTGAAAATTAACGGCTTGTTCACTGGAAGAAATGTGAACCTTTTAACCTCGACCTTCAGCCTTGTTTTGTTTCATGCACGGAATTTTTTGTAAGAAAAGTAGATTGCATTGTGCGCACGTAAGACAAATGTTGCTTTTATCTGTACATCCAATTTTAATTTGCAACGGTGTAATAAAATATTTCAATATATTTTGTGCTACAAAATTGGTAGAAAAAATCATTGTCGTATAAGTACATGTGGCATAATATGTATTTAGAACTACATGAAAATGTAGGTAATATCAATTCCTTCTGCGTTATTTATGTATTACATACTTCCCAACACATTTAATTATTTCCACCATTTCTCTCTCGTCATCAAATTCAATTCTTTAGTCTGGAAGGGAAACAATAATAATAAAAGTCCGTATTATGTTTCATCCTGAGACGAGAGTGACGTGACACAATAACGTAAAAACGTCAGTCACTCAGAAGAAGACCCAAAGTCATCTCATCCGAACACTAGCTCCTGAAGAAGTTGAAAAAGCAGAGTGTGATTTTAGAACAATAATAAATAATAATTCCAACGAGTCCATTATAGTGATACGTGAGAGTCTCCTTTCCATCAGATAAGCCAGCAGCAAAACCACGAGTAATAATAATAGTGGATAAGGCTTATTGATTACTTACTCTCACTTCTTCCAGCTCCCATGCTATTAACTTAAAAGGCATTAATGCATATTTCTCTGCACTCCTGCTGGACTCGATTTATGCACTTATTATATTCCATTTCGTGGATCGTATGTGTGTACACGTCTGGTTATATCGAGATATGATTATACAACACCGTTTTCCTACAGCCAGACTTGTTGGATGGAGGCTTGTGGCTTGTTCAAAATCCTGATCCTGGTAGTAAAAGGGCTCTTTCTCTTTGTGAGAGATGTCATGTCCATCCCTTAATCCGGCTTGATGTTGACACCCATACTTCTCGCAACTGCAAAGCATTCATATTTCTCTCGATGGGAAAAAGTGACCACTGCACGGACACTGCCAGCTACGAAACTACATATTTCCAATGATGACAATTTACTCTGAGTTACAAGAAATAAAATCTCTAAGAAGTTTTACATGCATAATGTTTTTTTCATTATTATGATTTTAAAGTGTTATTATACATAATTAAACGAATTCTTAACATATTTCTTACATACGTCAAAAGCCATGTATATCTAGAAATTTCACTTTAATAAGTAGAGAAAAATGAAGCTTTGAACAGAAATTTTATCATTGCTCAAGTAATACAAAGTTACATATGCGGAGATTAGTTGTAAAAAAATCATACAATCATCAGCGTTAATTTGTACATAAATTTGGAGCAGACACATGTAATACATTAGTTGAATGGTCGAGTTGGTTTTGAATTCCTGCAGAAGGGTAGAGTATATATAAGCTTATTAAAAAAGTTTGTATTTGTTGCGGCGTGGAGCTTCTTCCCTGATAATTCCTTAACTTGCTGCTATATACAAGTTGCATTATACAATTTGTATGAACAACAGTTTCACCACTGCACCCCGACGTTGTGGAAGAAATGATGAGTTGATTTGAGTGGACATGTGGGAATTGAGGCAGAAGTTGTACCGACTTCTTTGTTCAGACAGGCAGAATGATCACCAGGGAATCAAAGCAAACAGTGGGCGATTCACCCTTTTGTTATTCTACCTGATCCATCCACATCACATGATCCATACCGATCCACGACATGGGCCAAATTCCCCCACTAAAACTAATGCATTCGGCGAAATGCCAGGACGAGAAGGATGAGTTTTCCATACATTTGTTTCAGATTGTAATTCTCTCTTCTTTGTGGCATTTTAGGTTGTGTTAGGCAGTGGGTAACTTTATCCGATTTATTTAACACGGGCAGCAAAGTATCCAGAATAAATCCAAAAAGATAACAAACGGGTAAAAGAGTAACCGTCGACAGTATGAAACGAAGAGTAACAACACTACATACATACATATATATACTCCCACAATACAGTCGATAACAGACACGTTCGATTTTCACTAGGTTATGGTTTTGTCCTAATGTGTTGTGATTTTTGTAGGTGTGACGTGATTTGTGTGATTTTCTGTACATAACTTTTTCCAATGAATTAGACAGTTCATAACACTTTTTTCATCAAACTAAACTCGGTTTCGCCTTACATGGTATTACCGCCACACGAAAATAACATGGGATTCTCATGTTCCTTACCTGTGGCGGTAATACCATGTAAGGTGAAACAGAGTTTAAGCATACCTGAAGAACTTCTTTTAAATGGATTCCCTCTATCAGCTATGCATTAAAATTGTAATTGAACGGAAAAAGTATTTAATGCTGACAGTATGAGGCAACGTGGCAAGTCGAAGAGAAAGACTTCGATGAGATAAAGGAAAACCTAATTTCCTTGATTTTATGCGAAACGATCATAAAAATAATAATGTGGAGTATAAACATGATCCTTTTTATGAAATCAATTTTGCCAACTACGACCATATTTTATTTCATGTTAAAAATTTGGACCCATTAATAAATAAATCGCCAATGTTTATTAGAATATCATTAAATATTAGACTCGAATGGAAGAATTAAAGGATCAAAGAGCAAGGGACGGGAAGCCTGAGATGCTTCTTTTGCAAAAAGAGAGAACTATGAAGACGACAATGTAGTTTAGCCCAGAACCCACCCTTACCATCGGCAGATTTATCTCCGGAACCGGGGGCCGTCTGGATGGCCGCTCCAACACCAAATCCAGCATTGGTAGTGTAGTTCCCAAATTTCCAGTCATTCCTAACATGGTCGGGGCCGAAAAATTCCTCTGAAGCTTTCTCCGCGTTGAATTCTCCGTTGTCGAAAGCTCCAACTTTATTGTTTGCCAATTTGTAGTTGCCAGAGTTCGAATCCGCAGCCTAATTTTAATAATACGAATTAATCAACCCATTTTCGTAGTGAATTGTACGACTCTTTAATGAATTACCCAATTTTGCCACTTCTCCATTGCGTTTTCAAATCCGCCCCATTGTTTCTCATGGTTCTTCTCCCAGTATGCGGGGTCCTTCCACCTTGGGTCACCGGGAGGTGCTGCGTCCCCAGCGTCTGTCACCCCACCGAGATAACCCTGAGCGGCAGTTCCTTGCTGACGAGCTACCCTTGCTGCTCCTAATCAAAGGCCCCGACAATTTTATTAGCAATATGTACCTACTAATGCTTTTATACTACTCTGCACATGTGTAATAATTAACCCTTTGCATTTATGGCTAATATAATATTCAACAACCTGCATCTCCTGGGCTAGAGGCATCGATATTGGGACTCGGAAATGCTGCAAGCCAACAAATTGCCATTTTCGTCAGTGTTTTGCGAACAATGTATGTCCTCATTTTATATTTAGATGAACTTGTTCTTACCCAACGTGGCAACAATTGCGACAGCCACAACCGAAATGGCCAGGAAAGCTTTCATTTTGAATTAGTGCCTAGAAGCTGAATGAACGAGCGAGTGAGTCTGATACCCCACCCAGCAAACCCGAAGTAATTGACGATGACTGACCCGGTTTAGTTTACAATCAGCGTTAAAAGTGCTTCACTTTATTAAACAAGCAACAATTTTTGGAACAATTATCAATTGGAGATATTGTAAATAGGCAGTGTAATATGCGTTCCGGGTTCATCGAAACAATGCAATCGATTTACTACACTGGTCCAAATACCGTTTATTTCCCTATTCAGTTATTTACACGTTAGAAATATGAATTGAACACCTCTTCGCCATGATTAATTAAATTCGCTTGTGCTCATTCACATTCAGGGCGCAAATTTTGCATAAAAATTCATTGTAGACAAGCTCCAAATGCAAATTACTACTACTATTATTTTATATGTATGAATGTATCTTCCTCCCATCACGGTAAATGTTTCTAATTAATTATTCATGATTGTAATAAAGCATTGTTTAGCCATTCTACAGCATTAATAAATAGATCGCACTCGCATTTATCGAGTACGTAGAGCAATTTGTTTCATTTCTTCATCCGTGCTTTACTCTAGTTTTATTTGACTTGGCGTCGTAATTAATGAGAAAATTTTAAACCCCCAAACTGCGTGCAATCATGGTTAAGAAAACAGCGTAAAGAAAATACCCCCCGTTGTCAAAAAGAATGGAGTGCTTGACAACAGCCAAAATTAACTAGAGTGTGGATGACAGATAGATAAAAGTATTGCAATTAGGAATAATTTGTCTGAATCAGATTGAGCGGATATCGTAGTGGTTGTGAAATCCAAGACACGAAGAAATCTTATAATTTAGGCCAGCAGATGATGAACAAGTCCAATTATTTATAAGGATACAAACCATTATGTGTATCTGTCCATCTTGCATGTTCTTACAAATTGCAACAAATACGGTACTCATAAAAATCCGCTTATACAAAATTCTTTCACAATTATCTACTGTTATTTCAAACGAAGGTTAAACTAGCTTTCGAAAAATAATCAAGGAAAACTGATATTTTATTTGTTATGATCCTAAAATAGCTAAATAATCATACGTAACAAAACAAAAGATACATAAGATACAAAATTCTCCATCGTCAGTGCTTCTACTTTTGCTGGTGTATCTGTTTCCCGTGTTTAAAAAAGGTTTACTAGCATTCTTCAATAGTTTATTGGGGAAGATCATTTTACAACAATCAGGATCAATTTCACGTCAGATGCTCAAATGAAATGGGTATGCTGCATATACTGCACAGTAGTTTGCTGGTGTTTCGTAAAGAAACTCTATCTGATTTCTTTACCGATTTGATGTCATACCTCAACTTAACAGAGTCTTGGGATTAATGAAAGTGGGATTAATGATTAGGATTAGGGATTGATTTTTTTTAAATCGGGATTGAGGATTGAGATTAAGGATTAAATTAACTCGGGATTAAAATTAATTCGGGATTAAATCTCTCTAGGCATTCAATGGGATTAGGGATTAGGATTAATTTAGTCCAATTTTAATCCCGGATTGGGATTAAAATCGTGTTTGTCGTCGATCACCTTTATATCTACTAGTTTTGAATGTTTTAATCAAGTTGTTTGATAAGTCCTGACTCCTAACATTGTGATTGAATATGAATCCTGATGTAACCTAATGACCGTATAAATAATGACCTAAAGTGCGAGTTGTCGCTATTTGATTAGCATTGAAGTGTGAGTGAGTGGGCACTCCCACGGGCCGCTCTGGGTTATTATTATACGGCCATACGAAGTACACATTAGCGACATAAAGTAAGGTTGCTTATTAAGTGATCACTGAACTAAAATCAAGTTGAACAGATAAAGTTTTATCAAATGTTTTTAAAGACATGAGCTATATTTGTTTTATAATCGAATTGTTGTTTGTGAAATATAATGATGGAATTGCCGTAAATATATCGTTGATAGGTATGGGAAACATATTTCTCATTGAAACAAAAGGAGAATTTGCAAGGTCTCCGAGAATTTTCAACAGGTGGAGCTGATTTAATCCCATTTTAATCCCATCTTGGATTAAAATTAATCAATTGCTTCCGGGATTAGGATTGAAGATTAATTATTTTTTCCAAACTTATTGGGATTGAGGATTAGGGATTAAAAGTCAAAAATTACGGATTGAGGATAGGGATTAAGGATTAATTAATCCCCAATCCCAATCTCAATCCTCAATCCGTAATCCCGGATTAACAAGACTCTGCAACTTAAATACCAATATAAAATAGTATCGTATACCATATATTGTTACGCCTGCCAGCTCATAATACAAAATAGATCTTTGAAAGTGAAATGAGGCAATGATAATTAGAACTGACTTTAAATTATCAAGTTTATGTAAGAAAAGCATTCATTTATATTGAAGAGAAATTCAATTTTATGGAAGCATGTAAAATCTTGCTACATTATAATACGGATAGAAAGTACATATAAGAAAGATATAGTGGGTGGGTGGGTATGTGAAAGGTGTGCAATTATTAATGACACGTTGTCACACAATTGCAACTAAGGCATTGTTACTACATGTGGTAGAAAAGGTTACAAATGCCAACTGTTAATGGCTTCCAAGAAATTTGAAATCCTTCGGATACATAAATGTTAATAATGAGCAGCATTGTACACACTTGTAGCCAGTGGATATGGGAGTGCTCCAAATTACGAAAATGTTTGTTTAATGCAAAAGAGGTGGGTGATACTCCTGAAGTAGCAGTTTTTCACTCACTCCTCTGTAAACTCTACACATATCTATGTGCATATGTAGACATTAGGCAACCACCACAAATAGCAATGATAAATGCCCAAGCCCAGCATACTATGCAATAAAAGACGACGAAACCAAAAGTGATAATGAACGGGTTGTCAACTGTCTTGCACGTCAACACACATAAACTGCAGCCCTCTGCCTTGCTGGGTTTTATGAGAAGACACATTAGAGAATAATAATAACCAAATGGAGGTGAAATGCTGAATTTGAATGAGAACTTTACTCACTCACTTAGCTCATAACACAAGTGTTGACACAATATAATTCTGTCAGATTGGGCGATGATAGGGGACCATTTCTTTGGGCCACCACTACTATGCACACCATCTTGGTAAACGTTCAGTCCGATAATAATGACGGACACATTTACAAATGAGACGACATTTTAAATTAATACGTGCATGTGCATGCATATTATGGTGGTTAGTCCACACTGATAGCAGCTCACTAATAGTACGTGGATTATTTTGTACAGGTGTTCTCGAGTGGGTGGATAAAAGTCATTAAGTTGAGGTAAAGCCACGACGTGTCATTTCTTGCTGTTGTCATTATATTGGACAATTGATTGTGCTGAGTGAATGTCAGTTATAATCCATTGTCAAGTTAAACACTTCATTCTCCTGTCCTGTAGGTATATGTATGTACACTCGGTGGGTATACACTCGTACATATTTATCCATCAGTAACCACTCAGTTTTGATACTCTCAAGAAAAGCTCAGCTTACGGGTAAATACTCGGTGTGGAAATTCCTCTGATTAGAGTTTAGATTGAGGATAGATTAGTAACAGACAAAGTGGAGAAAAGGATCGAAGGTATTTATGCATGCATGTAGATTGTTTATTAAGTAAACCTAATGACGCGTAAAAAGTTCAGGCCCTTATTTCAGTTATTTCATATTTACATATATCCCCCCGTCGACCAAGTACATGACATTGTACATATTTATTTATGTGTTTGGGATTTTACAGGTAAATATGTACATACATACGTGTCCAATATGCATAGGAACATATCACATATCACCCTTGACATAGCTTGGTGGAGGAGATACATATGTATGTGCATACACAGCCATGGTTCTTGAATCTCGTGAGACAAGAAAGGATTTTTAGTACACGAGAGATGTTCCTTTATGTATTTGCTCAGTCAGACTGCTTGGGGTCGTCGTTGACATGACATTGTCATCCCTCGTCAGGAGCAGTAGCAGGAGCACCGGAGTTGAGTGCCTTTTGTTTATTCAATAAATTTAAGAGTTAAGCCTCATTTAAAATCCGGAGCTCATCTAAATGCACTGGAGTGGAGGACAATGAAGCTGAATTGAGACACTTTTGCATGTAAATTCAATAGCCAAACAGCAACTGTTGTTGATTCAGAGGTATCCAGCCGAGATGTGATGATACGATTTTGTGAGGGACAAAGAAACCCGGATGGAGTTACAACCAGCAGCAGAAGAGGACTGTCCGCTTCGATGTGCCAACTCAGGACGAGGAGGACCAAGTGAAGAGGTGTCGAGAGGTTAGGTCAAGTGAGGAAGGTTCACCGTGTGACATCTCTCTCTCGGGACGGGGTCGCCTTCAATTGACTGATATTCATCCTCCTTCTTAGTCGATCCTCCAATATCAACCATCCGCCCAGTTTAGGTCAACTTTGCCATACTTTCACTATTCGGTGCAAAGATAACATCAATAGTATGAAAATTTCAGGGTTTAAATTTCATCATCCTCAACAAGGTTCAAGGATAGGCAAGGATATCCTGGTAGTGGAAAGTATATAAATGCTGTTTTCATACGATCTGGTATATGTTTATGTTTTTAAGGAACTTTTTTTAAATCTATAAATTTTGATCCACATAAAGCATCCGGAATAAAGTTTAGGTGACATGTGTTTTTAGCTCAAGTCAGGACTTATTACATTGTGTTTTTATTTTACGCACGAGCTTTTATAGTTAGTTACTATACAGAGTCTTAAAATTGATGGAACACGCCGCCAAGAAGATGGTCTAACTATTATGTACATTATAGTGCAGATCCGTAATGAGACTTTGATCTCGGATGCATAAAATATTGCACGACTATTTTGTTGCTCACAAATTTCTAAACAAAGCAATATTCGTGTAAATGTATTCTTTATTTTCTACAAAGTACAAATACTATGTATTCTGCTTTGAGCAAATGAATTGGGATGCGAGAAATTCTGATGTGATGAAAGAACATTATACGCTTGGTTATGTATTGAGTGTTGAGCATACATAAAGCCTCCACACCAACAACCACATCATTTTACAGGAATAAATGAAGAGAACACGGCACGGAACAATTGAGCCCAACAAATTGTACAATGGAATGATTTGATTCGTTAATAAATTGGGATTTCAAGATTTCATGCTTGAGCAAAAAGAAAGATGAGCCATTTACTGTGTAGTCTACTTATATTCTTGCGACCAGGAATAATCAGGATTGAGTAGCGTTCTAGATATTTTACAGGCAAACTTGGGCATAGCTTTCCAAATATCAGAGCTTCCCGAAGATTTGTTATAAAAT